TGGGCGCCATATTTGAGGGCGCTGTTTGGAGCGCATGTTTAGAACGAGCTCAGATTAACAGGCTGCTAAGACCGCGGCAACCTTGATGGTGTGGTTAATGCACGTTGCTAGAGAACTGTGGGGGCTTGCCGTCAGCACGCCCTGAGGCCGCCAGTATACAGCGCAGGCCAACGTTTTTTCTACGTACATTACACCGTATATAAGCTGGTGCAGCATGCTTTGCTCTGGCATGCTGCAGGGTACGACCTACGGTAATCATCATGACCTGCCCACAGAAGAGCAGGCCAGCGCGCACCTTGTAGTACATGTCCGCGGCCGCAGCGTTTCGTCACGCTCTGACTTCGCGGCGCTGGACAAAGATTGTTGATGTGTGTGTATTTCCTAGGGTATCCGCATATTAATCAAAGGCGCAGAAGGCGCGGCGGTGTCAGAGCCATCTATACTGGGAGAGTTTGGCATTCTTTTGAAGATGCTGGCAGTCTAGCAACCACGGCCAGAGATCTGGCAACCAAATGTTTCCCCCGCAATTTTGTGTTACTAATTACTGACCCAGTCTGGATTAGCAACCCCGTGTTCGCAGTGACCCGTCATCGTTATGAAAGTGTTTCTCGTTACTGCAAGCGTCTTTGGCGCTACACGGGCAATCAGCAGCTCAAACTTACTTATCTGCTATCGGATCTCTTAAAATTATATGAACTCAAACTTGTTCTTTTTTGAAAAATGAATTTGGAATACTTTGAATATTATCTCTTAAAACGGACCACCGGTATTTATTATTATTATTAAATTTTGTTTGCTGTTTTAGCCCAGAAGTGTGCGAGAATGTTTGGACGAGACAGCCAACGCGCCAAAGCGCGGACGGCAGAGTTAAGCGGGAAAGAGAAAAATACACATCACGGGCGGGAGACGAAGAAAAGGCACCCTTTGTGGGATTTTTGAGTGACTTCGAGGGAAAGAATTCAACAAAAGCAACTGCTTCTTAAGCTTCCCTTTGTCCTTTTGTTGGGTTCCCGTCAACACGCGCGTTGCAGACTGGGAACCTGTGGGCCAGGGGTGGAGCGCGCGTGGAGTTTTCTTCCTACCGATTCCCACAATGCAATACCAGGCATTACACCGCGATGAGGAGCTTCGAGTTTTAGAATAACTGTATTCTCCAGTGTCCTTCCCCGTCGATGCACAGATGTTACAGAAACGTGACTGTATGCTCCAGAGTAAAAACATAAACGCCATCGGATGGATGCATGACGGATGCTAACGGCTATGCCCTTTATCACGGGCGGTGGCTTGCGCCACCTAGGCTAGATCTTGGTGTTTAAAATCAATGTTGCCAGTTACCCGAAGCTTTACCTGAAATCACAGGAAACGTTTTTTCGGCTTCAAAATATTTAGAGGTCGGCATTTTAGGTCGCCCTCACTCACCCTCACCCTCACAGCCACACTCACCTAAGCCCCTCACCCTCAGCCCCTCACTCACCCTCATCCTCAGTCACACTCTCCTTCAGGCCTTCGCTCACGCTCACTGAACCTCACGGTACTCACGCACTCACGATCCTCAAAGCCCTCACGGCCCTCACACCCCTCGCCGCCCTCACGGGTGGTTCTCATTTGAACCCGTTCGCATTTCTACCTTCTCGTTTTTACCTTCTCATTTCAACCCAGCGCAAAACAACTTTCGCGTTTCTCCCTTTCTCATTTAAACCGTTCTCAAAACAAACTTTCGGGTTTTGACCCTTCTCAAAACGACTTTTCTCATTTTAACCTTCCTCATTTCAAATTTTCTCAAAACATACTTTCTGGTTTTGACCATTGTCAGAAAGACTTTTCTCATTTTAACCTCCCTCATTTCGAACCCAAATTAATCCAATATCATGATCTCGCAATCCTTCTGCGGTATTTATGGCGAATTCGGGTAATTAATTGCCTTCGAGCCCTTGCCTGTGGCACCGGCGACCAAAAACGCGCCAGCGGCGCATCACGTGACCCTCTCCACCCGAATGCAAAGCACAATGAACAGGCGTTTTTATTTGACTGGGTCGCGAGTGAGCTCTGTTAACTACTTCTTCGATCATTCTATGGTACCATGAGCACGCTGCATACGCCAACAACATAAATTACGACTCTTTGAGATGTGTGTAAACAGAAGCGGCTTCACAAAACTTTTCAAAATATTGGCATTACCACAGTCCGTACAGCTGACAGAATATTAAAATATAAAATTAATGAAAGGGCAGATGTATAAATCAGTGCGGTGCAGCCCGCACGCGCGTCAAATTTCAATAAACTTCGTTTGGATTTTCGATTAACTGTTGCCACGGAGGCTTGCCAGCGTCGCTTTCCATATTCTGTTTACTGTTAGTACCTTTTTTGGAACCCTCAGTCTTCTCATTGCACCACCCTCCTTGAAATTGTAATGCGTGTTCAAGTTTCAAACTGCATCACTATGCATACTTTTTTTTCAGCGGTGTAATAACTTTTTATTACAGAGTTGTAAAATAAAGTGATGTATGATGCAGCCCGTGTCTCAGAGCAAACATACCTTGCTCATTCTGGATAAATTCTTCCAAAAATGTTGACTTTCTTTGAAACATAAATTATCTTTCTCTTCGTTGTTTTTGCTATCTTGTCTCAGAGCACAAAAGGGTGCCTGTCTCGATGGCTTCATTTGCCACTCGAACCCGCTATTTGCCGCCTCAGCGAGCATTGTTTCGTTTGGTTCCCTATCCCGATTCGGATGTGACGATACCGGATACAGTCTGGCAGGCAAGCTGCCCGACCTCTTGGAGCTCGGGAAAACTTCTGCTGGTAAATTGCCGGTACACGCCTGAGAAGCGCAACCCGAAAAGCTTGCACCCGCCAGCCTTTGACCACGCGAACGCCCTTGCCGAAGATATGGGAAAACTTTTTTTCAGGGAAAATGACCACCCGAATTGGCCATTACAAGCAATAACACACGACTAGCACAATGATCCATCCGCTCCACACGACGACATCTTAACGACATACAGCGACAGAAGAGAAATGAAGTACCGAATCTGCGCTAGCATTTTTGAAACACGTCACCATGTGACCACGTAGCTACGTCAACAGACGCGGGGTGGCACGCAGGCATAAGGAAAATTGTTTCATGTGCTATGCAACAGATGGTGCCGCTTCGCTTCTTCTTCAACCTTCATCCTTCAACTGTTTTTCCTTCTTTCTATACCTCACTACGGTGTTCAAATGATAACGGGTTCAAATGAGAAAGGGTCGAAACGCGAAAGGTTAAAACGCGAAGGGCGTTTTGCGAATGGGTTCAGACGAGAAGGGTTCAAATGAGAACGGGTTCAAATGAGGCGGGTATAAATAAGAAAGGGTCGAAACGCGAAAGGTTAGAACGAGAAGGGCGTTTTGCGAATGGGTTCAAACGAGAGGGGTTCAAATAAGAATGGGTTGTTTCGAGATACACCCGCCCTCATGCACTCAGGGTCCTCGCAACCCTCATGCCCCTCACCACCCTCACGGCCCTCACTCACTCATACCCCTCACGCACTCCACGGTCCTCACAGCCTTCACGTTCCCTACCGCCCTCACGCACTCATACCCCTCACGCACTCACGATCCTCAAAGCCCTCACGGCCCTCACACCCCTCACCGCCCTCACGGTCCTCGCAACCCTCACGCCCCTCACCGCCCTCACGGCCCTCACGCACTCATACCCCTCACGCACTCGCGATCCTCATAGCCCTCACGCCCCTCACGGTCCTTACAGCCCTTACAGCCCTCACGGCCCTCACACCCCTCACGACCTCACGGCCTTCACTCACCCTCACACTCATTAATTTTCCTAATTCAGAAATTCACTCATCCTCACCTCACTTATGAAGATGAGTGTGAGTAAGGGGGAGTGAGGGCCCTCACAGGAGAGTATGCAAATATTAGGACGGACCGCGACAGATGAAAACGATACCGCCCGAGCTTTGTCATATAGCATCTATAGCTCAGGAACTCGCATTTACTAATTGTAACGATCGCCGAAGGCGACCGCTCTGCAGTAAGCACCAAAACGGTGGCGCCTAAAAGAAAATCGGCGATGGGAGTGCCGATATTCTAGGCATATATGTTGTTCAAGGGCTCTAGAATGGGCCGACGAATCCGGGTGAAGCCGTTAAAATGACCGCATAAATCGGCTTGGTAGCGTCTCGCGCTACGATTTACCACAAAGGTGATCGAAGGTGGTGGAAGCATCGCATCAAGGTTCCAAAAAACACACGAATAAAAAAAAAAAAAAAAAAAAACATGACTATTTTTTTTTTTGTTTTTTTTTTTTATATATATATATAACTTACGGCGCTTGTTTCCTATCTACGCACCCTTTGACTGCCGGAACAACCGACAGATGGCGGCAACGGCCCCGGCGCAAGCTTACCGCCCGGCCCGGTCACGCCAAGAACAGACGATGTTTTTTTTAATCAAAAACGGCGCGCGTTCAATAAATCCCATTAAATGGAAACAAAAAAATATATATATATAACCGATGGTGCGCGTTGAGTAATTTCAGGTACATGTCGTCTGCTTTTGGCGCGACCGGTCAGTAAGCTATCACCGGGGCCGCTGCCGCCATCTGTTGGTTGTTGCGCCAGCCAAAGGGTGCGCGCAGACAGGCGCCGTAAGAAGAGAACATCAGTAATCTTTTCTTTTTTGTTTTATTTTTACTATTTACTAAAGTAAGTTTGTTCTTTTAATTTTTTATGCGATACTTCCACTACCTTCGGGCGCCTCTTTGGTGAATCGTGGCGCGATACATTACCAAGCCAATTTATCCGATCACTTTAAAGGCTTCACCCGAATTCGAGGGCACGCCGTAGTTCAGCCGACGGAGGCAGCTGAACAAGACGAGACAGCCGACTGAAGATCTTGGCCCATAGATGCCAAGAATGCCGCGCGGGGAAAGCGAACAAACATGCTTTTTTGTATACATACTGAATGCTTTGTCTACGAGGAAGGAATTACTCGGTGCTCACTCGAGAACCAGGATGCGTCTCCTTCGCATGCGTCTGTGAGAGCAGCGTCGCACAGCGATCACCACCGTCACGTTGATGATGAGAAAGCCCACAATGCCCGTCAGGGCGCCCAGCAGGACGTTGAAAGAAGGTACGGCCCGGCTGCTGTCTTCGTCGCGGAGGATGGTCTGCTTGTAGACCGAGTGGTACGAGCCCTTGTACGGGTCCTGCTGCTGCCACGAAGACTGGCCGCCACCGCCGCTGCTCTGCCCGGATGCACCGCTGCCGCCTCCAGGACTCCCGCTCCGAGTCGCTATGCAAAAGATGTTGAATCGGTGAAGGTTGGACGTCGGAGAGGTCTTTTGTAGCGGAGACAAGTACGCGGAAACATCTACGCTCAAATCTACTCTCTATAAAAATGACTCTGTTTGACATTTCTTCAAGGCGTTCTAGATGCGTAGCATTTAGAACTCTTCGCGCTTTTCCTCTTGCGGGCACAGTAAGGAGGGCGCTCAAGGGCACGGGGCGGGGGTTTAATTATTATATAACGCCGTCCCAGCGTCACCTTGCATTGTAATGTCACGGTGCGACATGACGTCAAAGTGATGTCAAAGCACGTGACGTCATGATGACACGTGACTCGTGGAATCACGTGACGCCAAAGCATCGGGTGGCGTCATAGTTTCACCTGATGTCACGATGTATCGATTACACTGTGACCTCATAGAGGCTGCACACCCACGGCCACGGAAACCCCGAGGCTAGCCCTATAAACGCTAGGCATTTAAAGAAAAAGCCTGTGAATCCACATTCCTGCGGAGATTACGGATCCTGAGCTCAATCCCGTCCCTGCCCGCTTCGATCTGGATGAGCATCGTATACCGGCGTGCGGTCGTTGTAGCACTGCCACGTGACGAACGGCTTATAGGGGGCGCACTGGTGCCTATCAAAATGGCTGTCATCTCCATGATCGTCGCAGAACAGCGGTACGAGGCTGGGTATGCGAAGCGTAAGTAATTCTACAGGGTGATTCAAGGAGACGCCAGGCTCTTTAAATCGACCGCAAAATTCGGTTTCTTAACCTATCACGCTACGACTTTGTGCAGCGTTGCCCACAGATGGTGCTTTTTTTTTTTTTTTTGTAAAATTTGCAAAGAGCAAACTAAAAGTAAAGTAAAGAAAGAAAAAGGCTTAGCTCCTATGGTAACGCAGCGAAGCCACCGGTCTTCAAACAACACGGCGCCGTTTCGCACGGGAGACAAGAGATGGCGCAAGCGGTCGCGACGCCAACTGCCGCCAACGGACGAGCATACGACGCCGAGAGCCGGCGTCTTTAGCAGACAAGGAACTGCACTTCCTTGTTGTTACCGCGCCTGTTTTTGTTTCTGCGACTGTCGCCGCCTGCGGAACGCGCGCCGCTTTTGAGTTGAAAAGATTGTCTGCTAAAAACGCCGGCTCTCGGCGCCGTATGCTCGTTCGTTGGTGGCGTTTGTTGGGCCATCTCTTGTCTCCCGTGCGAAACGGCGCCGTGTTGTTTGAAGACCGGTGGCGTCGCTGCATTTCCATAGAAGCTAAGCCTTTTTCTTTTTTTACTTTTTCCTCAAGTAAATTCGCTCTTTGCAAATTTTACAAAAAAAAAATACACCATCTGTGGGCAACGCTGCACAAAGTCGTAGCGTGATAGCTTAAGAAACCGAATTTTGCGGTCGATTTAAAGAGCCTGCAGCGTCTTCTTGAATCACCCTGGAGTTTTGCTATATACGAGGTATTAGAACCTCACGCTATTTTTTCTCGCCAGGAAGGTGTAGGCAAGGCAATTTATTATGAGGCCGATCATCCAGGAGCTAGGGAGCGCGATTCTCACACCGCGGTACCACCACCGCTGAAAGTTGCGAATAGCAGTTGTGCTGCACTGGCTAAATTTCTTATCTACAGCGTAAACTAGTGTCGACGTACCTCGAAGGCATACATTAGGGTGAGGAAGATAAATCAATTTAAGATATTATACCGCATCTCGAAGGCAGATTGACCTTACGCTGTATAAACACGAACGTCAAACTTGGTTTGCTTTGGGCTAATTTCTTTTATCATCTACACTGGAGACACCAGGCGCCCGCTGGGGCTGATTAACTTCCAGCTGTCTACACATAATACACGCAACACAATTAATTTTAATCCCGGCGAACGACGGGAGCATCTAAGCTAATGCCGAAGTTCAGACTACGATTAGACCTGAAACATGCGATGAGCTGCAGGTACAACCACCAAGTGAAGCCTACTCCTATAGTCTTCACGCACATCGCATCTTTTAGGTATAATTGTATTTCGAGCTTCGTTACTCGCAGAGATCCATCCGTTGTTTGCAGTGGTTTACTGTCTCCGAGCCCTACAAAAAAGTAAACTATTTTTTTTATATATAATAGAGTTGTAATGCCAGCTTATGTCTGGATGGATTGATGGATGGATGGATGCGGTTGAATTCTTTAAATCGGGCGGCAACTTGCTCCACCTAGCCAGTGTTCTTTTTTTCTTACATTTATTTAACATAGAGATATATCTAGAGATATATTCTTAAAAGCTATCGTACCACGAAGGCGCCTCTATGCAACCGGGTGACCACACCTTCCGCCCTACGGGTCGCCCGGAAGGGAATAAGAAAATATTCATCCATCCTTCGACCTATGCCACCACTTAGATAATCTCTTCGTTGTTATCTCCACCTTCCCCGTGTCTATTTTTCTCTCACTATCCCTAAATCCCAGTGCGTATGTTAAATTAGTCGCATCCTCAGCTACTACAGGGTGAAACCCCCTACAGTAAAATATCAAGTGCTCAAGTGCTCAACCGCCTCCTCCTCCTCCTCTCCACAAGCTCCACACACCGTATTTGCTTCCTGATATCTAGCTTTATATGTCTTAGTCCGCAACACCCCCGTCCTCGCCTCGAACATCAAGGAGCTCCCTCTAGAATCGTTCAAGATGGGTTCCTCAGTAATACCCTTCCTAAAAGATCTCTACATTTCCAAGACCGATTTTGTCTGCATGCCTGCTTCCCATATTTCCCTCTGTTTCTTTAACTATCTTCTGAACCTCTATTTTCTCATCCGCCTCTCTGCTATTGGCCATATATTTAGATCCAAGCTTTCTAGTCCGCTTTTTCCATTTTGTATCGAAGCTCCTCGTGTATAAGTAGCTAAGAACTCTTCGTGCCCATCGTTCTGCATCTATTTCTCTTAGCGTATCCTCAAATTCTATCTTACTGGTAGCTTCCTGCCCTCGAATGAGGTCCCTTCCCATATCACCCTGCATACCTTGGTTCGGTCTTTTACCATGTGCTCCCACGGCCCCCAACCTACCTACTCCTCGCTGCTTTATTTCTAGCCTTGTCTGGACGTCCAGTTTTTTTGCTCAAAAATGCATTTGCAAAAGTAGGGCTCGAAACCATAACTCCTTTCCAGGTTTCCCTAAAACACCTCATACCTGTTATAGTTCCACAGTGTTCTATTTTTCATTACAGCTGCATATCTCTGTTGCCCTTACCAGTTACATATTTTGCATGTTCATTGTGGTATTCTGTACCCCCCTTATTTTATACTCCTAAATACTAGTATTTATTGACTCGCTCAGCCTGTAATCCTTGAATCTTTAGCTCTGCAATTCCGTCATTACTGAACATCATGTCCGCTGATTTGTCACTACTGAATTCTAAGCTTAACGTGTGGCCCTCTGCGCCACATAGATTCATTAAGGGCTGAAGCTCTAAGTTGCTATGTCATCAGCATACATCAGACCTGGTAATGAGGGTTTGATCTTTTGACCTTGCCTGTCGTATGAAAGGTCCAACCCCCAAGATTGTTTTTTTCCAACTTTTCCTCGAATCCTTAGAGATACAAGATGAACTTATTTTTAAATACATCTGACCGCTTTTTCCGCCATTACAATAGCCTTTTATTTTAATTTCAACGGCGGGTTAATCATTGAAGTCCATACCTCTTCTAAAACATCTGCTTGATTCCTTTTAAATAACTACTTGGGTAAATTATTATTTAGATAAGAAAGAAAAACACGCACACGCTACTGGCCGCGCATTCTAGAATGAAAACAACCTCTCTTGTCTTATTGCCCGCACAAACTTGGCCACCGAACCGACCCGCCACCTTCCCCTGCTAGAATGGCGAGTGCACCGGCTCCTCGCGGATTGCATGATATATGTTGGGTATTCCGGCCATCGCCTCAAAAACGACGAAGGAAGGGGCACACGCGCAGATACAGTCGGTCGCCGACGCAGCGAGTAACAGCCGCCCAAGTCTCGCTCTCGCCAAACCCACCCCCACCACCGCATTAGAGTGTTCTCAAAGAACGGGAACATACACGACTCGGACAGGCTCTCACCCGTCGTGAACTTGAGTACGTTGGACGCCAGCTTCGTGCCCGCGGACTCGGGGGTGGTGCCGTTCCCGCCGACTCCGCCGTCGAGGCAGCAGTAGCACACCATGTGGAAGTGGTACGTGGCGTTGTGCCGAAGACCGCCCACCGTGAACGTGGGACCCCTCGGCATGAAGTTGGACATCACCTCGACCTGGCGGCCAGAGAGGCTCGTTACTGTCTTCCACTCCAAAGCCGCAGTTACACTGCTGATACTAATACATCGTACAGACAACGGTCTCTGCAGACACTAGGGAGTTTTAGGGAACTGTTTTTTGCACACGCAATACGGTACGATGGGCCCTCCGGTACGAACTCCGCATGCGCTACCGCAGAAGACTCGCAAATGTGCAGTGCGTACCGGACGGCTTATCGTACCGTATCGGGTGTGCAAACACGGTTCACTAAAACTCTCGAATAGAGAGTTTTAGGGAACCGTTTTGGCACACGCAATACGGTACGATGGGCCCTCCGGTACGAACTCCGCATGCGCTACCGCACAAGACTCGCAAATGTGCAGTGCGTACCGGACGGCTTATCGTACCGTATCGGGTGTGCAAACACGGTTCACTAAAACTCTCGAATAGAGAGTTTTAGGGAACCGTTTTGGCACACGCAATACGGTACGATGGGCCCTCCGGTACGAACTCCGCATGCGCTAGCGCACAAGACTCGCAAATGTGCAGTGCGTACCGGACGGCTTATCGTACCGTATCGGGTGTGCAAACACGGTTCACTAAAACTCTCGAATAGAGAGTTTTAGGGAACCGTTTTGGCACACGCAATACGGTACGATGGGCCCTCCGGTACGAACTCCGCATGCGCTACCGCAGAAGACTCGCAAATGTGCAGTGCGTACCGGACGGCTTATCGTACCGTATCGGGTGTGCAAACACGGTTCACTAAAACTCTCGAATAGAGAGTTTTAGGGAACCGTTTTTGCACACGCAATACGGTACGATGGGCCCTCCGGTACGAACTCCGCATGCGCTACCGCACAAGACTCGCAAATGTGCAGTGCGTACCGGACGGCTTATCGTACCGTATCGGGTGTGCAAACACGGTTCACTAAAACTCTCGAATAGAGAGTTTTAGGGAACCGTTTTGGCACACGCAATACGGTACGATGGGCCCTCCGGTACGAACTCCGCATGCGCTACCGCACAAGACTCGCAAATGTGCAGTGCGTACCGGACGGCTTATCGTACCGTATCGGGTGTGCAAACACGGTTCACTAAAACTCTCGAATAGAGAGTTTTAGGGAACCGTTTTGGCACACGCAATACGGTACGATGGGCCCTCCGGTACGAACTCCGCATGCGCTACCGCACAAGACTCGCAAATGTGCAGTGCGTACCGGACGGCTTATCGTACCGTATCGGGTGTGCAAACACGGTTCACTAAAACTCTCGAATAGAGAGTTTTAGGGAACCGTTTTGGCACACGCAATACGGTACGATGGGCCCTCCGGTACGAACTCCGCATGCGCTACCGCACAAGACTCGCAAATGTGCAGTGCGTACCGGACGGCTTATCGTACCGTATCGGGTGTGCAAACACGGTTCACTAAAACTCTCGAATAGAGAGTTTTAGGGAACCGTTTTGGCACACGCAATACGGTACGATGGGCCCTCCGGTACGAACTCCGCATGCGCTACCGCACAAGACTCGCAAATGTGCAGTGCGTACCGGACGGCTTATCGTACCGTATCGGGTGTGCAAACACGGTTCACTAAAACTCTCGAATAGAGAGTTTTAGGGAACCGTTTTTGCACACGCAATACGGTACGATGGGCCCTCCGGTACGAACTCCGCATGCGCTACCGCACAAGACTCGCAAATGTGCAGTGCGTACCGGACGGCTTATCGTACCGTATCGGGTGTGCAAACACGGTTCACTAAAACTCTCGAATAGAGAGTTTTAGGGAACCGTTTTGGCACACGCAATACGGTACGATGGGCCCTCCGGTACGAACTCCGCATGCGCTACCGCACAAGACTCGCAAATGTGCAGTGCGTACCGGACGGCTTATCGTACCGTATCGGGTGTGCAAACACGGTTCACTAAAACTCTCGAATAGAGAGTTTTAGGGAACCGTTTTGGCACACGCAATACGGTACGATGGGCCCTCCGGTACGAACTCCGCATGCGCTACCGCACAAGACTCGCAAATGTGCAGTGCGTACCGGACGGCTTATCGTACCGTATCGGGTGTGCAAACACGGTTCACTAAAACTCTCGAATAGAGAGTTTTAGGGAACCGTTTTGGCACACGCAATACGGTACGATGGGCCCTCCGGTACGAACTCCGCATGCGCTACCGCACAAGACTCGCAAATGTGCAGTGCGTACCGGACGGCTTATCGTACCGTATCGGGTGTGCAAACACGGTTCACTAAAACTCTCGAATAGAGAGTTTTAGGGAACCGTTTTGGCACACGCAATACGGTACGATGGGCCCTCCGGTACGAACTCCGCATGCGCTACCGCAGAAGACTCGCAAATGTGCAGTGCGTACCGGACGGCTTATCGTACCGTATCGGGTGTGCAAACACGGTTCACTAAAACTCTCGAATAGAGAGTTTTAGGGAACCGTTTTGGCACACGCAATACGGTACGATGGGCCCTCCGGTACGAACTCCGCATGCGCTACCGCACAAGACTCGCAAATGTGCAGTGCGTACCGGACGGCTTATCGTACCGTATCGGGTGTGCAAACACGGTTCACTAAAACTCTCGAATAGAGAGTTTTAGGGAACCGTTTTGGCACACGCAATACGGTACGATGGGCCCTCCGGTACGAACTCCGCATGCGCTACCGCACAAGACTCGCAAATGTGCAGTGCGTACCGGACGGCTTATCGTACCGTATCGGGTGTGCAAACACGGTTCACTAAAACTCTCGAATAGAGAGTTTTAGGGAACCGTTTTGGCACACGCAATACGGTACGATGGGCCCTCCGGTACGAACTCCGCATGCGCTACCGCACAAGACTCGCAAATGTGCAGTGCGTACCGGACGGCTTATCGTACCGTATCGGGTGTGCAAACACGGTTCACTAAAACTCTCGAATAGAGAGTTTTAGGGAACCGTTTTGGCACACGCAATACGGTACGATGGGCCCTCCGGTACGAACTCCGCATGCGCTACCGCACAAGACTCGCAAATGTGCAGTGCGTACCGGACGGCTTATCGTACCGTATCGGGTGTGCAAACACGGTTCACTAAAACTCTCGAATAGAGAGTTTTAGGGAACCGTTTTTGCACACGCAATACGGTACGATGGGCCCTCCGGTATGAACTCCGCATGCGCTACCGCACAAGACTCGCAAATGTGCAGTGCGTACCGGACGGCTTATCGTACCGTATCGGGTGTGCAAACACGGTTCACTAAAACTCTCGAATAGAGAGTTTTAGGGAACCGTTTTGGCACACGCAATACGGTACGATGGGCCCTCCGGTACGAACTCCGCATGCGCTGCCGCACAAGACTCGCAAATGTGCAGTGCGTACCGGACGGCTTATCGTACCGTATCGGGTGTGCAAACACGGTTCACTAAAACTCTCGAATAGAGAGTTTTAGGGAACCGTTTTGGCACACGCAATACGGTACGATGGGCCCTCCGGTACGAACTCCGCATGCGCTACCGCACAAGACTCGCAAATGTGCAGTGCGTACCGGACGGCTTATCGTACCGTATCGGGTGTGCAAACACGGTTCACTAAAACTCTCGAATAGAGAGTTTTAGGGAACCGTTTTGGCACACGCAATACGGTACGATGGGCCCTCCGGTACGAACTCCGCATGCGCTACCGCACAAGACTCGCAAATGTGCAGTGCGTACCGGACGGCTTATCGTACCGTATCGGGTGTGCAAACACGGTTCACTAAAACTCTCGAATAGAGAGTTTTAGGGAACCGTTTTGGCACACGCAATACGGTACGATGGGCCCTCCGGTACGAACTCCGCATGCGCTACCGCACAAGACTCGCAAATGTGCAGTGCGTACCGGACGGCTTATCGTACCGTATCGGGTGTGCAAACACGGTTCACTAAAACTCTCGAATAGAGAGTTTTAGGGAACCGTTTTGGCACACGCAATACGGTACGATGGGCCCTCCGGTACGAACTCCGCATGCGCTACCGCACAAGACTCGCAAATGTGCAGTGCGTACCGGACGGCTTATCGTACCGTATCGGGTGTGCAAACACGGTTCACTAAAACTCTCGAATAGAGAGTTTTAGGGAACCGTTTTGGCACACGCAATACGGTACGATGGGCCCTCCGGTACGAACTCCGCATGCGCTACCGCAGAAGACTCGCAAATGTGCAGTGCGTACCGGACGGCTTATCGTACCGTATCGGGTGTGCAAACACGGTTCACTAAAACTCTCGAATAGAGAGTTTTAGGGAACCGTTTTCGCACACGCAATACGGTACGATGGGCCCTCCGGTACGAACTCCGCATGCGCTACCGCACAAGACTCGCAAATGTGCAGTGCGTACCGGACGGCTTATCGTACCGTATCGGGTGTGCAAACACGGTTCACTAAAACTCTCGAATAGGGAGTTTTAGGGAACCGTTTTGGCACACGCAATACGGTACGATGGGCCCTCCGGTACGAACTCCGCATGCGCTACCGCACAAGACTCGCAAATGTGCAGTGCGTACCGGACGGCTTATCGTACCGTATCGGGTGTGCAAACACGGTTCACTAAAACTCTCGAATAGAGAGTTTTAGGGAACCGTTTTGGCACACGCAATACGGTACGATGGGCCCTCCGGTACGAACTCCGCATGCGCTACCGCACAAGACTCGCAAATGTGCAGTGCGTACCGGACGGCTTATCGTACCGTATCGGGTGTGCAAACACGGTTCACTAAAACTCTCGAATAGAGAGTTTTAGGGAACCGTTTTGGCACACGCAATACGGTACGATGGGCCCTCCGGTACGAACTCCGCATGCGCTACCGCACAAGACTCGCAAATGTGCAGTGCGTACCGGACGGCTTATCGTACCGTATCGGGTGTGCAAACACGGTTCACTAAAACTCTCGAATAGAGAGTTTTAGGGAACCGTTTTTGCACACGCAATACGGTACGATGGGCCCTCCGGTATGAACTCCGCATGCGCTACCGCACAAGACTCGCAAATGTGCAGTGCGTACCGGACGGCTTATCGTACCGTATCGGGTGTGCAAACACGGTTCACTAAAACTCTCGAATAGAGAGTTTTAGGGAACCGTTTTGGCACACGCAATACGGTACGATGGGCCCTCCGGTACGAACTCCGCATGCGCTGCCGCACAAGACTCGCAAATGTGCAGTGCGTACCGGACGGCTTATCGTACCGTATCGGGTGTGCAAACACGGTTCACTAAAACTCTCGAATAGAGAGTTTTAGGGAACCGTTTTGGCACACGCAATACGGTACGATGGGCCCTCCGGTACGAACTCCGCATGCGCTACCGCACAAGACTCGCAAATGTGCAGTGCGTACCGGACGGCTTATCGTACCGTATCGGGTGTGCAAACACGGTTCACTAAAACTCTCGAATAGAGAGTTTTAGGGAACCGTTTTGGCACACGCAATACGGTACGATGGGCCCTCCGGTACGAACTCCGCATGCGCTACCGCAGAAGACACGCAAATGTGCAGTGCGTACCGGACGGCTTATCGTACCGTATCGGGTGTGCAAACACGGTTCACTAAAACTCTCGAATGGAGAGTTTTAGGGAACCGTTTTTGCACACGCAATACGGTACGATGGGCCCTCCGGTACGAACTCCGCATGCGCTACCGCACAAGACTCGCAAATGTGCAGTGCGTACCGGACGGCTTATCGTACCGTATCGGGTGTGCAAACACGGTTCACTAAAACTCTCGAATAGAGAGTTTTAGGGAACCGTTTTGGCACACGCAATACGGTACGATGGGCCCTCCGGTACGAACTCCGCATGCGCTACCGCACAAGACTCGCAAATGTGCAGTGCGTACCGGACGGCTTATCGTACCGTATCGGGTGTGCAAACACGGTTCACTAAAACTCTCGAATAGAGAGTTTTAGGGAACCGTTTTGGCACACGCAATACGGTACGATGGGCCCTCCGGTACGAACTCCGCATGCGCTACCGCACAAGACTCGCAAATGTGCAGTGCGTACCGGACGGCTTATCGTACCGTATCGGGTGTGCAAACACGGTTCACTAAAACTCTCGAATAGAGAGTTTTAGGGAACCGTTTTGGCACACGCAATACGGTACGATGGGCCCTCCGGTACGAACTCCGCATGCGCTACCGCACAAGACTCGCAAATGTGCAGTGCGTACCGGACGGCTTATCGTACCGTATCGGGTGTGCAAACACGGTTCACTAAAACTTTCGAATAGAGAGTTTTAGGGAACCGTTTTTGCACACGCAATACGGTACGATGGGCCCTCCGGTACGAACTCCGCATGCGCTACCGCAGAAGACTCGCAAATGTGCAGTGCGTACCGGACGGCTTATCGTACCGTATCGGGTGTGCAAACACGGTTCACTAAAACTCTCGAATAGAGGGTTTTAGGGAACCGTTTTTACACACGCAATACGGTACGATGGGCCCTCCGGTACGAACTCCGCATGCGCTACCGCAGAAGACTCGCAAATGTGCAGTGCGTACCGGACGGCTTATCGTACCGTATCGGGCTTGCAAACACGGTTCACTAAAACTCTCGAATAGAGGGTTTTAGGGAACCGTTTTTGCACACGCAATACGGTACGATGGGCCCTCCGGTACGAACTCCGCATGCGCTACCGCAGAAGACTCGCAAATGTGCAGTGCGTACCGGACGGCTTATCGTACCGTATCGGGTGTGCAAACACGGTTCACTAAAACTCTCGAATAGAGAGTTTTAGGGAACCGTTTTTGCACACGCAATACGGTACGATGGGCCCTCCGGTACGAACTCCGCATGCGCTACCGCAGAAGACTCGCAAATGTGCAGTGCGTACCGGACGGCTTATCGTACCGTATCGGGTGTGCAAACACGGTTCACTAAAACTCTCGAATAGAGAGTTTTAGGGAACCGTTTTTGCACACGCAATACGGTACGATGGGCCCTCCGGTACGAACTCCGCATGCGCTACCGCACAAGACTCGCAAATGTGCAGTGCGTACCGGACGGCTTATCGTACCGTATCGGGCTTGCAAACACGGTTCACTAAAACTCTCGAATAGAGGGTTTTAGGGAACCGTTTTGGCACACGCAATACGGTACGATGGGCCCTCCGGTACGAACTCCGCATGCGCTACCGCACAAGACTCGCAAATGTGCAGTGCGTACCGGACGGCTTATCGTACCGTATCGGGTGTGCAAACACGGTTCACTAAAACTCTCGAATAGAGAGTTTTAGGGAACCGTTTTTGCACACGCAATACGGTACGATGGGCCCTCCGGTACGAACTCCGCATGCGCTACCGCACAAGACTCGCAAATGTGCAGTGCGTACCGGACGGCTTATCGTACCGTATCGGGTGTGCAAACACGGTTCACTAAAACTCTCGAATAGAGAGTTTTAGGGAACCGTTTTTGCACACGCAATACGGTACGATGGGCCCTCCGGTACGAACTCCGCATGCGCTACCGCACAAGACTCGCAAATGTGCAGTGCGTACCGGACGGCTTATCGTACCGTATCGGGTGTGCAAACACGGTTCACTAAAACTCTCGAATAGAGAGTTTTAGGGAACCGTTTTGGCACACGCAATACGGTACGATGGGCCCTCCGGTACGAACTCCGCATGCGCTACCGCAGAAGACTCGCAAATGTGCAGTGCGTACCGGACGGCTTATCGTACTGTATCGGGTGTGCAAACACGGTTCACTAAAACTCTCGAATAGAGAGTTTTAGGGAACCGTTTTGTGCACACGCAATACGGTACGATGGGCCCTCCGGTACGAACTCCGCATGCGCTACCGCAGAAGACTCGCAAATGTGCAGTGCGTACCGGACGGCTTATCGTACCGTATCGGGTGTGCAAACACGGTTCACTAAAACTCTCGAATAGAGAGTTTTAGGGAACCGTTTTTGCACACGCAATACGGTACGATGGGCCCTCCGGTACGAACTCCGCATGCGCTACCGCAGAAGACTCGCAAATGTGCAGTGCGTACCGGACGGCTTATCGTACCGTATCGGGTGTGCAAACACGGTTCACTAAAACTCTCGAATAGAGGGTTTTAGGGAACCGTTTTTACACACGCAATACGGTACGATGGGCCCTCCGGTACGAACTCCGCATGCGCTACCGCAGAAGACTCGCAAATGTGCAGTGCGTACCGGACGGCTTATCGTACCGTATCGGGCTTGCAAACACGGTTCACTAAAACTCTCGAATAGAGGGTTTTAGGGAACCGTTTTTGCACACGCAATACGGTACGATGGGCCCTCCGGTACGAACTCCGCATGCGCTACCGCAGAAGACTCGCAAATGTGCAGTGCGTACCGGACGGCTTATCGTACCGTATCGGGCTTGCAAACACGGTTCACTAAAACTCTCGAATAGAGAGTTTTAGGGAACCGTTTTTGCACACGCAATACGGTACGATGGGCCCTCCGGTACGAACTGCGCATGCGCTACCGCAGAAGACTCGCAAATGTGCAGTGCGTACCGGACGGCTTATCGTACCGTATCGGGTGTGCAAACACGGTTCACTAAACCTCTCGAATAGGGAGTTTTAGGGAACCGTTTTTGCACACGCAATACGGTACGATGGGCCCTCCGGTACGAACTGCGCATGCGCAACCGCAGAAGACTCGCACATGCGCAGTTCGTACCGGACGACCCATCGTACCGTATTGGACGTGCAGATAACGGTTCCCTAAAACTCTCTGCTGTCTGAGGCACATGTCTCTTTGTGCGACGGTCCTGAAAATATTGGTAACACAAAAAACTGCCGGCAGACATCTTCGGACGTGTCCGAAGAGAATTCTGGCATCATGTATGAAGCGATCACCATGTATATATATATATTTTTTTTTTGTATATGGTGTATAAGCAGTCCCAAAACTGTCTGCATTGTGAACCCGACGTAAGCACCTGACGCGTGACGTCACACTCAATGTCATAACGCAGAACTGTTTTCTTTTTTCTTAAGTCTCGATATATTTTTAGCCTCGTAACTCGCCAAACGCCCTCCGTAATAGTTTTCTTTTTCTTTTTTTTTTTTCTTTTTTTATGGCGTGGAACAGATTTTTCTCTAAATATAGATTGCATGAATCGATGAATGGACCGAATGACGCAACTTCAGAAACGAAACGTATATTTGAAACGTTGCAAAACCTTATTCGAATGATTGCAGACCTTGCATATGACTTTACTCTCAGACACTATCACCATAACGCTATATGCGGTACATTTATCGGGTAAAGATTTCACAAACGGGGGGTGGGGGAGCTATCTGCGACGAAAATGTTACTCCGCAGCAGTTTCGGTGATCCTGCTGACCGAATTCATCTCGGACAGTGCAGGAAAGCGATCACGACGACGCCCGTCAAAATATTGACTCGTTTCATTCGATAACGTTTGATTTCATTCGTCCTGCCGAATAAAAGTCTACTTGACGTCCATCAGACGTCTCGGCAACACGCGCAAGACGACCCATAGATAACACGCTGAACACAAAGACGTCGTCTATTTAGTGTCTATATGAGACATCCTGGCGAAATGCGCAAGTCGTTCACTGGACATTTATGTAGCACATCCCTACACTCCGTAGTCACTGACAGGTGAAAGGGCGTGACTTCTTACTACGTTCGTACTTCTCGCTCCATGATTGGTTCGTAGGCGTTCGTATCGGCTAATGCCGTAATCTGATTGGCCACGGAGCGATAATGAAATGTGTCGGACCCCCCATGCCCTGCGCTGGACCATAGCCAAAGACACGTCGGGGGGACCTCGTACCTGGTAAGGGTCTTCCAAGGGACCGTAGGCAAGGTCGCAGCCGGACAGCGTCGACGTGGGGTCGTCGGACGTCGAGGACTGCCACGAGGACGCCGGCTCGCGACGCCACGCGATCTCGGCATAGTTGTCGCTCACGCGGGAAACGCTGACCACCAGGGAACCGGACGACAGCGACGTGGCCGACGGCTGCTGCTGCACGAACTGCTGCTGCGGTTCGCTGCCGTTGGATTTCACTGCGCAGAAGCAGCGGATGCACGACGTGGGATGGGAACTGTGTCAGAGGTACCTGGTTACACTGGCGTCGTGTGCCAGGTAGCTCTGACACAGTTCCTATCTGCGTGTAACTGAACGGAAGGATTTGCAGTATTTGTGAGATGACATCTACGCGCTATCCATGATAAATGGTTGCTCATAACATTGCCCGAACTATTTCGAGCTCGCGTTAAAAAAATGACGCGCAACAACAACAACAAAAAGTTACGAAATGCGTACGCAGATCGGAGGTGCATGGCAACCCTGATACGTGGCACCAGAGTGTTAATTCTGACGTCATTTTGTTCACGGGATAACAAAATGCAGTCCGTCACACTTAAACGCAAATGTATGCACCAGCCCCGAGAGATTCGGGACAGGACACAATAGACTTCCGTGGATGTGGCAGTGACCCTGTCCGTGGAGGTACATCTCATCAATACCTTGTAAGTTCTTCCAAAAACCCGGATCATGCCTTGCTAACCCGCTCACTGTGCGACATTTAAAACAAACGAGGCAGCATACTTATACACGGTACGATGCTCATCGAGGTCCAAACGGGCAGGATTGAGGGCTAAACTCAGGATCCCTGGGTGGGTTAGGGTGGCTACCTAGGGTTCTGCAGCGCAAGCTTTCGATCCAGACGCCCCAAGCTGCGGTACGCTAAAACACACTCGGCCACCGAAAAATAAATTCGCAAGATTCAGACTTTCGTGATTTAAATCGATCTATTCTTAAATAACTCACATTAAAGGGGCCCTCCGGAGCTTTCTGCGATCGTCTGTTTATGTTGTTATATTGCGTAATAGGTGCAAGTTAATATGTATACAAAGTTTTAGATTACAAAACCGTTCATTAAGCAGATGCCAGAAGAAATATATCGGGACTATTTTCTCTTGGAAGACAATCCCCCATTCCCTGCCCATCGCTAAAACTTGACCAATGGAAATGCTGCATCTCGCGGTGAATGCGAACGTTATTACTGCAACACTTTTCAAGCTTGTTGTAAATTAGAGTTTGAGAAAAACGTAAACTGACTGTGGTGCGGGAAACATGGTCCGCAATTATCGCTCCAAAACCAGCGAACTATGTTTTCTCCCCGTAAGCTTGTTGCTAGGGGGTGATGCGTCGGCGCGTCGGCTCGTCTGCTTCCCGGGGCGTCTGCAGGCGTGCGTTTGCGGGACACGTGTTCCTTTTTCCCGTGGATCCCGACTCCGAAGCCAGCTTTGCGATCCTTCCACGTCAACGAGTCAAACTTTTCCTTGTCATCTGTGGAATGCGACTGCGTATTGCAGTAGCAGCGCGACGGTGCGGTGCGACGAACGACGACTGCCGAGCACAAAGTCCGGAAAGATTCCTCCGCGGGTCGGCGGTCGGCCGCGTTGGTGGCGCTCAGTGACGCCGGAATCTTTCGCTTGCTATTGGCTGACGCGTAAAGAGATGCACCTCCCGTTTTCCGGGGTCATCTCAGAAAGGGGGGCGTGCCGGGGACTTTGATAGCAACTTTAATAGGAAACTGCGCCGCGCATGACCGTAATTTTATGATTTTTAGGTTCAGTTGCATTAACACATCAACGGATCAATAAGCCACTAGAGACAAATATGGTAAAGGATACCGTGCAAACGTTCCAGCAAAGCAGTGCATTTTCATCATGAAACGATGCCAACCAAATATCATCCGAAAAGGGGCAGCACGCGAGAATGCAAGTTCAAAAAAGCAGCACGAGCTCCTACCCCAGGGCCCCCAACTCTCTCCACTTTAGTAGAACGGAAGTTGGAGAGGAGGCGAGTCTACAGCGTTCGCTCGCTAATGTAGAAAGAATGGGGGACTTTCGGAAGGAGCTTGTACTGTCGAGACCGGCTATAACGAAGTCGGCTGTAACGAAATAGCGGCCACAGCGAAGCGATCACGATTTTCCATCCCCTTTTGCACTTCGTTACAACCAAAGTCGGTTATAACGAAATAGCCGATATAGCGAAGCGATCACAATTTTCCATTCCCTTTTGCACTTCGTTAACCGAAGTCGGTTATAACGAAATAGTGGATATAGCGAAGTGATTTCCGATTCCCGCTGATTTCGTTAGAACCGGTTTGGACAGTGTTGCTCTTCGTTACCTGCAACAGAATACAGTGAAATAATGGCGTTGTGACGTGATTGGGTTGTCTGGAACACCTTTTAGAGCAGTCAAAGGTCAATTTCGAAGCAGCGAGAGACACTTTTGGAGCCCAAGCGTACTCCTGGTTCTCGTTCCATTCCGAATACTCTATTGAGATTCGTGTGTCGGCCTGTCCAACTAAGATACAGTGCTTCTTTGCCTTACCAGTTCTGAGCAACCACTTCTTCGCACCCATTACAAAGTCGATACTGTTCCTTTCGCTATGACAAAGGCCTTCCGCAAAGTTAATCGTGATTTACTATTGCTGAAGCTCTCACTGTATGGAGTATCGCCGACCCTTTTGAGCATGGTTTAAGACCCACTATATCTGATCGTGGTAGCAGTGTGAGAATTTCAAGCAGCTCTTCCGGTACTTTTATCCCGGCATCTAGAGTACTCAAGGATCTAACCTCGGGCTCTTCCTATTCCTTGTATTTGTCAACAAAATTGAACTGTGCAAAGGTTCGCACTCGCGTTTGTTTGTTGACGACCATCAAGATATACACGAATATAAGACCATCGGACAGTTGCTCTGCATTACAAGATGATACGTTACGCGCATCTGAGTGGTGTTCCGCTTAGTGCTTAACAATGACAAAACTAAGCTTTTATTAATGTCACATAAACGCGATAAATTATCTTACCCCTACCATCCCGCGAGCCACCGAGTTTCGCAATCTTGGGATCTATTTTGACTCAAGACTTATTCCGTCTCATCATGTTTCAGAAATTGTTGCCTCTGCCGTTCGAATGATGGGTCCACTATATCGCTTATCGTGCGACTTCACGAATTCTTTATGCGTTCTCCGACTGTTTTCATGTCTACCGCGAGCAAAACTTGAGATTTGGCAAGGTGATATGGAATTCGCTGACAGGCACTGATGCGTCACGGATTCAAAATGTGCAGAAACGTTTTATTCGTCCCGTCTACGACAACTATATACTTCGGTACAAGGTGTATATTATGACTACGGCGACAGGCCTTAACAGGCTATGGTTACAAGATTTATCGAAGCGAAGACACTCTAGTGATATATCATTTTGCACAAAGTAATAGACCGATCTCACCAGCCAGTTTGACTACGCCACCGCTGCCGTAATGCATCGAGGGAACTTTTAGTCTTTTTGCACGTGCCACAACCTCGCTGGAGCACTGCGCGGCTAAAGCACGAGAGGGTCCGAGCCCTCGCATGCACGGCCGTCTGCCTCCTGAGCACTAAAGTTATGGCGGCGTCACGCATGCGCCGAACGCTTAGTGAGATCGGTCTGTTAACGGTCACATCGACGCTGGCATTTTAGGCCCTGCGAGTTTTCGTGTGCCTCCTCAATCGTGTGGACTTCGCTCCTTGTTCTACCCTCACTTTCATGAAATAATGTCGCCGTAAACCGGCATGCACGTCTCTCTCAACGATCTAGACACGCCATTTTGGATGTCTTTAGTGAATTTACTCTTTTCAAGCGTAAACTTGCCTAAGCGCTGTATCATGTTTAGGACACGCATCTCAATAAGTTACTGCCTATTCTTTTTTTTCTTTTTTTTTTGTCAAATCTTGTATATTTGTGCCACCACACTCAAACCTAACTGTGTTTTGGGGGTACTGAAGAGACAAATTATTATTATTATTATTATTATTATTATTATTATTATTATTATTACTACTATAAAGAATATTAAAACTGCAAAGGAGATTTAATTATGCACATTAATGGTATTTCACACGTAAAGATTTGTGATGATACGAAGTCAGCGTGTGGACAACTATTATGCCTTACAAATCCAATTAAACGCATTAATGTTATTCCCAAGCTTTCATTATCGTTATAAAGTTTATATAACGCTAATTTAAGCTTCACTAACTGCGTTCACAAACAGCTGGGGGTCTAGTATGAAGAGGTGTTAAACTGTTAACTAAAGAAAAAATTAAAACCAAAGCGCAGCCCAGTTACATTTAATTCACGAGATTCATCGACACTTTCCCGATACCTATTGCTCGAAAAATTTATCCATAAATGTCAAATAAAAATATATATATAATCTGTCAGCGTTCTGTTTTGCAAATTTTGCAGCAAAGTAAATGTCGTCACATTAACATTCATAAATTAAACACTTTTTACTTACTTGTATTTTTATTTATTTTTTGCTGTTTTTTAGTTCTTTGTTACTGACGCGCTGTAGTGTACCATTCCACCCTGGAAGAGCGTTTTACCCCTAACACGGCGATGAGCTGCGGCAAAGCAACATGCGCAGAATCGCGATGTCTAGACTTCTCTGCAGTGTTTCAGGTCGCTGCGAGAAGCGCACTCAACGGGGCTGGTTGAGCCGCCCGAACGAACCACGAACAATGGGAAATATCACAAAATTTTCGAATACCGAGTCGAGTGCGATAGTAAGGTCGAATAAAATCACGCGCTATTCTAATGAGTGATAAACGTTATTCTACTGAGTGATAAGTTATAAAATTCGCGAGTGTATCTTTTTTTTTTTTTTTTTTTTTTACAATTTGGCAGTGCGGCGACGCATCAACTCTATGCGTTTTCGCGCATTCGTATGAAATGAACTTTTTAGTGCTTTGACGCAATTTACGCGCAAATTGCTCACATTTTTTGGTGAAATTCTGCGGAATGTAGCAGGGTGAGAACTTTGCTTACAGTGCTACGTTCCACTATGGTGGTCCTTTCTTTGGAAGTACTAGAAAACGGTACTCAGAAGATATACATGTGCCGAAAATCTCGAATATGTACTTGCTTGAAGTAAAAAAACTGCCCTCCTGAACGTGCTTGAAGCGAGCTCAGCCGCCCACTCTCTTCGAAGTACAGAACGTCTGTGTAAGTACGTATCGATACTTTTTTTTGCTTTTTCTCGCCAGAGAAATAAACTACACATCGTAGAACGCACATTGTCCGCCGGAATGTAGCACTAGAGGTTGAGATTTCAGTTGCCAGAGTTTCATAGCTCTGGGTTGTTATAGGCAATTTTAGGAAATTTTCTGTGAGACCGAGGGGAGACCCGTTCCCGAAAGCAGACGTTATTCATGTACGTGCATTTTCGGACCCCACTGCTGTTGTTTTCTAATCAATTTTTTTTTTATTTATATTATTAACATAACGGTAGGTGTTCAAATTTTGACAGCTCATTTCAACCGCTAGCGATACTTTTGGCAGCAGACCGAGGTTCGGCAATACGTAATGTATTCTTGAGTTAAAAAAAAAAACTCAACAAAAAAGTTTTTTTTTTTTTTTTTTTGAGCACCTTTAACTTAGGAAGTACGAATTATACTCCCGATCACTGGCTGGCTTTTTCAATTCAATAAACATTTCTTACCTTTACTTTCTTCTATCTTTTATGTCAAATAAAAAAAAACGGTGTTTTGGCATTGCGTCGTAATCCACCTTCTTATATCTGGTATCCTATTAGTTACGCCACAAAAAGAAATGTTTTGACCACTCAATCGTAGCAGCTGGCACTAGATCAATTATTAAGTCATTCTATATTCATGTAGGTGTTTTTTTTGTTTTTTTTTTTTTTGTCGACAACATCGTTTACTGGCACACGCAATCCCTCAGACTGAATTAAGAATAAAATAAAACAGCAGCAATAGAACAGTTAACGGGATAACTAGGTTAAGGACACTGGTTACGTCACGATCATTCGTTCGATGCCTCAACTTGCATAAAATCCACTACAAAAACAAAACAAAAACGTTAAACAGAAACAAAAACACAATGATCCGAGTGACCCGTCTGCAGGACAGAAATTGATCGAGTGTGGTATCTATCGGAAGAAGAAAAAAAGTCAATATTAGCTTTACTTGTTGACTGTCCGCTGGTTGCCATGGGAATTTCCGTCACAGTGATATGACCCCGCAAACATCATAGTCCAGTTCCGGTCAACTATCTGACCCCGTCTCCTCTTGCGCATGATTACATTCGCAGCTCGGCGATCAAAGACATGTGCACGGTCGGTAAACTCGTAGTAAATGCGTTTCCAAGTCGCGCGAACGATCAATCGCGTAAAAGTTCGACCATGAACAAGTCGGCCGGACCCCGCTAGCGCCTTAATGTATGCGGCCTTGATGATAAAAGTCGTGGCAGGGCGACCGCTGGTTGAATAATTAGAACGCCCGAACCGAAAGGTGTAGTTTAATGACGGTGTTAAAACGAGGCAAAAATTGTCTACGCGGCTTACCCTGAGTTCACGTAGCGCTTCGGGTCACAACTACGCAAGGACATGAGCCCACACATATCCGTGGGAAGATACCATTTCTCGTTGTGCAGCTGGAGATCGCGTTCTGTGGCAGTTTTGACGGGAAGTTTGTAGAATTCGGGTACAACTAGTCAAAATATGCGGAACAAATTACGTTGACGCCGCGTTTTAGATGACAGTTTTCCCCTCCGCCGCAACAAAGACGTTCTCAGCTGACGCCGCTATCGAAGTTGCGGCGAAGTCCAAAATAAAACAAAAATAAACACGACGCTCTTTTGTCCCGTCAATGGAGACGGAACAAGTTGTCAAAAACGCTCTAAACTTCGTGTTCCCCCCTCCAATGACCAAACAACCGCGTAATAAATGTTTAAAACGAACGAGGAACAGTTCCCGAAGTGTGCAAGTCAGCAGGAGACCGCACAGAAGACGCGACGACACAAACGAACTTCAAAACTTACCGAGCGCATTGACCCAAGCCGAGGTACACAGAAGCACTAATCCGAGTGGTGGAGAAGTACAGACGAAGCCTTGCAAGGATCCCATAGCGGTCTGAATGGCGGAACCAAACCTCTAACCTGTCTCATTTCGTTTCGTCCGACGATCCCACGCGAATTCTTTTGAGATACTTTGTTTTGTGTAACCCCTGCAGAACTCCGGGGAGGGGGACACGCACGCACGACTATCACCTCGTTGCCATGTTGGTATTCCGCGAGCGAATGGAGCGAGCGCTCGCGAGCGTTCAGTTTCGTATCCGCCAGGGTTGCCGGGTCAGTCGTGCCGTTTCTCTCCGCTCGTCGTTCCGCATCGGAGGGAAACGCATGCGCAGTCGATGGCACCTGCGCGTCGATTTTTGTTCGTTTCTCGCCCTTCCATCTGCTCTTCCTCGTTCTTCTTTCTTGGTTACTTTTTTCGCCAGGAAGAGAAGTCTGAAGTCGCCGGCAGCTTCCAGAAGCAAATATTTTTTTTTTCTTTTTTTCAAAACGAACCTGTTTTGTTCTGTTTTTTTTTTGCGCGAAACCAATGTGTGTGCTGGAACATTTTTAAAAAAAAAAGCTGGGAAGAAACTTACATTTTATTTTTTGGCAGCTTGTAGACGGCTAATAAACTTAGGACAAACGAAGTGCATAAAAATATATCTTTATTCCACAAAAATAAACAATCTGTGAAGCACCACTGTGACATATCAGCATAAAAAAAAATGTAGAAGTCTTCTATAAGGCTGGCAAAGGTGCTACAAAGTTAACTCAAAGTCCCGCGTGAAAATGCGCAAACAGCTCTGAAACATCAAAAATATTTTGCCCAGTAAATTATCCACAATAAGAATGTGTAAAGACAAAAATATGTTGGGAACATTGCAAATTCTGTGGCAGCCCTGCGCATTCCACGGTGTATAATGCACTAGAAGAAAAACATTCGTAAAAAAAGAAAACAATCCTGCAGTAAGCATTTTCCAACAAAACATCTACATGTGACGAAGCCTAAAGACTTCTCTGGATATGATAATTTGTGCTGCAGATGTAACACTACTCATAAGCACCGAGTCTAGTTCTTAGAACACTGAATAATGACTTGACAAGAAATCAAATAACTGACAAAGCTTGTCATCAACGTAAGCTTCAGAGGCTATGAAACTGCAAAAATAGCAGACCTCAGATGCAGAACATGGCTGCCAGATAACATATGTCTTTGCACTCTAGCCAGAATTAGCTGATATATACAGCTGCATAGTCTGGCTCGAGCTCACGTCTCTCCTCAAAATTGTTATGATCCCCAAAACCATTGTCACATGCGCCGAATCGCTTGCAGATTGACACAGAACAATCCAACTGTCACATACCACGAATACCAACGTCACTAGATATAAGGCGTTTTCACTGGCACATTTTCGTCCACCGTTTTGTTGTCGTCAGCTATGTGCCACATCCTGAAGGCAAGTATTTCAAGCATTCACACGGCGCCCTCAAATTGGTACTGCATGAAAACTTATGTTTCATCAACTCTTTTTTTTTTCTGATAAACAAAACATTTCATCATTGACTCATTCTAACACAATATGGTGGATTACTGTCATGTGAAAATACCCTATACACAGTTGCAGAAATTCCCATACATGCTGTACGGCAAAGTATGTTTTCGTCTGCTAACCGACTTTTTCAGAAACGGCGTAAATTACAGCCATGTTTTGTTACTATACGCACCACTATATAGACTCCCCATTATACAGAAAATCTTTTCGGAAACAAACTGGGTAAATACACGCATTTTTGTCTCGTTATTATGGACGATTTCGGGAGGGACCGGGGATGGAAAATACATGGGAGGCGAAACGTTCAATGAAATTGTTATTTTTGTTATGAAAAAAATTTGTTATGAGTTTTGTTATAAGAAAAAGAGCTATGCTGCATGTGCAACGAGGCTATTTTCACTATGAAAGCAGGTAAAAATCTGAAATGTCTTTTGTGCCACCAGTAAACGTATCAACGTAAACAATGGTTTCAGATATGTGGAAGACTTTGTCACGGCCGAAATCGCACCTGACACGGAGCGTACGCACCTTCACACGTGAACAGAGTACAGAGTTCCCCAAATGAGCCAACGTCTACCAATACGACAACTCTGGTCCGGATCAGCCAACATGTTCCGATGCACGGTGCAGCTCCAACTCCACTCCCTTCTGAAAGTACCTGCGGCAGTCGGCGCACGACGGGTGCATCCGCATGTGGTGGTTCAGGTGAAATTTGTGGCCGAAGCCTTTCCCGCACACCTCGCAGGCAAACGGGCGGACACCGAAGTGCGTCCGCTTGTGGCGCTTCATGTACCAGACGTCGTGGTACGTCTTCTTGCAGATGTCGCACTGGTAGCGCTCCCGCCGCTCCGAGATGTGCACCCGCATGTGCTTCTGCAGGTGGTGCTTGTACAGGCAGACTTTCTTGCAGATGTCGCAGACAAACTTGCGGGGCTCCACGGGATCCTTGACCGTGATGCGGACGAGGAAGGTCTTCTGGGCACCACCGTGGGAGGAGAAGAGCGTGAGTTGGTGGAAACGGATGTGGGCTTCAAGCGACTCGTCGTCTGGAAAGGTCTTGTTGCAGTTCTTGCAGCACAGCCTGAACTGCTCCTCTGGCAAAAGTGATCCGGAGGTGGGAAGCACGTCCGCTTCTTTGGAAGCTGCAATCGGATTCGTCGCGTGTTAGAAGCAACGTCGTGTCGAGTCTCGGAAGCTGCCCTCGGCTAAAGGCAAACTTCGGGGATTTCAGAAATTCCCTTTTGTCGGAAGGCAACCCGGCGACGCTGGCACATAAGAAGGGTACATGAATCTTTAGTCACAAGAAACTTTAAGGTGCCTATTCTGGCCTCTTTAAAGTGTTTCTGGTCTTGTGTCCTCAACTGGTGGATTTCTGAGGTTGCTAGACATTATGTTTTCAATGGTCAAAAAAGTTTGTATTTAGACTTAAAAAAGATCAGACTTCTTCCACACACCTGGCTTTCTGCAAGCCCAACCCTTGCAAACAGGAAAGGTCGCCTTGAATGGCTCCTCACAGCTCTACCCCAGATTATGTTCACGCATCAGAAAGACAATAAATGTGAATGAATGCTGCTCTATACTTTAAAAAAAATAAAGGTTTACGAGACGAAACAGAATCTATAAACAGAACCTGTACATAAGCACATTCCTGATCGGAACAGCTAGGTGCACTGCCTTAGGCACACTTCGGAATAAAAAGAAGCTTGAGTCTTTGGTACATCTTTCCACTCTGGGCATAGCAATTGCCTCTAATAGAGCTTCTGAATTTAGGTACGTACAGTCCCCTGCAATAGGAAAGACCCACTGGGAGCTCGTGGCCAAGGCTGTGGCCGGTGGGGGCGTTGCGAGCGCTTCAGGCAGTTCCATTCTGCTTTGAGGGGAGCACGCTCACTCTGGGCTCAGCTAAAGTGCAACGTGCTAATCAGTTTCTGCTTTCGGTTTTAAGCCTCCTCTTCTCGAAGCAGAATGGAATCGCCCAGGACGCTCGCAGCACCCCCGCCCGCGACCACTTCAGCCACGTGTTCCCAGTGGATCTTTCGTATTGCAGGGGACAGTAAATGGGCTCAGGTAGCGCTAAGGCTGTACGGTAACACTGAAGCACAGCTGGAGCATGCATGGACCACCTCACAGCCAAAGCCAAGATGTAAAAGGAGGAACACTGAAGAGAAGTATGCTAATGTGTTCAACCTCTATCAATGGTGACCTAGTGACTATCACTATACTTCGCTCACCTTTACCATGACAGTGCAGTGGAAGTTGCGCACTCGCCAGACCAATCACCTGCCTCCCTTCCATCACCACTTCATCATCATCAACAAAAGAATGACATATAACTGGTCAAGCGAGCACCCTACTGTCAGCTTAGGGGTGTAAGGAGTATATCATGAAAGCTTGCTGTTGCAATTTTTTTCTCTTAACTCGAATTTTAGCATTGAACCCGACATCAAATGAATTACATTCTTATTTAATATACCACAGAACAGGAATGTGCAGAAAGAAGTGCAACATACTGTTTGCAAACAACCACAAAATATTTGAAAAGCGGTTAACATTGTATATGCGCAAATCGAATAGTCGCACCTGGCGAAAGTGGTTCAGCTTTAGGTGGAGTGCTGTCAACGTCATCTACGGATTCCTCGTCTTCAGCATCGCCGCGATGTTGGCGGGTTCGTTTCTTGCGGCGTGGCATTCTACGGGGTGAAAAGAAAACGTCACATTGCAGTGGAAAATGTGTTAATCCCAGCCATTTTGGGAAGTGATCTGCATCGATAATAAAAATAATAATCTTTATTAGCGACAGTGGTTTCTGGGTGGCTCGCAAGGCCAGACAGATAGGCTGGGCCCCGTACGCATGAGCGTCTGCTAGCCAGCCAACCAGTTTACCCATACATCATCTGTACTTTATGGGAGGCACTCATTTGATCGAATGACGTTTGACCGAATGACACTTTAGCGAATAGTCGCCAGCCGCGAAGCGGCGTTAACGGACGGGCCAAGTGGGTTTACATTTTTGAGTCCATCCACCTCCCAGTAGAGAACTAGCATAACAAGTCATAGGTTTTCGCGATGTGTGACCCGAAGAAACAACTCTGGCCAGGCACTTGAACAGTAACAGTTGGTTACCCCTTAAAATAAGCTTTGATAGTTTCACAAGTGCATAAGGTTGCGGCAGTTCTTCCACTGGCGGCGCAAACGCATGTGTTCCAGGGACTAGCGTCCAGTGGCTCGAGCCACGACTAGCAAAGAAAGAAACATCAGTCTATGTACCAACGTTACTATGTACCTGTGAACTGTTGTAATCACGTCGTTATAAGCGCCAGGGCGTTGTACATTACGTTGGGAAACAAGAACTCGAAAACATTGCCGGGAAGTTAAAACACACCAATCCACTAGTCAACGCAAATAATAAAAACAAACTATTTATGCCCAGTGTGGCGAGGCGTCAAGCAAAACCCGCTAAAACTTAAGCTTTTTTTAATATGTAAAACAATTTAAACTGTAACGTAGGCTCTCTACTTTGTCTTTCAAAAAGCTTATATGAAAATTTATTATAACCAAACAGTTTCAAAGAAATATTTTAATTGATGAATAGTTCGGCCGTGAGTTCAGCGGCGCCTCGCGCCACGGCCGCCACGGCGCCAGCAGCGCCAGCTCCGAAAGCATTCAAAATGGCGGACTTTAAAAGTGTACAAGTGTTTTCGTACCCACGTGCGGGCGTCAAAACAACCGAGGATACCGTCTACTGGAAAAGACTGTCGCTCCCGGTCACCGTCAAGGATATCGCGGCGATCAACTATGTCGACATATCCCCGGAAGAGCCTTACTCGTTCGCTATTACGTGCTCCTCCCGCGTCCAAGTGTTCAACCCCGTGAGTCGCGAAATCACCTGCCGCCTCTCCAAATTCTCTAAAGCCGCTTGCGGCGGCATCTTCCGAGACGACGGCAGACTAATTGCAGCCGGCGGTGAAGACGGTGCCGTCAAGTTATTCGACATCAAGACAAAGTCGCTACTCCGACAGTTTACGGGCCACAAGGGCCCCGCGCAGCGGTGTGCGTTCACTCGAGGCGGTACCCAACTGCTGAGCTTCTCCGACGACACCACGGTCGCGCTTTGGGACATCCCTGGCCAGGCTAGAGTCTTGTCCATCGACGCCCACGACGACTACGTCCGATGCGGCGCCGTGTGCAAGGCCCACCCGGACGTGGTACTGTCCGGATCGTACGACCACCACGCTAAGCTGTTCGACCTCAGGTCATCTGACGCGGTTGTCACGGTGAATCACGAAGCGCCCGTCGAATCCGTGCTTATGTTCCCAACGGGCGGCATCTTTCTGACCGCCGGCGGTCCCTCGATCAGAGTCTGGGACGTCGTAGCGGGCCGTCTGCTCGCCCAAGTCACCCAACACCACAAGACCGTGACGTGCCTCAAGCTTGCAAGCGATGAACAACGTCTATTGTCCGGATCGCTGGACAGGCACGTTAAGATCTTCGATGTGGCTACATACCAAGTCGTTCACAGCCTAGACTACCCGTCTCCAGTCCTCTCTCTGGACATCTCGCCTCAGGATCAAGTCCTTGTGGTTGGGATGACGTCAGGACTCATCTCTGTCCAGCGCCGGAAATCTGACCAGCAGAAGGAGCCGTCCTTGAAGAGGAAGCGGACGACCAGTTACTTCCAGACGACACACGCCGACCCCGGGTTCGTCCCACGAGATGGCGACACCATAGTGTCCGAGAAGACGCTGAAACACACGTCCAAGTACAACAGCTATCTCCGGACGTTCCAAGTCTCCAAGGCTCTCACCAGCGCGCTGCGGCACGCCAACTTTAGGAAGGAACCTCAGGTCGCTGTTGCTGTGATGCAGGAACTGATACGGAGACGGGCCCTCAAGTCTGCACTGGCCGGGAGGACGGGGAAGGATCTTGTGGACTTGATGCAGTTTGTCACCAGGAACCTGACAGACCCACGCTTCTCTAGGATTCTCCTGGACGTAGCTATGCTCATGGTTGAGGTCTACCACCCCGAGGTGACGAGCTGTGACGAGACGCACCGGAGGTTCCAGATCTTGCAGAGGGTGATTGAACAGGAAGCCAAGCACATGTGTGAGATGATGGAACTTAAGGGGTCCATTGAGATCCTTCTGGCAAACTCCTGTGGAAGTGTTCACAATGGTGGGGCACCTAGTTCTGTTGCAAGGGTAGAAGTGCCGAAGCTATGATTGTCTACAATAAATTATCATCGCCGCTGATAGAAGAATGAAGTACATGAATAGACTTTGGTTTTATTTTGCTCTATGAAAGTCCAAACTATGCAACGAAGAACTTTGTAGGTTGAACAAAAGCATAACTCAGATGACACGACTTTGAACTGTCAACAAAACTGCTGATTTTACTGGCCTTTTAGTTGCAACCATTTACTGAAGATGAACCTCTTCTTCCAGACCCATTTGTTCCTAGATATGAAACTAATGGGCGTGGACGATCTTAAGTGATTGGTTGCTAGTTCAGCAGTGTGTTAGTCCTCTTTTGTCTCTCTCTCTCTCTCTCTTCGTCTATCTTCCCAAGTTCCCGCTGACATCTTTCAAAAACATAAATCACCAACTATAGTCGGTGACAGGCCAAGAACGAAGTGGAAGCTCCTCCCACCTCTTTCCGCTTCAGTAGTGCGAACGCTGGAGAGGAGGCGACCTCCTCTCCACCTTTCGCTTTGCAGAGGTGGAAAGGGGTGGGAGGAGCTTCCACTTCGTTCTTGGCCTGTCACCGACTATTTGCGACTCCAACTAACTATAGGTGGCGCCACTCATTTTCCAAGATGGCGGGTTTAGTGAGGGTCAGAGATGCGTGCCACTGTTGAGCCTGTCTAGTGTGCTGGCTTCACTGAGCGACACAAATTATTTCTGGCAATACGAGGAAGCTAGGGTTTCATGAGCGCAGGTAACCTTTTTACCCTGAAAAACAAGAACGGTGTTTCGTGTAATATTTCGCAAGGATGCGCATTTTAATTCCGAAGCTAAACCGAAACTAACCTCTATTTTTTATTTAATTTCTCGATATAGATCTTAATTTCGGATTCTTTGATGACTCAAGATGTGTCTCACATCGTACTTATTTACTTGAAAAAGTTGTTTGCGGAAACTTTATTTTTTGACATACTGTTCGATTCAGGCTGATATTTGTAGTTGTTCAAAAAATCGGTGCTGATATCTGTGCGTTCTTGCTGCCTTTTTCTCGCTCAGATAATTGCCATGGAAAATAATGACAATTATCCCAGCACAAGAACTAGAATAATTATAATTCTTACAATATGTCCACCAAACGAATAAACTAATAAACGCCGTTCTCACTAGAAAAAATTCTAAAACGGAATCCAAGTCAGACAGCTGAAGCGTGAGTGTGTTTTTATAGCACCGGGCGTGACGCGTAGGACTTCGTATTACATCCAGTGTTTGACTGTTTGTCTATCTTGATAACTATTCAGAGTTTTTCACATGCTAAAAAGAAAACAGAATTATACCTTTCTGGAAAGACTATTATGGTTAAATAGAGTATTCTCGTGATCTTGGCGTTAATTAGAAACATACATTGCCGCGATTTGTATTATTAATAATAATATTAAAATTCGCATATTTGAATAAGTGATTCTTCAAGCTCTAATATAATTTGTTGCTTATGATCTAATTTTAAACGCGCGAAGAAATATGACAATGAAAACTGTGCCAATTATCATCACTGGTTCTAATTGCTGCATTTTAATTACGAATAAAATAAATATTGTCTAAAATCTATTAAAACATTCTAGCTAATGTGAGAAATCTATGTAAAATTACATTAATTGTGGGTAAAGTATATTGTGCTATCAAAGTCGTGACTTTTGACAATCGGCGGAACGTCCAAACTCGCCGCCAATATACTTCCAAACCAAATGCCCAAAAGTAAAAAAAAAAAAAAATTTTTTAATTATTAGTTTTTTCATAACATTTATTTACTTTTGTATTTGCTCGCCGTCTTTTTGCCAATCTCAGGCTTTCCAGTTCGAAGGAACGCCTCCCTGCTTGCACGTCTGCTCACTGTAGCACGTTTCGTTGGCGTTGGAAGCCGGTGAAACAGTAGTGAGTTTTAATAATATTGCGTATACGAGCGAACTCAAGCCTTGTGTGTTTGCGTTGGCTTTGCGCGTTCCACACTGCGCGTGCGCGGAGTCCGAAATCGCGGTCTTGGATGGCGCATGGCGATGAGGCGCAGGCAAAACGTGGGGCACGCAACTCGAACGCAAACGCACACCGCTTGCGTTTGCTTCTATGCGCAATACTAAAACTCTCCAGTAAGGTACAATCCCATACCGGCTGCAGCACTATACGTTGGGACTGTGAAGAGTGTTGTTTGCATTCGGAAACGACATTTCGCGAGCCATGATCGCGAGCAGTTCCGCCGTGCCCGCTGAGCAGGAAAATCGGGGGACCCTCACTAGAGCGCTTCCCGTTTCCGCCGCGGGAGGGCGAGCGTCGAGCTGGAGACGCGAATAGGTCAGTATCCGCGATGCACAACGCTGGCTCTGAGAGTCGAGTGTCGAGTTTCACGGTTTCACGCGCGAAGAACCTTTCGTGACGTCATGTTTTCCCTTCTCCTTTTACTGTTCTCCCGCTACCACGGAGGGGCGTGGTTTCAGTACAACGTCAAAGGCGTCTTCCTTGGCGTTAAGAGCATAAAATAGTCTACTTTTTGTAATATTTATGATGCTTGGAGTCTGATTAAAACGGATCAAATTTGTTTAATCAAATTGAAAACCGCTTCAACTTCCCTTTAATTACGCGGCTTATACTCGAAACAGTATTCTGTAGCTGCCCGACTACTTCATTTATAACAAAATACAGCCTTAATATAAAATTTTTCCAGTATTTACTTGCACAAATAACTTATTCTTTTTATATATTCCAAGTTATTTTTACTTGCACATTCCGGTAGGTTGAGCCGAAGTTTCTTGGTTTCGCTAGTTCGTGACAGCGATAATCATGATTCGTGAGGGCGCTGCTGTAGGGTCACCGTTCGCCGAAGGAAGGTTATTAGAATCGGTCAGGTCGGCACGATCTCGTTTTTTTAAAAAAATGTCGCTTTTTCGGGCATCTGTCGCAGCGTGTCGGTTTGTGGTCCCAAAATCTAGATTACTAGCATCCCAGTCCGTGCAGGCAAGGACGTACGCCGACGGTGGAATGCCCTTAACCTTTGCTTCGCCGGCCGAGGTAAGTTCCCTGGCCACCGCATGGCGTTCCGCGGTGGAAGCTCTCAATTCATTTTCACAATAGTTTTACCTTCGTGAGCTGCTTGAAAACGTACCCCAAGTGTGTATATAAGTTTAGTTAATCTAACTTATGCGATTGAGTTTGTATAACTTCCCTTGCTTGCTCGCAAAGTCCGCCTTAGGAACCCCGTTCGACATTTGGACGAGTGTCGACTTCGCGAAGCGCCCCACCAACACCCTTTGAAAAGACGCCAACCTAATAGAATTCTATTCGAAGGAGGGCGAAATGTTTGTATGTATATCGAGTTTACTCGCACATCAGTTTACTCCTCAGTTCAAGGGTTTAAGGGGGTGAAGACCTGTGCCCCCGCACGCAAGTCTTATCACAACCAGACATTACCTTATGTGATTACTTTTTAATCGACCTAAATTAACCTGAGACAGCTTACGTTATTCAACAAAACATTATCCTGGTGTGTTCAATACAATAGCACGCTGCGGTAGGCGGTAGCGTGCCATGTAGAGCGAGTTCATACCAGGTGTGCAGGCGACAAGAAAAGGCGGGAGCCCATGCAATCTGTGTACTGTGTTTCACCTCACGATGGACAGCCGCGAACGCTACAAGCCATCCCAGCCAATCCGATGCTGTGACCGTGTCACGTGACTGCGCGCTTTGTCTCTTTTTAAGGTCATGTTTTCTCGCACGGCATTGGATGGCAGATTTGGCTGGTAGTGTCCTCCGTGGTCTAACGTGAAATAAGTGTAGCAATGTGCATACTCAGTTGAAATGCTTATATACCCCCAGTGCTCCTGTCGGTTATTGGATGGTCATTTCAGCCAATTGCTTTGCAGACATTCTTTGACAAGGTAGACGTGAAGCAAGTGGACGTGCCGTCGTACAGCGGCAACTTTGGTATCCTGCCACACCACGTCCCAGCACTGGCGGTCATCAAGCCTGGCGTCGTGACTGTCTTCACCAATGAAGGCGATGCCCAGAGGTTCTTCGGTACGCCGCTGCAGTCAAGCCAAAAACATGCATCGCATCGTCTTGATGGCAGTTCCATGATGTCAGGATCAGGTTTCGGAGCCACCACATTCACAGTACCTAGCTGTGAATCACTCTCACCTTTCACTGGTTGCTGCGAACTGCTGCCACAACTACGCTGTTTCAATATAACTTGGCTGAGTAAACGCTACAGCTCTGTTTGAGGCCTTCAAAGGGAACAAGCGGAACGCTTGTGAGCTTTCGACGGGAGGTGTGCATTCCAACACTACACTGTTGTGCGACTAGCTCCTACTCTCTGATTGGCAAGCTGGGGCTGTAGCTTTTACTGTTTTTCCAGTTGTGTTCAAACGAAGTAGAGCAAAGCTACACCCACAAGGTCTAGCATGACTCGAGGTTACGATGAGGGATGATAGAGGTTGCTACATATAGCTGCAGGTTCCAACCGCTACCATGCAGCAAGACTACCCCATGAACCGTCGTAGTCAGAAGTGCCATTAAGCAACCTTAGCAAAGCAGTTGAACTACGGCAAAATACTGCGGAAGTGCCCAGGTTGTCCAAGCAACCACTATTAATCCCGAACTTTGGAATTCTGCAAATTTTACGTTAAGCGCCTTATTTGACCGGACAAGCGCTCATGTCTAGATTAACCCTGTTTTCAGTGGAGCTAGAGTAGGCACTCCTCCGGTAGTGTTATAAAAACATATCAGTGAAAAAATGAGGTATCCTCGACAGGTGACATTTCCTTCCTGCAAGGGCACTGCTACAAGGCTGGATGGTTGGGCCAGTTGGTTCCTATCGATCTCTAGAAAAGGTGCCAAAAGAGACCAGGACGAGAAGTTAAACAGAACAAAGTGTGCGTTTTGCTCAGCTTGTCTTGTCACCTTTTCTACACGAGTTGAAAAGCTTCCACAAGACATTTTTCATAGATGGATGGATGCCCGTGCGGCCGAATGCTTTTAATCAGACAGCTAGCGCCACCTAGCAGGGTTTTTTTTCTTTTTTTTTCGGTTGTTTAGTTTTTTCTTAGTGGTATGTCATAATGGGGTGCTTATTTGTCCCTTGTTTCAGTGAGTAGTGGAACAATCACAATCAACGAGGACTCATCTGTTCAAGTCCTGGCTGAAGCCGCGGTTCCCGTGGATCGGCTCGACGCTCAGGTATGGGTGTCCCACTTTAAAGGCGCATGTGTCGTGATTTTTGAACACCCTTAATAAGGAAATAAGCTACGCACGGTTGTGGGATTCGGGTTTGTTGGGATGCTTAGGGCGTCTAGATTGAGTTGTCACCACAAAAGGACAATCTCAGAATCGACTTCAGTGCCCCTTTAAGACTGACCTACAAGTGAAGATCCCACACCCCCTTTCTTCCATGCCCTTTTTCACTTGCAAGGGGGAGCGAGCCTCTTCCCCCCCTCCACCCACTTCATAGTAGACATCCACGTGCGAGAATGTTAAAATAAATCATACCATCATGCTCGTTACGAATGTACATTGCGCTGAAAAGATGGGGAACAGCTCGGCCGCTGAAAGCGCGCGCCGAGGCAACTTCGTTGAAATGAAGACACAATCGTTGGGGATTATTGGAAGGATGCCTACCACTCAGGGGCGGAAGTGTCGCGACAATGCCACAATTTACAGTTTGACACGTTTGGGCGAAGTTTAGAAATGTAATGTTTCATCTTCCGACAGGCATGCAGAGAAGGCTTGGCCAAAGCACAACAGGCCGTCACTGCTGCTGCCACCGACGAGGCAAGGGCGGAAGCGCAGATCGAAGTGGAAGTGCACGAGGCACTCGTCAAGGCCGTTGACTGAACCCCTCAAAAAAGCAAGACCAATAGGCAACAAGTTGCATAGCATCACTGGAATACACTGTAAAATAAAGTTTGGAAGTCAATTGCAGCCCAAATCATGCTGGAACTGCACGTACGCAACACAACGCTGCTAACGCGAACACGGCGTCGGCGCTTTTTCAGAGTTTACTTCGAAGGGGTATCGACGGGCATCAATCTTTACTGCTTAGGTTAGTGCCTCAAATGAGCACTTCCCATCACACTAGTAGTTTTGGCGACAGCCTTGCAATTCTAAAAACGAGAAACTGACGATTGCTTACTCACGCCAACGACGTCGTACAGTGCACGCACCAGATGTGCCTGCAACTTGGCACAAAATTTTGGCGTCTGTCCTCGGGACAACTGTGAACTAGAGCTCGAAAGTAACAAAAGCGAGTTACTTACTACTATAAATACTTGCCAAGTGACAATGCAGTTTGAATAATTTGCGACTTCATTCCGCAGGACTTCCCAAAACACTAATGTACGGATCTCGTGCCTGCCCATTGTGCTCTTGCGACGGTGCGCCCTGGTAGCAGACGGCACAGCAAAGTAACTGTGTCAGCCTCTCGTTCTCTCCCATGCCACACGGTGAACATTGCGGGAGCGATGTTCGAAGGGAGCATGCAGGACATTTCCGCCGTTCGTCTGTCACGTGCCTCATCTGGCATTTCGGGATTTCTCCAAACGGTCCACTACAGTCGCAGATGAAGCAAGAACGGCACGGCAAGTTTTTGGAACATCCAGCACATGCTTCACGCTTTTTGCCATGTCACGAGTGCGCGCATGCGCTTGGGGTGCATGAGTTGTTGAAGCGTCGGAGGCTTGTACTCGAGGCGTTCCCACCTTGGCACCAACTATAGACCAACACTCGGCTCCGACGTCGTGCCTGTACCGTGGCGCTGGTGCCACCACGGCGCATGTGCAGAAGCTTCGCCTCGCGCTAATTTGGTTTCTGCGCTCGCGTAGTGCCCATACCTGGTGTGGGCAAACGCAGGCTTGTTTGGAAACAGTGTGGTGGTCTATAGACGATACAAATATGCGAGTAACTGCATTCTACCTATTGACATCAGTGTTGCGGAATGGGCACCCCCATTCCATTCCCATTCCATTCCGGGGAATTAGAGTTTTCGATAATTCGATTCCTTTCAACTCCTAGGAATGGAGACACTGGGCCCACTCCCACTCCTGGAATGGCTGAATCGTTCCATTCCATTCCTCTAATTCCAAAAAGTAAAAATTGGCTCTTGACAGCTACATTGTGTTGCCGGCATAAGCACCATAAAGCTGACATTATCAAACGCATAGACAATTGCAACAAAATGCAAAATGCCTGAAAAAAGCACTGATTTTACTAAGCGGAGCGCCAGTGGCATGAAGTGTTTGTTTACATTGTACTGCAAACATTGAGAAAGCCTCTTGATATCATGTCGATGCTTGTTTAAAACGTCGGCCTTTCGACCACGTGGCTCGCAACAAAAAGCAAAACGTAAATCCACTAATTTTCTTTGGCAAACGTTTTTTTGCATTTGTCTTCTAGGACATACGCGGCCAGCCTTTTTGTTTGATAAGACCATAAAAATATCCAGTTTGTGCATGGCGCAGAAATAAATGGGTCCATATCACATGAGCGAATGACATTTTAGCGAACAGCGACATTTGAGCGAATCGACGTTTTAGCGAATAACGGGGGCGCGCGTTAACCCATCCGCTGCGCTGCGCTTTACGCCGCTTCGCGGCCGACAGTCTGCGGCGGCTCATTACAAAAATGTGAACCCATTTGCCCACCCAAAAACGGTGCTTCGCGGAGTCTGACTATTCGCTAAAGTGTCATTCGGTGAAACGTGGGCGTTCGCTAAAACGTCATTCGATCAAGTGAGTGCCTCCCGAAATAAACTATATTAAGTACTGTATTCTTCAACTACCTGCACAGCAATACGGTTAGTACGCTGCTGGAAGCGACTCCATGCACGGTGGCAGGAACACATCCTCTGACAAAGTGCAACCTCTGCGGCGCAGCACGAGAGACCATGTCACGAAACAGTCTTTCTGCAAGTCTTGAAGGTCCATATCACATGAGCGAATGACATTTTAGCGAACAGCGACATTTGAGCGAATCGATGTTTTAGCGAATAACGGGGTCGTGCGTTAACCCATCGGCCGCGCTGCGCTTTACGCCGCTTCGCGGCGACAGTCTGCGGCGGCTCATTACAAAAACGTGAACCCATTTGGCCCACCCGAAAACGCCGCTTTGCGGCGTCCGACTATTTGCTAAAGATTCATTCGGTGAAACGTGGGCGTTCGCTAAAACGTCATTCTAGTCAGTTCGGTTACGCGACAAGAGCGGTGACGACAATCTACTTCACCTTACAATGGACCGCACCAGACAGCACGAGAGCCATCGAAACCTATCCAGTGCCTTCTGAGTGTCGCGTGACCCTGGGGCGCAGCAACGCGCCTTGCGCGTACTCCCGCTCACGGTGCTGGATTGCCTGGCGTGACTCATAGCGTCCGCAGCGGTCCATCACAAGGTGAAAAAAAGTACGCAGAATCTAAAGTCGAAGGAAATGAGCGGGAATCCGCTAGCTTGCTTGTAACCCTAACCGGCTTGAATGTAAAGCACATAGACGCTTTGCAGCAGCTGTGCATGGACGCCGCCATAATTGACCTTCGGTTTTTGTTTCCTCTTATTTCGTTGATTTCACTTGATCTTTACCATAGCAGGCTAGGTTATTGCCATATTAGATTCAACTGTGTCCTTTTCTAAACCGTCGGCCTTTGTAGAGGATCGTCAACTACCGTTTCAGTTGATCGGCATCTCGGTAAGACAAGAGAAGGTCAGCAATGGCGGCAGTAATTTGGCGCGTGTGTAAAGCGTCTATAACCCAAAAAACATGCATCGGAAGAAAGTTCAAGTAAAAGGCGGACTTACACGTAAAAATGCAGAATAATAAAACAAGTGTCGGAGCAAAGCACAAGAGGAGAAGAGAGAAGTGAATCTTGCTTTGTTTTATTGTCGAAGCAAACCCACAGTTCGCACTTCAAAGGAGTGCGCGCGAATGAACGTGAAGGGCAGCAGGTTTGGCCGCCTGCTAAACAACGCTCCTCGAACTATACAAAAACAATAGAGAGTTTTAGTAGATCGTGTTTTCAGGCCACACTAATCGTAGCGGGAGCTCGCGCTGCCACTTCGATGCATGCTCTAAAGCGCGCGCTCGTAGCGGTAGCGAGTCTTTAAAAACGATCTACTAAAACTCCCTAATAACTGATCATCTTTCGGCGGCGCGCGAGTCAACGAGTTATCGGAGCTCTGCGAGTTATGAGTCGTCCCCCGCTCTCAGATCTCAGTCTGTGCGCGCGTATATTCTGCATGCCTTCGTTTCTTTTGCTTGGTGCTTGGGTGCTTGGTTTCTTGTTTCGCTCGCTCTCGCGTAACGCCAGTAAAGCCCGTCGCCTGTGCGAAAGGCGCCACCGCCACCCCCTTTCTCCCTTTCCTATCTACTCTTTGCTTTGACGCTTCTTTTTTGCATTGCATTTTTTGCGTATAAGTCTGTTATAGACGCTTTACACACGCGCCAAATTACAGTCTCCATTGCTGACCTTCTCTTGTCTTACCGAGATGCCGAGCAAGTGAAACGATAGTTGACGATCCTCTACCAAGGCCGATGCTTTAGAAAATGACACAGTTGAATCTAATATGGCAATAACCTGGCCAGCTAGGGTAATGATGAAGTGAAATAAACGGAATAAGAGGAAACAAAAACTTACGGTCAGTTATAGCGGCGTCCATGCATAGCTGCTGCAAAGCGTCTATAGCTCCACGCGGGTTAGCAACTGGCTCGCCGACTGGCTCAAATTCGCTGACCGTAAACACTAAAGAAAAAAAGAATAGAAGAACCGGGCCCACTCCATTCCCATTCCATTCCGGGCAAAAGGCATCTAATTCCATTTCCATTCCATTCCCCTCAACGCTGCTGCCATTCCATTCCCATTCCATTCCGGGGTCGCGAAAATTCGGAATGATTCCGGAATCATTCCAACTCCGGAGTGGCAACTCCGCAACACTGATTGACATTTGCAAGTACGGCCTCTGAGCGCCGCCATCTCGCTACTGGCAAGGGTTGATCGTCCAATAGACGAGCAATGCCGAGGCCGTGGATAAACCTCGGCAATGTTTGACCATCAGACGATCTACCCACACTAGCAGCAAGATGGCAGTGCCCAGAGTCTGTACTTGTAAAAGTCTATAACCTCGACACCACACAATACCATTTTTGTGACTACATGTCCAGCATGGTATAGCTGTAGGCATGAAACTAATTTGTAACCTTGCTACGAGCCGGTACAAGTTAGTAACTAGTACATACAACTGCTATATTTGTAGTAGCTCCCTTCCAAATTGACTCTATCAAAGCTCGGTCAAGATGTCGAGGCAGCTCTGTTAAAGTAACCTTTCGCATACATCAAGAGCTGTAAGAAAACAGCTCCGTTGGAGCAGCGGTCTTCGTGTCGCAAACCTGAAGTTGCCGTGGCCTCTCGATTGCAATGGCCTCTATCATCTTAATATGGTTGCACTTTTAAAGATTGGCCCACCGATGCTTCTGATAAATGGGAAATTGAGGACTTGATGAACTACCCAATCTAAAATGGAAGAGAATGCGTTTGGTTTGTTTCCTGCTACAGTACTTACTGCTGTCCTCAAATGTTTCAAACTTTCTACTGCAACAATCTCTTGGGCAAAGGACAGTTTGCATAAAAAATATATAACCTTTGCATGCTTTTGTTTCTTAATGCACAAAATTTAGAACATCCAAAATTGGATGCCAAAACAAAGTCGGATGAAATAAATTCGATCGTTTAGACCAGGGGTCTCAAGCTCGTAAAGAGTGGGAGGGCCAGATGCCAGATAGCCCACCCCCGTAAGGTCAAGGGTCAATGTGGGATGGGAGGTGAAGAGTGGGAAAGTAAAGAAGTGTTGAGGCAGAAGAAATCGGCAGCAGCTATATTTCATGTTGCGAAGCAGCAGAGTGTCTCCGCGACACCTCGGAGGTTCCCTCGAGAAAGGTACCTCATTCTTTGCAGTCTTTGTTCAAACTTGCCGTTTTTCCATGACCATCCTTAGCTTTTATTTTTATATAACTACTCCGAGGCAATACCTGATGTGATAAGATTTTAAATGAAACTGCCCTGCCAACATGCTGGGATTTTGCAACAAAACATTTTTAGAAATAACTGGCATACCTGACCGAAATGTGGTTCGAGGATTCTGGGGATGAAATAATGCGCGGATTAGGGAGGAGATGGAAGGAGTGTCATAGAGCGAACTTGGTGGCGACGAGATAAGCTACAAAAGGTACAAGAGACTTTGAGGGAGCCCAGTCTAGGTCACTGCAGCTCAACAGAGTTAGCCGCGTGTTGCTTTTGTGGCTGAGGAATCTCCCACATTCGCTCGAGCAAGTTTTCACATATCTTCGTACCAGAATGTCCCAAACCGGCGATTTTTGAAATGGTCTGTTCACTCATATGTCTGAACAAACTTTATACAACAGTTCTTGCTTTCCTGACAATATTTATATCAGTATTATAAGAGAATACTCATATTTTAACGGGTCTTTCTAAAAGCTAGAAGTCAAAGGGGCACTCCGGCGTTTTCTTCATAGTCCCCGATTTGCTTGAAAATTTGCTAGACACAGACAAACATTGCTAAAATACCCCAAATATTTGGGCAAAATGTTTTTTCTTGGCAAAGTTATTGAATTTACTATTTCAGTCGTCAGCGTTTGTTAAACTGGAAGTCTACTGGCAACAAATGAAAAAGATACGCTAGTGGCAGGCAGGGGTTCACTCTTTGAACTCTAGGATTTGTCCCCAATTGATTACAAGCAGCTTCGTGTTGTCAAACGTATGTTTTGGAAGCTTGCTCCAGCATACGCGCAGCAGCACGAAACAAATACTTGGGATTGTCCGTTTTTTAGGCTGCCCGCTCGACTGGCAAGCATACCTGCCACTGTCACGGCACCGAAAAGCACGGGTATATTTGAATGTCGGTTTCAGCATCATTTTAGGGGCGAAGCTCCTTAGGGTCTATTAAAACGCACACAACAAAACTGAGGCTCTGTTAACACATTTATTATCCTGTACTGTTTATACCCCTTGTAATTGTATTGCAACAGTTAAGCTCAAATAATTTCCACTCCCAGTGATATATTTGTTTTACTGTTAAACACGTTATTAAATGTGCCGAAGTTGAAAACATAAAAATCAACCGTATCAGAACTCAATGCATCAAATAGAATTAAGAAACAGTAACTCATTTTTAGAGTTATCGTTTCCTGTCAACGCTTCCTTTTATCAACATGTTCATACACACATTTTTAACATTATGTTCTTTTTCGACCAAGTGTAACTGTCTTTACTACAAAAAAAAAAACAAAAAACTCCACAGCAACCCTTATGCATTGACATAGCGATTTAAAAATAATTACAATATATTATATTTAAACTTTTGGCGAGAAATTTTTCTTATGATATCTTGCCACCAGAGGCACAACGGCGCATGCGCGTCGGTTCTCCTGCAAGAACGACGGTCGCTTCCTTCAATGCTTGGATAGAAAATGGCGTACCATTGCGATTCACACGATTACCATGCGACCTCCGTGCTTCCCCATGCCCCGTTGTTCGGCAGCACCATGAGTTGCGGAATGAAATATACGACAGTGGCAGAATGCGGGACATTTTGATGATTTTGGAATTTCTCGTGGGACGCGGGACACCAGCCCTCAATGCGGGAGAGTCCCGCGAGTCGCGGGACGGGTGGTCACTCTAGGGGGCGCTGCGGTGAAATGCGTATATAATCGCGTTAAACTTTGCATGCATTGGCTCAACGTTTATAGACGAGAGGGCGCTGCGGTCAAATGCTCAAATGCGTATATAACCACGATCCATACCACACATTCTCTTTCTGACATGGATGAAACCAAACGAAAGGCTCGGCATGCTGCGGCTCACCGTCTACGCAGACAAGCACCACCAGAGCTCCGCCCCAATCAACATCATTCACCACGTGGAGATGCGGTCAAATTTTATTTGCCGATTTCACAGCAACTATTCCGAATTTTCCGAAATTAAAAAGCACACCTGAAGGGTAAGGGCCAGGAATTCAGAAAATAAACATAGTTGGGGTAGCTGATAAAATCGCCAGAGTACCCCTTTAAGAAAGGAGTTCACGATTTCGATTAGAAGTGGCATTGTTGTACAGGTGATTAACCTAACAAACAGCTGAGAAGCAAACTTAAGACGAAAAAATACTTACTACGTGCAGAACAGAATAGGGCAAAATATGTAAGCGTGTATGAGCAGAGCTATGTTTCAAATGGAAATTAATCATCAACATGAAGCCAATGTGGGATGGCGCATGTAGCACCCGAGGCATGGGGATGGGGCTCGCAAGTGCAAGAGGCTTGAGGGCTGCGCGTTTGAGATCCTTGGTTTAGACCAGGGGTGGCCAAACCGCGGCTCGCGAGCCGCATGCGGCTCTTTGGTGGTCCAAGTGCGGCTCGCGGATCCCTCATAAGTGGACCACCCCCCGCCCTCCCCCCGGCCCCTTTCCGCATTTCCCCAGGAAAAAAAGAAGGGATTTCAGGCAGAATCAAGTATGGCTCGCGGTTTGGCAGCCTTGTACCCTCATACGTACTGTCGTACAGCCTTGTGCACTCATACGTACAGTCAGACTCCAAACAAAATTTAAATTCGCCCTCCTCCTCCCCCCCCCCCCCCCCCCCCTCCCCCCGCGGCTCTTAGAAGTTTCGTGGTTTCGCTTGCGGCTCTTAGGCCGGGTCAGCCTGGCCACCCTTGATTTAGACAGTCGTTTCCCTTTAGCATATGGTAACACTAATTCGTGCTGTGAACGAGACATTCAGCCGGTGCAGCACGACCACCAACTTGGGGTCTTCCACATGCAGCAAGCAAAGCAATACACGACCACCTCCGGCTAAATTATAAAAAGATGGGGCAGTTTTGTCCCACGTCATCCGACCGCACCATTGCTAAAGAAAAGAACCACGTCAAGGTTTCAATTCGTCTACACTTTACTAAAACAAAATTATCTCCGGTATGTACAAGCGTGAGGTTCCATCCGCCCCGCAAGGAGGAAGACACAGTAATCGAGCGCAGACACCCCAGCTGGAAGTGATATGTTTCTCTTGCAAAAACGCGGGGGAAAAAAAAATTAACAACACAATGCGAACAAGGAAAACACTTTTCACTCTTACACAGCAGGCTGTAATTCGGCCTGCGGAAATAAGAAAATAGGGAATCCTTATTTACACGTCTGGTATTTTTGGAAGTTTGCTATGCGCTCGGCAGGGAAGGCACAATGGGGGGGAGGGGGGGAGGGAATGCAATGTCACGCACGCTAAAAAATACGGGTGGCGAGAAATCGTGCACGACGCTGCATAGGTCGGTTTCTGTACACACGCAATGTCTTGCAACTACTTTAGCCCTAAACACGCACGCAAACAAAAACAAAAACCTGATTGGGGCACAAGACGACACGTATCATACTTTGCACCATCCGTGGTTCACACTCACGATTAAACTAACGACTGGGCGTTGCCTCGGTTAGTCGAGAACAAAAGGACTTGCGGTTTACAGCTGCAATTTTTGCGACCCACGTAAGAGTATGTACAGAAATGTCAAAGCTCCACCAGCATTGGTCGAACGAAGTGCCAATCCATTTTCAGCCACCGTGATCTTGGGCCAAGCGCAATTTGCTGTGCATGATTTCAAACTAAAGGATGCAGCACCCTAAAAGGAGCGACGAGCATAGGTTCCGCACAAAAAGCGTGTCTGCACTGCCGCGCTCCAATTTTTCGACGAGATTTCAACTGGCCCGCTACGCTAAGCCGTTACGATGCGTAGCTTTCTGCCGCCATCAATAAAACCGAAATGACAAAAAGTAAAAAAAAAAAAAAAAAAAAAACTTTCTAGAAATAAACAGTCTGTCCCATTTTTCTTCGCCCCCCCCCCCAAAAAATTATATAAAACTAGATGCTGTTTGTTACAGCATCAACTGACGCATTATTGTGACACTGTCGACGAAAAAATTCGGGTAAGAAGGCAAATCGGGGTTCTCCGACGGCACCCAGAGTGGAAAAAAACGAACGAAAACGCTAGATACAACGGCAACATGTGCATGCACAATAAACGAGAAAAACAAGTCTGGCGGCACGTTGCACGCAAACAAGAACCAAACAAAAACGAAATAGCGTAACAAAAACATAGAGTTACGCCCGACGGCAAATTGAATCGAGGTAAACTATGAAGTAATCAACGCTCGCCATAAATACAAACGCATCAAATGTACTACACTCTTGCGATTCGTACGCACCGAATGTGTATGTTCACGGGCAATCCTATGTACACGTACACAAAAATCTGGCAGAGTTAATGTTACATACAATGTCGGGCACACCAGGCGGGCACACTCCTTTTCCCGCGAGTCTGACTTCACGCAGAGAGACTTCTCGAAGCCTCCTCTGGCAGTACAATAGCTTTCTGTCTTCGGTCGGGCTCAGCATGCCCTTTTCTTTACAGCTTTTCCTCTCTGTCAACATTGAAACGGAACAAAAAAACACACTCGTAATAATCAACAAAAGCAAAATAAAGCACGCCGAAAAACGAGCTTAGTTTTCGCCCCGATTTTCGCAGGCGAGCCAAAGAAACCCTGCGCACTTCTCCTCTATGACGCCGTAAAAGCCGGCGTCTTTTTGAATTCCGAACCACTCCAACAAAAACAAAAAAAATTGAATGCCTACCCTACGAAGCTTGTTCTAACACAATCATAGGAACAAACACAAAACTATTAATATTGTTGTTGTTCTGGCAGTACAAAAAATGTAACGTCCTTGACCTTCCACCTTAAGTAGAAACGACGGGGAAAAGCCGTGCACTTCGGCAGCGGTCCCCGCAAGCTCGTAACCGGACCCCACCGAAGACTATCACAATTTGTTCGCGAGACACGTCTCCGTCGCATTCCACACGCGCACGAAAAAAGAAAAAACGTGGGGTACCACACGACCCTCGAGTCTTGCATATGTGGCTAAACATTTCCGTACGGAAGTCACTAGAACGACCGCGACGATCGCAGTATGGAAAAGACGTAGTAGTTTTTCCACCGACGGTCAGGGTCCAGAGCGTCCCGAGGGTGTAGCGACGACGAAGACGACGACTAGAGGACTCGACCTTGCTTCTTTCCGTCGGGGCGGCGGTGCAGTTCAGGCCTCCGACTCTTCTGCGGGCGGCATGATGACGATGTGCGGTATCCTTAGGATGTCCTCGGCTTCTTCGAGGAATTGCTGTGGACAAACATTTCGGCGTGTCACTGATGCGTCGCGGTGCAGACTGGCTGCGTGCTTTCATAGCAACGCTCGAAAGTCTTAAATTGTGACGACAATGCAGCGTAGAGCAAAGGCATTGCTACTGTTCGGTCTCGCTGTAACTCGGTGCACTTGGGCGACTACATAGTTGGCAAGAGGGTAAGAGTTCGGGCGAAGCTCCTTCCACCTCTTTCTACTTTCGCATAGCAAACGCTGGAGCGGAGGTCGCCTCCGCTCCAGCGTTTGCTCTACTAAAGTGGAAAGACGTGGGAGGAGCTTCCCCTGAACTCTTAGCCTATCACCGACTACAGGTACAAATTAGAATGTCCAGTCTGCCTCTTATATGCGGAGCGAAAGTTTGTCTGCTTCTTTTGCAGGGGTTGTGGTGACGTCAGAACGCCAAGTTCTGATTGGCTCTGGTTGAAGGATACCTCAAAGCAAGCTGCCTTGAGGTCTACTCACTATTCCTTATTCAGAACCAGTCGGAGCTCAGCGTTCTGATGTCACCACAACCCCTGCAAAAAGGAAGCAGACAAACTTGCATTCCGCATACTTCCATTCTTACCTTTCGTTAATTTACACCAAGTATCCAACACGATAACAATGAGGCCTGGGTCACATTAAAAGCAACTATACCCCATACTAGCATGAATAACAAGCTAAAGCAAGAATGTCTTTTTCAATCGGCTCAAACAATGAAAAGTAAAAATATAGAGGAGCGGGTATAGCTTGTCTATTTTGCACAGCACGAAAGGACATCTACCGTCTATTAAGATTCAATACCAATTTCAGATGAATGCGAAAAAAAAATCGTCCACAAAGTATGAAGTTCCTACAGCACTGTTCGGCGAAGTGGCTGTTCAGCTATGAGCTAAACAGACATCCGAAGCAGTCAGAAGTCGAAACGCCGCATCATCGGTGAATCTGGCGCCCGATCGTCTGCTCCACCATCCCTTTTGCAGCCATATGCCGACCCGCGACGACCCAAACTGCTCTCAGCCCTTCGCTGACACACCTACGAAGAGCTACGGAACGCCGAATACAACAATCGCAAGAAGTACTCGAGGCACTCCGATCTGAAAGCCAACACCGACACAGCATGTATACGGCGCCTGGAACGCTTCTTCGCACGTGTCTGTTTAGCGTCCTTCCTATACCGCCCATGCATCAAAAGTGGCCCCGAAGCAGCAACAAATGAGGTCACAATAGCCCAAACGTCGCAATCCTGGCAGTCGGTCGCAGAAGTTCCGCCAAAAAATATGAGCGAATGCGTGTGTCGCCATATTTGGGAAGTTTGCAACTCCTGGCTGGAGAGGCTTCGGTAGAGGCCCTCAAACCTCGGTGGATTGTCAAACTTTTGTGGGCTGTTAAACTTACTTTGGTGGACTGTCAAACTTCAGCAAGCTGTCCAGCTTCAGTGGACTGTCAAGCTGCAGAGCAATCTGCAGCATAACAGGCGTTTGCAGCACCCACCTGCTGTTTTGCCACAGCCAGGACCACAACAGGCAACACCACACCTCTATGGCGTCATAGTGCGGAAATCGAGGGACCACACTACATGCATCGGTCGCAGACGCGCTCCAGGTGGCGTATGCGTGGGGAAAACTAGGATGAGCCTCACTTTTTCGAAGCCGATGTCCAGAAAGAGCTCCTGGAGGAAGGTGCGCGCAGACAACCTAAAGCGGTACCGGGCCATCAGTAGGCAGACTTCAGAGTAAAGGCACACGTCTTGGAAGGCCTTGGGGTACTTCTGCTTCAGGCTGCAAACGGGCGTTGACACATTTGTTTGGGGGGTAAAAACAAACCGGGCTTGCGAAAACGTTTTAGTCGGGTTTCACACCGCTTCGGCAAAAACCGTATCCCCCGCAGTTCTGGCAACCACGAACGGGTTCGCATGTTAGTGCTACAAGGGAAATGCTTTCGTAGTGAACACCTCTGCTACAAACACACTTGTTTCTAGGAAAAGCAAAATGAAAATTAACAAAAGACATGCACCGATGAATGCTCGGTTTTGAACGCATACGATTTGAAAGTGTGCAATCTCGTCTACTGGTGCCAGCATATTGATGCGAGTTTTTCTGTTGACAGAGACAACAATTTGGGCGAGGGTGATTCGGTGAAAAAATGAGGCGTAAAAGCATTACAACTACCCACTATACCTAGGACTTGGACGGTATGAGTCACGGTACATGAATGGTTGCACCGAAATTTACCAACCATTTTTGTCATGTACCACCAAAGCATACCCGTAAGTTTGCGATGTTTTATTTCACCCGCACGCATTTTCATACGCTCCTCATTTTTGTTTCATTTCGGCTTCATTTGCGTTGTTTCACTGCAGGAATGTACACTGCAATGTAGGATCGTGTTATATGAAAAGAGAGATCGGTCAAAGAAAGTATAGAGGGAAAGACTGGGTTTCTATGCCACTGAGCCAAAATTGAAGAGTGGAGTTGCTTTGTCAAGAATGAGAAAATTACACTGTCTAGACAAAATAAAAAAAATAATTTTCTTTCTTCACTTAGAGGGCAAGTCTAGTCAATTCCAAGAAATTGAAGTTAATGATTGATTAAATATTCAGAGGTACTAATAACAAACTGTACTACTAAATTTCTTTAAAAAAAGTGTTATTTCTTGTGCAATCTTCATTCAAAGCTCACCACAAATTGAAACCTTGCATGTGGTGGGCAGCATTGCTCCTGTGTCATCTCCTACATGCTCCAACAGCTCCATCCACACGGTACAAATGGCGACATCACTACCAGGCTGCCAGACGCAGCCCGGCGCAAGGACAAAAGAGTCGTCTGCCACGATCGGCAGTCCACTATACCCGACAACGCCTGCACTACCGCGCCGCAGCTTGTGGTTTAGCGCAGAAAAATGCAAGTTTTCCCAAGGGCTTGTTTTGACATTAGCAGAAAGAAAAGTTTGGTAAACCGCACGTAAATATTTCCCGACGGGTTTGTAGGAGTATGTCGTGCTCGACATCGCAAACTGGCTCTCTCGCACGCGACAATTGCCGCCGGAGACGACACATGCCCGCGTGGGAGCGCATGAGCCCCCGCATGTTCCACGAATCGCGTGGCCAACGATGAGCATGCTGCTAGCACCGCCTGTAGGCTTTAAATGAAAAACTACAAAACAAGCAAAAAAAAAAGTCTTCCTGAGCATGATGTAGGCGGAGCAGGTGGGCTGTGCCAACGCTGTGGCATTGACTGCGCCGTTGGCTACGCCGCACCTCGCCCGCTAGGATTAGCGAATTCGGTTATTTTGCACACCTCAAACTTTGTTTGACGGTTTCATCCACTCTTAGGCTGAGTTAGATAGAAATATTTGCCGTGCAGTCCTCTTGGGTGATGCTAAAGAGAGCTGCATTGTTTTCTTAATACTGAAAATGAACCCAAGTTTAAGCACCAGGTCCCACATACCTCAGAAGACCCTGCTCAGACCCCTTCAGGATGACAGAGCTGTTGAGGTTGGCGATGTACCTCAAAAGTTCCTTCCGCACGGCAACAACGTCATAGTCGTTTTCACTTGGCCTCCTGTTTTTTCCTGGTTGAGAGAGAAGAAGAGTCCTCGTTATGTCGTGTCGAAATGGCGAAAGGTCACAATAAGTAGGCAGGCCTTCCCAGCAGTAATGCGGAACATTTTTCGAGATAATAACATTCTGTCTTAGGGGGAAGTCAAGTTGGTGGTATGACAATGTTTAAAGAGCTGGCAGTTTTTCTGGGAATATGTTTACGGGCATCTTTACTATGAAGAGGCAACTTGGCTAGCTAATGTAGCTACTGCTGGCTAGCTACATCCCCCCTTAGATGGAGTGAAAGAAATGGTGTGGTCGGGTAGGTTTATTAATTACATATCCAGCGATACCAAGACTAAGCCGGTCACACAAAAACAACATGGCAGACTTGTCCATAAAGCACATCCCCCAGTCCCAAAACACCAAACTCCAAGACACAAACGGTGTTTCTCTTTACCACACCTTCACCTGGAAAAATATCTTTATAAAGGAGATACCTAGTATCTGTAAGTATACGCTATCAACACTGAGCTGACACTCTGCAGAGATGCTCAAAAGCCCTAAACACGACAACATAATATTTACGAAATTTTTGCTTTATTAATAATTTTATGTTAGTATTCTCAGACTCATGACCTCTCTTAGCCATAATCAGACACCCAAGCCACCTGTAACAGAAGCATGAACCAGGCTTCAACATCAGTGAAACAAATGCGCAATTCTAGTAAGGCTAGAATGATAGGCAAAAAGAACCCTTTTTAAAACATGGTGCTTAACTTTCGAAGTGACTCACATAGGAAACGAATTGCGAGCATGCACTCTAACAACGTAAACCTGGCAAGCCTCCGGCAGAAAATCAGCTCCAATATTTACTTTAACAAAAAAAAAAAAAATTAAAAGAATTAACAGAAATACAAGTTTAAACGGCCGAAGCATGCAACACTCACTAGATTGACTAGAGTAGGTGACATAGTTGGCATCTGTCTTCTGGTCGGCGGTGGACCCAAGGTACTGGAAGCCCTCCACCTTGGTAACACCTGCTGGATAAAGAAAAAAAAAGAAATGATGAACGAGATGATCCTATCAGATGAGGCAGTAACATAGAAAAATTTGCACACCCTTCAACCTGCTCGACCAAAGGGGACAGAGTAGCCCTTTACAAACTTCGCAACGTTACCATCTCTATAATGATTTTCATCTCAAAAGCATGGTTTGTGACACGTGTGTGATAAACCATTCTCCTTCACGGTCTGTAAAGTACTAACAAAAAATGATCCAAACTAAAAGTCCCTAACACAATGTACATCATCCAACCTACTTGACCAATGGTACAGTTTAGCCTTTTACTAAATTTGTAGGGTCAGCATCTGCGTAATGGCTTGCACCTCAAAACAGGTTTGCCATACATGTGTTGACAAACCATTGCAGTTCCAAATTTGTAAAGTACCCACAAAAAAAAAAAAAAAAAAATCAATGCTGGAAGTCTGTAGCCACTTCGGTCTCAAATACACTGGACTTCCTCTGCAGGATCCAGGAACATAATCAGGGGAGGGGGGAAGGGCTCAGCCCCCCAAAAACTAGTCGACCATATATGTGTGGTGCCATTCTCCACACCTGGCTGTACGTTTCCCCTTTGAACTAACACAGTAGTACAGTCGACTCTCGGTAATTCGAAGTCGCTTTATTCTAACTTTCAATTAGTTTGAAGCAAGGGCACAGAGAGTGCAATTACACATACAAGTTTATGGGGAAAAAATTAGCGGTAATTCGAAGAGTAACCTCTGGGACTGGTTGATTTTAAGAATATATTTACATGCTCGGGAAGTTTGGCAACTCTGAGAGCATAAGAAATCTTTGCGAATATGCTGACAAAGCTCAAATAGCACCCGAGCACACTTTGTCGCTTTTATCTACCATGTGAGTGGTGGGGAAGAAGAGGAAATGAATGCAAACAAGCCGTCAGGCAGCCAAGCCACGCCACACCAAGCCAAGCTAGCATGGCTGTGGGCGTGCGCATCATGGCACCGTTCCCACAGAAGTTACAAAAGTGAGCACAGCCGTGCGGCGCGTGCGGTTTGAGGTTCTAGGCGTTACCCAGTCCCACAAGATGTTTTGTCAACCAAACATATTGATGTCAACAAACATGCGGCATTCTGCAACAACTTTCGGAGAGTGACATTGTGCAAGTGGTTAGGCCAAGGAACGATCCCGTTGCTTTCCGTGACGAGTGGCTGAGCGCCACTACGTGGAAACTGCTTGTGGCACGAAAAAGTACAACTTTGCGTTTTCTTTGGCAAAGAAATTGCTGAAGATACGCTAAGAAAGGTTTGCAAATTACCAAAGCATAGTTAATACTGCACGCCTCTGTTAACGGAGGCAAGCAAAAACCAACTTCTCCCGGTAAATGCTAAAAAAACGGTTACCGTATTTACACGAATGTAGGTCGACCCATTTTTCCATTTTTGAAAATCTGAAGTAGGGGGGTTGATTAATAATTGAACCAAAGCATTCCCCTTCGACAAAAACTAAATAATCGCAATATCAAGAACACCTCCACTTGTTACGAGTTCAGCCAGCTGTGCCTGCAGCACTGCGCTATGCTGCGTGCTCAATTAAAATTTTTTTTTTAGATTTGTGTGAAAGAGTTTTATTGATAGCGATTCGCAAGTTAACCCGAATGTATGGCAGTGAACAGCGCACCACGCGCCCGACTTCCCGGGGTGGCGGCACTTGTTGTAAGAGCCACTCCAGAGGCTGTTGGAACAGCCTCATGGCTCACTCCCCTCGGCGTCTTTTCACGGTTTTTCGCGCGATTTAAGGTCGCACATCGTTCGATTGAGTGTCGAGATCATGCTGGAGTGCTAACTATGTTTTTTCTTGTATTGACATGCGTGATCCGGGCAGTTAAGGTTTTCAACGCTCGATTATGGCTATTCTTCACCCAGAAACAACCAACAACTGCGCTGTTAGATGCAAGTTCGACCCGTCGGAGCGGGTGATGCTCCAGTGGAGTCTGCTATGGCGCGGGATCTTAAAGTGTGACGGCAAACGAAGAGGCTTCTGCAGGCCAAAGGCTTGCAACGTACGCCGCAAGAGTGCGCAATCGGACCCTACTTGTGACGTGCAATGCGATCACCGAGCAAGCGTAGAAGATGCAGTCATTTGCGAAGTGGAAGATTTCGCTGGACGACGCCGACATGCTTCGAGAACGTAACAGTGATGATGACGGGACTGACATCACCAGTGTGGACAAGTCGTAGTCTCGTCACGGACGGAGTGAGAACAACAGGGAGCAGCTTCAGTTGTCCCGCTTCCAGTGTGAACTTCCTAGTTTCGATAATGCCTGGGCATCTCACCTTGTGTGCGCGCTCCAAAGCACGCCAGAAGGCATCGATCACGTGTTGGAGGCTGGGCTTTCGAAACAGAAACTTTGCCGTTCTCACATGTTCGCAGTAAAATGCGCATCTAAAAAAAATTTTTTTTTTTTTTTTTGCTGATGTGCATTGTGAGGGGGGGGGGGGGGGGGGGGGGTGGACTTACAATCGAATAAACTTACAATCGTGTAACTACGGCACTAGTTTTTTAAATTTTTTTTATTTGATGTTTAATTTTGTTTCAGTGAGCTTTGAATTATTGAGTCGATTGTAACTTCTGCTGCCATAAAGCCCCTTCCCCAAGTAGAAAAATTTTTTTGGCAGCACTGGGAATGCATTTTTTCGCTTGCTGCACAGTCTTCCAATGGGCGCAGCAAGCAGACAACGCGCTCTGTCATCTGCTCGCCGCACCTGTCTGAAGGTGGCACCACAGGTTGCACTCAGTACTAACTCGATCACCTACAAACCCGTCCGCCGCTGACTTTGGCAAGTTTGCTGGTCTCGTTTCTTACAGGAAGGGAACTACACCTTGAAATTTCCCAAGGTGTAGGCTCGCTTTACGGCGCAAGATCCACCGTAGCCGCCCTATACGATCGATGCTGATTGTGAACTGAAACTTCGGAGCCCTGTCAACGGCTGCCGACGCATTTCTGCAGCGCGACCGCCGTCGAGACGCACCTGGGTGGCCGTCGCCGTTTGTGCGGGAGAGCCGCAGCTCCGCGACGCGTGCGACGCTGTGACACTGAAGGCAGTTCTCGACGGTGTGCAACTCGAATCCGTCGTTCCGGTCCTCCGCGACCTCCGGTATCGTCGGAGGCCTCTCGCATTCCTCGCACAAACCCTCTTCTTCTCTCACCTGAAAAACGGCAATGCCGAAACATACAGCAATGATGCAATACCAAAATCAACCGCCAGTTTACTTTTTCTTGTTTCTATGCGGAGCACAAGTTTGTCTGCTTCTTTTGTGCGGATTGCGGTGATGTACGTCAGAACGCCGAGCTCTGATTGGCTTTGATTGAAGGATAGTGGGTAGACCTGAAAGCAAGCTTCCTTGAGGTCTACCCACTATCCTTCAAACAGAGCCAATCGAAGCTTGGTGTTCTGACGTCAGCACAACCGCTGCAAAAGAAGCAGACGAACTTGTGCTACGCACACTGTAGCTGTTGAAGGGCTGATACTCAGGAAAAGCCTAATGTAATTACCTCCAACCTTTCCAGGTGCCTCATTAACAATTAGGTGGGCGATTCCACTACAGATCATGCAGGACGGTTAAGACAAAGTCTTCGATTTTCTTGAAAAAAATATATGATATACGCACCGTAGGTTATTGTGCACAGTGGCAATGCCTCATTCAGAGAAAAGTGTACAGACACCCGCAGCTTAAGCGTCAACGTGAGAGGAATCAACGATCGTTGCGCCATAGATCAATGCTATCATGAATGAAGAGGAGGGTAAGCACATGCGGGACGGCTTCCGCGCTGCTGCGAAACGAATGCTGTCCAAAAACGTTTCACGTCAGCTGACTTGCAGTTAGATTTTGATGGCGATTTCTCGGCATAGGTTACCACATATAGTACCTTAGCATACTAGAGAGACAAACAGGGAATACACAAAAAAAGTTTGACCAAAATCAAACCAGGTTTTTTGTTTTTTTTTACAAATTCAAGGTTGTTTTTGAGAGTTTTCGGACTAGCGGTTGCACCCGTGCTGCAATATCATCAGAAATAAACAAGTAAATTCAATAAGAAATATACCCACTAAAAGAAGATAAAGTGAAAAACAAGACAATATATGTTATTTCCCTCAACAGAGTTAAAATTGTCCTCGACAGCAGGAGGCAAAACTAATGAATCCTCGCGTTCTGAGTCAACTTTGGGAATTTGTCTTTTAATTAATTTTCCCTTAAAACAAATATGCTTCTACTCACATACTCTCCCCATATTGGCCTCGAGATCGACCTAGAGGTGGCGCAACTGTCGCGCTATCATCATCATCATCAATGCGGGGCTAGGTGCATGGCCACCCCATAAGCTCTTCATGTTCCCGTGCAAGGCAGCGTAGATTCTTGCGTTTATTTTGTCGCATAGTATCGGTGGACAAACGATTCTAACAGAAAATGGTGTGGTACTGTTCCTTGCTTCAGTGAAGGTCGAACCGCACTACCAGCCTGTAAGCCTAAATTTAAATAATCGCTTTTTTGAATACGTTGTCTGCTCTGAGCAGTCGTTGGGAAGCATAGTTTACAACGACAAATGCCTGTTTCCGAGTGAAATGCACCATTTATTTTAAATATTTGTTCATTTAAAAAGGGACATATCGGTTCAACAGTGAGAAAATTGAACAAAACAAAGGCATTCCAACCCAGATACTTACATAATGCTGGTACTGTGGGTTGTAGAGTTGCAGGTTCTATGAATTTGTTTTGCTACTTTTAGCTTTCGCAGTAATATAAATATTTCACACTAAGATTGAAAATTACCGTGATATTGCTAGCTTCTATAAGTAAAAAAGCTCCGCTGCAGCCAATGTCTCCCTCCACTGTGCCGTGGTGTGGGTACGTTTTTCGGAGTCGGAGCAATTCTAATACTTTGCAATAAGGAGAGAGTGCTTATTCTGTTTACGATCCGCAAACTGTTCGTTGGCAGGACAACTGAAAAGTGTGAAACAAACTGCTCTAATATATCGGCCACGAGTGGAGCAAACGAGTGTAAACAAGCAGCGTAGCAGCGTGCATTAGATGCTCCTCTCAGTAGTGTGGGTTCACTTGCTTCAATTTTCTCAAAGAAGGCCGCGGATGTCAGGAGGATATTATAATAAATTTCTGGCTAAATATTATTCTTTTCAAACGTAGTAGACTCTGCAACTCCAACAAACTACCCACACCACGACACAAACAGTATCGGCTGCAGCGACACACTTTTACTGATGAGGACTAGCAACTCTCCCGAGAGTTTTCGATAACCCTTCGCCCTAACCTAACGCATATCGGGATTGGGCAGTTCATCGATTCACCTTCAGAATATTCAAATAATGGTTAATTGCGATATGCATTTTTTTTTTTTGCTGTTTAATTGAAATTTTGAGCGGGAGAAAGTCATAAAAAGGAAAAGGAAATAAATGCTTGCTTTGACATTTTTTATGTCTTTATTTTTTTGGTACACAGGCTTGCACAGTAAATGACTTCAAAATGCTTGTAATTGTCATTGAGGGTGATTATACAATTTAAATAATAACTTAAAAATTACTTCACTTTAAAGGGATTCCAGTTTTCATAATTCTGAAGGCGTCACAATGTTAAGTTTAAAATTGGACTGCAATATGCCAATTATAAAATAGTAAAAAAAATGTATTGTCTTTCATGCAATATGACTGGAGACCAATCAACTAAAGGATTTACAATTGATTAGTTTATTAAAGGGTGGCAATCAGTCAGGTTAATTTTTTAATCAACCCAGTCAACATTCATTGTTTTAATAAATCTATGGATTGTGCGAGATAACAAAAATATGTGGGACCAGCGGTTCCACAAACCACAACAGTAAAATTATGCTAGCATACGATTTTATATTAATCGCTTTGCTGAATTTTTACGCCTGTGAAATGACACAACACAACTTTTAGTATGCCAAAACGACAACACAAACAACAAGCATTTCGTAAGGAGGGCCCAGCTCAGGGCCGGAAACACGCTTGCGTCATCGAGATTCATGCTTCTGAACGTGCGCCCGTAGCAGACGACGCACGGCGGTATTCCCGCTTTCGCATGTTTCTAATTTTGGCCGCACGGTGGCGACACCGTTCGATCTCGAGGCGAATAGGTAGTTTAATGGAAGGAAAATTTTTTGTTCGTGTGAAAAATAGAGTTACAAAAATAGAGGCGTTCAAAATGAGTTTCAAAAATTCAGGTGATTTTTCACTTTTCAAGTCTATTTTATATCTATTCAAAAACAAAACAAATAAAGCTGTGATTTATAGCTTGTTTTTCTTTACGCATAAATGCATGTATCATATATTTTTTCAAAGAAATCGAAGACCTCGCCTTGACCGTCCTGCATGATTTGACGTGGAAGCACTCGGGCAGGGAAATCTTAAGCAATCTTTTGCACCAATTAAGAAATGAGAAAGAAAATGAGGTGCTAGAGGCAAACAATATCTAGAACGGAGAACTGGCAACCAGCAAGTGTCACAACTAGAATGACTATCAAATGGTGGAGGCATGGTATCTCTTCCCCTTTTTTTCTACACTCTAAGCTTCTTTCTGATGTAAAAGCAGACTCGCGCACAAAAGCCTTCGAGAGTACAACGGGGAAGCGGCCATGCAGGTCACATAGATCTGGACATAACGTGTCCATTTTTGCTTAGTATTAGTGAAATTAAAACTTCGAACTCAAGCCTCATGAATCAAAAGCCTTTTCAGCTTTTAATTGTTACGCGAGTCCCGGCTGGGATTACGATTATAACGCGAGCAAAAATTTAAAAGTTTTAGCGAGCAATCAATCACAACGTGGTACACTTTTGAACTGCCGACAGAGGCACAATGGCACGTACCCTATACTTAGGAGGAGATTGAACCACATCGAACCGTCAACAACATGAATAATATAAAAATTTAAGAAGAAATTACACGTACTAATACAGAACACGGACAGCACAGCGTTCTGTCATTCCATGTACAATGGTTTCATACTTTTTAGTTCATACCAATGCGGTCACCTCAAAACAGTACACCCAAATTGCACCCCCCTTGCCTCTCTCCTTCTCCTCCTCCCTTTCCCCTTAACCCCCCCCTGCAGCGGGCTGCACGACAGGACAGTGCAAAGCGCCTTCATCTCACTTCATACTGACATTGCGATTGATATGGTGGGGATATATGAGAAGCAACGCAAGCAAAATTGCCTACGATTGTGCTTGTGTTGCTTCTCAGTCGGCATATCTGGAGGGGGCGTGGAAGGGTTCTGCGGTAATTTTTTTAGGCTTCCTGGGGTTTCGCGGGACCAAAACGTCTGAGAACCCTTGATGTTAGGAATCCCATCCACAGACCTTGCGTTAAATAAACACTAAACTCTGTTAAAAAAAAAAAAAAAAATCAAGCTGAACAACGTGCCCCCCAGAGTCTGATCTCCTTGCCATTCGGTGGCACCAGCCAAAGTTGCCACGTCCCGTGCCAGAATGGCGGTGACTCTTTAGAATCACAGTTTTTTTTTTTTTTTTTTTTTTTTCCTTTTTTTTTTTGTAGATACTAAGACAAGAATTTAGCAGACTCAAAATCATCACCACAAGAAGATTACACCCGCAACCGCAACACGAGTAGTGAGAGGTATATGAACACACGGTGAAGGCTTTAACGGAGGCACATACCGCGAAAATAAGGCTCGTATCAACGGGTAGACAGAGGCCCATGAACTTCTCCTCCGCATCCCTCATCTCTGGCCTTGCCGTCAAGTGGGAGATGTCGCTCGCCACGGACGCCGTCCGAGAGCCCGCCCGATTCTCCGGAGATGGCTCCTCGCCGCTGTTCACAAACACAATAAACCAGCACCCAATCAACCAATACCTTTGGAACATCCTACATACATCACACTTCCAACAAGACATTGCTTCGCTTAGCCATTTTGTAAAATGCAATGACGGCGTGACGGCACTTGGGGTTTCCAACGAGCAGCCCTTCCTGGTTCTTTGTCACGTCCTCTAATGAACTGCGGCAACGGCGGAGGTACTACACGCACCGTCGCACACTTACACTGTGATGTAACACTACGATGGCACTCGACAATAAGTGCACACTAAATTTAGCAAAGGAATTTTCGAGCTAGCACGAAAAAAATGTGTCCGAAAATTAGTGTCACGGCGCATCACGCTTTTTAAATTTTGCTTCCCTACCGCGCAGCCCCGTTCCTACTTGGCAGAGAGGAGTGTCATCACACCGCTTAAATCCTTTCCGCCCTACGCAACTAACAAAGCGCGCTGTGACGTCAAACCAGTGGCTGTACCCTGTTGCCCACATTCTCTCTCGTGGCATCGCCACGGTACGACCAACATTGACGCAGGCGAACAAGGTCCACACAGAATTCCCAAATAAAGCTCTCACGTTTAAAATAGAGCAGAAAAAACGGTAGGAGTCAATCGAGCCTACAGCCAGTTATAGGTTAAGGAGTTTTTGAAGGAAAAGAAGGCTGGAAAGAAGGAAGCAGACTGAGCACTGAAAAGAAAAAAAAAGTTTTCTCCTCTCCAGCATTCCACGTGCTTCCTCCTCCCCAGGCTTCCTTTCCCTCAAAAACTTTTCTAAAGGGGGGACACTGGCTAGAGATTTAACTTTTGAACTACACCAGTGATCAGAATGAAATTTGCAGGGGGGTTTAACATCAGATGTAGGTGTACCGTGCAAACTTTCAGCTCTCTAGATAAATTTTTCATACCTCCATAAGAAGATCTGTCACACTTCGTTAAAAATCTATGATATGCAAATGAAGCTATTAACCACTATTTTGACTGCTTGAATAAAACGTGGGGGATGTGGAACGTCGGGCTATCTAGTTTTATAACTCAAATGTAAATATTTAAGAAAGAGTTATTACCTCAAAGTATATGGTGCATATCTGTCCTATGTCGATTTTTGAAAACATAGTTCTTTCTCAATGAGGACTTATACTTAAAACAAAGTAAAGTAGATAGCACGATTCCCCAGTAAATGTCAGTTCAGAAACATCTTCATTGTGGAATCAAAATACTTTTACCTTCAAACAAAAGATTCCTCCGTATGAAATTTGCAGCAAAAAGTGGAACTGAGAAAAATCCATTCCAAAATTGAACTCCTTCACTTTGTGACTGCTTCAAAATTCACAATGAGTTGAAAATATGTTATATCAAACGTAACAATTTGGCGTATGCTTATCAAATTTAGTGTGAGGGCGTATAATTAATTTCTAAAAGTGAAAAACTCAAAATTAAAAAAGTTATTTAAAAAAAAAATTTTTATCCCCTTAACCTGCAACTATCGTAATATCCCCAGAGATGCCCCACTCCCGAAAGATAGACCACCCCTATTTTTGGTGCGATTTGCTATTTTTTACAGGAACACCAAAAGATAGCCCACTTCCAGTAATTGCAGGACACTGGCCAATGGTGACCTCGGCAAAACCGGTGTAACTTAACAGCGGTGGGAGATATCCGAACGTTGCTGACTGGGAAGGACAGTCGTTTTTGGTTCATCGCCCCTTCCTGTGATCACAAGTTTCAAAGGCCACGAAATCTAAAACTATACTTTTTTTTTCAACTTTTTTTTATGGCACACCGAAAGTTAGCTTACCCTTTATTTTCATCCGATTTGCTATTGATTTTAGGTGGGCTATCTCCTGGGATGTTAAGGCACACCGTGCCCGTCCCACGATTCTAGAAAGTGATGCAGCCGAAGTGACATGATGTCTGCGCGTCAAGGCAGACGCTGAGCGCAACGAGCACTGCAGGTGTCCCGCGGCCGCCCGTGCAAAGAGACACCGGAGAGAAACTCACATGTAAAACCCGCTCCGCTCCAGACTCCGTCCCGCCAGCGTCGCCAGCAGCGCGTCCTCTTCCGCGCCGTCGCAGCCCAGCGAGCAGACTCGCCGCCTCCGCCGCAGCGACGAGGCCTCCCGCAGCGCCCGCAGCGTCGCGTACCCCGCCGCGTCCCGCGCGCTCGTGTACATCGTGACAGGTAGGTCGGGCGACGTGGGACTCGCCGACATGCTGCCCCTCGACAACGACCCGCTCCCCCCCGGAAACCCCCGGGGCCTGCGGGGAGCCGACTCGCTCCGGTGCCCGCCTAGCGTGCTCAGCGAGGTCGAACTCGCGATGGGACTCAGTGTCTGCACCGCCCGTGGCCCCACCTCGTCACACGAACTGACGCCGCTCGTCGTCGAGTCGGTGCAACTGTCTGACCGGCTCTTGCCGGTCCCCGTCGTCTGCGAGCTCTCATTGCTGTCGCTGCGCTCGCCCTTCGGACCGGTCGTCGCGCTCGCGGCGCCTTTTGCGTCGCTCAGTACGGCGGCGGAACAGACTTCAAGCGCGCTCGCGCTCTTCTCGCCGAGCGATGTAGACTCCGTGCCCGAGTCGCGGCTCCCGCCGAACGAACCGGACCTGTCCTTTGCGGTGCACGGAATGGCAAGCAGACGCGAGCGCTCTGTTGGGGCGGGCGCCGCGGAGTCGTGCGTCGTTGGCTCGCCGGGCCGACAGTCAGAGGACGAGCGCGGCCTCCGCGAAGAGGCCACCACCGCATCCACGCGCGGTGATAGGGTCGCGTTTCGCGGAAGCGTCTGTGCCTGGCGGATGTTCGGCCCGGCCCCTACCGCCCTGCTCTGCTGCGTCACGAAATTGAGGGTCCGACGGGACGGCGTGTCCGCAAGCGGAGACTCGACGCCCTCGAACGAGGAGGCTGTCGACGTTCCGCGGAAACGGCGGTGCAGGGCACTCGCGGAGAGGAGCTCGCTCCACTGGCTGCCCGTGCTGCTCACGGACCACGCGTGGGGACGACCCCTCGGAGAGTTGGTCGGCGACGGAACCGCCAGACCGGCGAGTGCATCCGCCGCGATCGGCCACGCCTCGTGGTGGCGGTGTTGGACCGACTCCCAGCCGAGCGACGCGAGCGCCTCGACCGCTTCCGCCGTCGTCGCCAGCAGGCACAGCACGTAGAAGCAGGTCCCGCGGATTGAGTAGACGGGAGCGTCCTGCGCCATTTTGACAATGGCGGGAAGGACGTCCGCTTCCGAGACGAGGGCAAAGCCCTCAGGTGACGTTCCGACGTGTCCAACGGTCCACAGGGAGGCCTTCAGGCGGAGCAGCGACTCGAGGCTGGTCATGTCCCCGAGGAGGACAGTCTCCCAATGCTGCCGGAGCGATCCGTGCTGCTGCAGGTAGGACAGGCCTTGCAGGTGTTGCACGAGCTGTCCGTACAGGTGCACCGGCGCAAACACATCCTGGACTTTTAGCCTGCACGAGAAGATGCGTGAAATAAATGTGTGACCGACGCAGTGTACGAACCGCTAGAGAAGTATGGAACACTAGTGCAAACTGTCTTTGTGGAGCGAAACCTCCTGCCACCTGCTGACATGATCTTTGGCAGGAAAATAGGCTAGCTGGTGACAGAAGAAGAGAATAAAGACTTCTTGTTCTACATGTCATCCGGATTTACTGTAGTGTTTTGTTCTTCCTCTGCCAACCAAAACCGTCTTCACCGCAATGTCTTCATGGAGTCTCTTGATATGTGTACTTGCAACATTTATTCCTGCCTCCTCTCCAGTGAAAACTGGTAGTGTTGCACCAATATTCGAAATTTCAAATAGTAGTTTCGAATGCTCGGCAGGAAGTGTACTCAACAAGGCTAACCCGTTACGGTCAATACTTTTAAAAATATAAATATTGCAGTTCATTTTGAAGTGAATATCGAATGCTATATAATTCGAAACTACCGTTCGAAATTTCTAATAGTACACCATGTGATATTTGCTTCAAAATGAACTGCGATATTTATATTTTTCAAAGTATTCACCGCAGCAGGTTAGCCCCGTTGAGTGCACTTCTTACCGAGCACAGGTGCACTGAGGAGAAGCAAACACCCGCGGAAGCGAGCTCTGCGGTCGTTGTTCCTTGGCAACGCAACCATGCTCGGTATGAAGTGTGCAGAACGGGGTAACCCGCTGCAATCAACCCTTGGAAAAGTATGAACATTGCAAATTTATGTTTTGGGAGAAAAGCACACTTTCAAAGCGGGATGGTGCACGCGTGCACCTGACGTATTTAAAAAGAAATGGAAAAAATGAAATGAATGAGAAAGAAAAAAGAAGAAATGCTTGATTGGCCCTGCGCGCAGCAATATTGGGCAAAGATGTCCTCACAACCTGTGTTCATCATTTGCGATTCATTTTTTAATTTTTTTTATTCGAGATTGAAAAAAGAATAAAGAATCCGTCGTCTACTTGCCATCCCAAGGTATCAAATTTTCTGAGGTCACCGTCGACAAATATAGTTAAATTAAAATTAGCTAAACAAATTGACAGTGAAGCTTGGGAACAACCTTCACAAGTTTAGCCGGGTTTTTGTTTAAGCATGGTGCAACAGTAACACAAGGCTTTGAAAAACTATTGGATATGAGATTCTAAAATATTTGGCCAAAACCGGTACCGTATTTACTCGCAGAATGAACGCACTTTTTTTTCCGAAAAATCGATGCAAAGTTAAAGGGGGCGTTCATTACACGAAGTAAAATTTTTGCGTCCGTATTTACTCGGCCTAATGAACCTAATGAACCGATCTTTTATCCTGAAAAATCGAAGTAACTTTTTATCTCTTTCCGCGCGGCGCCGACCTCGTAACCAAACTAAGCTGTGCAAAAAAAAAGACAACTCCTCTTTGTTTTCCTTTTCTCTTAGTTCCTTGGTTGTTTTTTTTTTTTTTTGCCGGCTTTGGCAAGCTTTGTTTGCTTAGGCGTTGCTTAGGCGAGGGCTCTCCGCTTAACTTTCTTATCTCCTTGCGCGGGGCTCGCGACGCACGACCCTCCGTAACCAACTGCGCTGTGCAAAAAAAAAAAAGGACAGAAAAAAAAAAGCTTCTCTTTTGCTTTTGTTTTTTTTTCTCAGTTCGGTTCTTTTTCTCTTTTCCGCCTTTCGCAAGCTGTTTTGTTTGCTTAGTGGGATTCTCCACTCCTCTTTCTTACCACCTTGCGCGCGGCGCGCGACCCCCCCCCCCCCCCCCCCCCCGTAACCAAACTGCGCTGTGAAAAAAAAAAAGCAAGCTTTTTGTTTTTGTTTTTCTTAGTTCGGTGGGTCTTTTTTTTTTTTCTTTTTGCCGCCTTTCGCAAGCTGTTTCGTTTGCTTAGGGCGTTTCTCCGCTTCTCTTTCTTACCTCCTTACGCGCGAACCCTAAAGTGCAGAGTGCAATGTGCAAAAAAAGAAAAGAAAGAAATAAAGCTCTTCATGTTTTTTTTTTTTGCTTCCGTTGGCTCTTTGCGAATTTTTTAACGCCTTTTGCAAGGCGTTTTGTTCGCCCACTCTGCGCATGCATTCGCGACCTCGCTGCACCAGGACAGAAAAGTGCGTTCATTTCGTGCGCGTGGGGGAGGGGGTCATAATTTTGAGGTCGGAGTTGGGGGTGCGTTTATTACGCGAGTGAAAAAAAAAGTCAAAATTTTGAGAGCCGACTTGGGGGGTGCGTTCATTACGCGAGTGCGTTCATTGTGCGAGTAAATACGGTATTCACTTTGAATTTGCTTCGAACTCAAAATCCACTATTCACACATGGCTAAAAACTGGTAAAAACAACCGGCCGATCTGGGAAATCGTTGTAACACTCGCAGGTCCACATGTCGCAATGTTGGATCCTTCACTCCGACAGTCCGATCAAAGCCGACCTCTGGACTTGCCTGGTGTTGCTGCTCCGCCGTCCGTATGTCCCGTCCTCCCCGCGCTGATGCCACGTGACCGCCTGATTGATGACGTCCTCCACTATCTTCACGTACCTCAAGTGGTTCACCTGCATGACAGCAGAATGCCAATAAGGCATCAGTAAAGCATTGCTCATTGTACACAACACAACCTTCATAAACCTTCTGGTGGTCCAATTGTCAGCCTTGCAACCTGCTTCGCACCAGCAACATCGACGAAAAACGTATGGGGTGGATCTCGAGTGCGTTGCCCCTTTGAAGGGACCGCAGAAATAGGTTTCTAAATGGGTTACAGGATAATTCTGCACGAAGGTGTAATGAGATGGTACACATTTTAAAATAATATCAAAGGACAAGTTCACCTTAGTAAAGGAACGAAAAATGACCTATTTACTATGGCCTAAATTACGTCAAACCACCTATTGACAGGGTGGGCCACTGTGGTGCTTATTTCGGCAACATGAAGTATAAGTTTTTAGAGTGCAGCTCTTAGGGCCCCGTTTCCGGCTTGAGCGGCGTCTGTGTAACCGCGCGGTGCATTATCGGTAAATTTCCCCGCTAAATCTAGCGCAAAAATTCTTTTGGGGGGTCACGTGACCCCCCAAGGTCAGATGACCCCCCCCCCCCCCCCCGCCCCGAGAACAGATAACCCTCAGTACCCTTCCCTCCTCCTCCTCCTCAAGAGCTGTGCTCCAATTCGGTGTTACAGGGAGTTGTAAACGGCTTTTTGACATAATAATGGAACACTTTAGAATAATTCGCGCTAAGTTTTGTGCCCCGCAAGGACCCGACTTTTTTTTAAAAACTGCCTGAGCGGCATCATGCAGCAGACGACACGGCGACGTCACACCATTCACGTGACCCGCTCCGGCCAACCCGAAAAGCCCATCTCCGCTGCGAGCAAAAATCGTCTGCTTCAAACGCCATTGCCTTGGAAATTGCCTTCTCAAAATTTGCACACGCATCCAATATTATTAAAACTTTGATAAAGTGTTTATTTTTCCTCTTCCTTCTACCCGTTTCTTTCTTTTTTGTTATAAACTTCATAATGACTAACAATGCTGTTCGGTGATTTAGAAAAAGGCTCGGCTGGAAGTACATTCACAATAAAAAAAACATTCCTTTTTTTTTTACTTGAACAAATTTATTTTTGTACTTTCACCCTTTAGGCACCTTTTGTAGCAAATCGTAGGATGATATGCAAACAAACCGATTTATGCGGTCCGTTAAAGAAGCCACCACACCACCCAGCCCACCCTATAGAAAAATTACACAAGCTCTGTCACGCCGACAAAAAAACTGTGTGCGGAGAATGAGTTGCAAAGGAGATGGGCACGTGCTGCATGTGTCTGACATCACACAACTTCAGGTCACGTTACTCTGACATCCCAATATCATGCAACATGAGGATGGTACGTGACACCGCAACATGATGTCCCCATGGGCACCATGGGCTTATTGTAAAATCCCGTAAGGTCGGCCACTCAAAATGAAGAGATAAATGGTAAAAAACATTAGGTAGGCAGACTATTTCAAGGGGCACCCGCTACAAACCACTTAACACAGGAACTGATAACGCAGACCACAGACACTGCAAATTAGAGTTTTAGAATGCGATAAACACGTGGGAATCCGCTACGAACTTTACGGGAAAGGATACCGCAGACTGCGGATGCAGCAGATTCGTGTTTCACAGTGCAATAAACACGCAGAAACCGGCCAAACTTGCGTGCAATAAGAATCAATATTGCGCGAGCTAATCACGGACAAAAAACGCGGAAATTCGCTAAGAACTCGCAAGTCATGGGAACCGATATTACGCGCACAGATTGCAAACAAACACGTGAAAACCCGCTGTAAGTCTGCTTATCAAACATACCGATACACACAGATCACGAGGTTGGTGTATAATTCCTGTCGGACATTACGTGATGCCCGAATAGGGGAGTGGCGATGTTTAGGAAGTTTTATTTTAGGGATATTTAACGAGAAAACAGGATGGAAAATCTCTCGAGGGAGGGTGCCCTTAGGGACTTTTACGGTATATACTTTATATACGACTTTGCGTAAAATGTAATGCTGGAATCTGATGCTGGAACGTAACACAGAAATACATTTTTTTCTCGTGAATTCGGCCGACGACAAAACATAGTCTGCGTTAAAGGATCTGAAGAGAGTGAGTGAGGCACCTCGTCCCACTTGCTGAGCTCGCTCTCCAGGACGTTGGCTTCGAGGAGGTATTTGAAGCCGCTGGGCAGCGAGAGGAAGCGGATCTGCAGGAGCAGGCCTCTGTCGCCCAAGCACAGCAAGGCCGGCCGAAGTGCTATCAGGGCCTCCAAGTTTTCCTGGTCACAAAGAACAACCGAAACACCCAAGCTCAGCGTCTACAGTGTTGGTGGTTCTCCGCCGACTATGAATAATTATGCTTCTATATGCTTAATTTCACTAATTATGATTTAATTATGAGCAATTCTTCTATAAGCCTTGGATTGCTTGTGTATTGAAAGTTATGGACTGTCTCTGCTTTATGTTGCCTTGGGTTGGTGTAACTCTTTCTTGTTACATTCGAACGTGACACTTTTCGCATGAAATCCAGCCTATAGATACATTGTGCGTTGAAATGCTTTACTTAGGGGCATGGACGATTGAAAGAATTTCACAACACGTAGAACCCATGGAAGTCCTTTGGGAAACCAAGTCTGAAAGCATTCTCCTAAAAGAGAACGCATCATTTGGTTTCGAAAAGCATTCTTTTTTTTTTGTACGCTAAATTCTAGTTTACAGAAAAAGCCCGCGTCGCTTCCAGGTGTGCACAGACAAATCGGGCCGTCCCTCCACAGCATTTAACAGCACGGTTGTAGCGTGGTTTCAACTACAGTCACTGTATGTTACCGGAGTATCGCATTCGAGAGCGGCCGCTGTTACTGTTCAATTTTGGCTTTGATCGGCCATTTCGGTGCCGAAATGTATACATTGGAATGGGTTTCAGGGCTGCAAACCTCTGTCTCCCAAGCGGACGTGCCACAATTGACCACCGAAGTTGGGACGTGCCCAGGTCAGGACGCGCTACTTAAGATCACTGGTGATACTCGGTTGTACGAAAACAACATCAATTGTGCCACAAAACCTTCAAAGCTAAATTTTTTGCAAAACATGACGCTGTCGTCACACCGTACCAATCTCCAATAAAAGTTCCCACAAAACAAAAAGAGCTTTCCCGTCTGTTCTTACGCAAAGCACACTAGACGCCCTCGACTTCCGACATACCCTCAGGTCGCAGGCTTCGTCGAGGATGTCCGAGGCCGCGAGCGAGACAGCCCTGCTCTTGTCGTAGAGCTGCGTCACCAGCAGCTCCATGGCCCACTTGCGGAAGTCCAGTAGCTCCAGCCTCAGGAGGACGCGCAGGTAGTTGGTCGCGTACAGACGGGCCGTCTGCAACCGAGCGAGGGAGCGCAGTTTACCCACGCTGCATGGGAACCCGGCATCTGGCACCCTACGTCAAGTGTGCGTCCCAGTGTAGCAACAAAATCTATTGGAGGAGTTACAAACAAGCGAGCATGGTTTCAGAATGCTGCAGAAACCAAAATACAAAGGAATCTCGTTAATTCAAACTCGCGGATAATTCAAAACTAACATGCAGGTCCCGTTTTATTGTTTCTAGGAAGGAGACTGCCGGTAGTTCAAACTTCGCATTATTCAAACAAAGTTTCGGTCCCCCTCGGGTTCAAACTAACAAGATTCCACTGCAAAAAGAAAAGAAATCATAATTCTTTTTAGCAAGTCAAATTTTAACTTTTAAGGGGTTCATAATAAAAAAAAAATTCTGTATTTTTTTTACATTTAAATAAATTTAATTTATTTCATTTGAATGCAGTTATGTCATTGCCGGTCAGAAATCGAAGGGACGAGGGCGCACCAGGGAGGGGACGCGTCACCAAAGTTCTACCGAGCGCTTGAGATATAAAGCAGGTCTCGGCCTACGCTACCTTAGAATAATTAACTAATTAATTCTCCAATTCAGATTAAAAAAGTCTGAGCAGCTAGGGCAAAAGATTACAAAATTGACTTCCAACTGGGCCCTAGCATCTGGCTACAGCACTTAGCAGAAAAAAAGAAAAAGAAACAAGAAAAAAATGAAAGCTGTTTACAACTCCTTGTAACGCCGAATTAGAGCACAGCTCTTGAGGAGGAGGAGGGAAGGGTACTGAGGGGAGGGGGTCATATGACCTCAGGGGGGGGGGGGGTCACGTGACCTGGGGATCATTTCCCTGCTAGATTTAGAGGGGAAATTTTTCCGCTAGATTTAGCGGGGAAATTTTTCCACTATATTTAGCGTGGAATTTTTTTGCTAAATTTAGCGGGGAAATTTACCCACAATACACCGCGCGGTTACACCAACGGTGACGGCGACGTCGCTCAAGCCGGAAACGGGCACCTAAGAGCTGCGCTCTAAAACATATCACATATCACTCACAAACATAAACAGGACATACATTTTGAATAATGCGCATAGACCAACAAGTTGAGCTACCAACTGCAGATCATGATACATTGGTAATATATTGCTGAAGGTTCTTCTTTTTTTTTTTTAAATGTCTCAAATGAGGTGGTAGTTTGAGCTGATTCAGCTGTGATGGTGTGTCTGTTCAGTAGATCCAGAATGAGATATGAAAGTTGCAGCAAACCATATATTGTACAAACTTTACTTTTATGCAATGACTGCACCCTAGATTGTAGATTCCTAGTGTTTTAGGATAGATGTTGAAAAGAAAAGGGATTGATTCTGCCCATGCTTTAAAAACAATGACTGATAACTTAAGGCAGGGGACATTTGGGCAAGCTGGTAGGAGCTCATAGTGGAAAACAGCGTGACTGGGACAAGGACAAGGACGAGAAATAGACTGGACAAGCACTGGCTACAGTCCGTCGCAACTCAAGAAAATAGTGCGAGGGAAAGGAAGGCCAGGGAGGAGGAAGCAGACGAAATGCTGGAGAAGAGAGGGGGAAACCACCTCCTCTCTTTAGCATTCCATCTCTTTCCTCCCAGGCCTTACTTTCCCTTGCCCTACCCTTTTGAGTTGTAACAGACTATAGCAACTGAAATCTTATTAGAACACAAACAAGAAATTGATGCTGATGCTCATGCAGGCACTGGCACGGCATGATCTTCAAACACTTCTTTCTTTGAATCTTGTTAGAAAAGAAACACAAAATTGACGTTGATGCTCGCGAGCACCGGCATCAATTTCGTGTTTCTTTTCTACGGTAATACCAATATTTCAGCTGCTATTTCATTTCATTTCACTACTATAAGGATTAAGATTTGTTCAATAGTTAATATTCAGTACTAAGAGTGGCACTGAATGCTGATAGTACCTTTGAAGGTTTCCAGTAAACCTAACGAACTTCTTTTGCAAGATAAATATAACTTGTTTGTATTAGTTTGTATTGTCGTCTCTCATATCATTATGCAATACCGTAGGCGTGACTGGGTAAATGCACAGCATGGTTGAATGTCGTAACCTGTTTAGGATACCTATTGCTCTAGACATGAAGCGTCTCAGGTTCTCAATATGTGCAGTCCAGCTAAGGGTTTCTTCGGAGAAACACACCAAGAAACCTATCAGTTTTAACATGCTCGATTTTTTATCCTTAAATATAGATACTATTTAAATCATTCAAGGTAGGTTCATTTTTTGGTTTAAACAGTACAAATTTTGTTTTTCTTACATTTGATTACAGGCTTTGATTATTCTAGGTGATGTCACCTCAGCTCATTTTGCCATGGCAACTAATTAATAATGATGTCCACGGCCCTTCCCAGCCTATGCACGGGCCTCAGCGAGGAGAGCGATGCAACCTCACTGCAGACGCGTGCATCTTGTTCCTCGGCCGTTTGAACGCCGCAAGAGACGGACGGGAACCGTACCTCGGAGGTGGCGGTGAGCACCTTGGTGAGCAGGGTCCTGGCAAAGCCCGGCTTGGTGTAGTCCAGGCAGGAGACCACCAGCTTCATGTAGATGTCCTGCGAGCTCATGCTGACCAGGCTCACCAGGTGCTGGTAGACACCCAGCTTCTCCAGGCAGCGGGTGCCCTTGCTCGAGCTCGACAGCCGCCCGAGGAACAGGAAGTAGCCGTGGGCCACCGTCGAGGCCACCCGGGTCGGGCTCAGCACCGCCGCCAGGACCACCACTTCCCCTTCGACCTGGAGGGAGCGCAGAGTTCTCTTTCTCACACCGTCCCACATAAATGAAGGTTTATTATGCGGAACCCAGTCACATAGAGGTTTCTACGAAGTACTAGAAAATGGTTTCACGTGAACCGACGTGGTATTGGGAAATGGTCCCACATAGACCTATGTAGAACTAGAAAATGGTCCCACATAAACCTATGCGGGACCATTCTCCAGTTTCCCATACCATAAAATCCCAAGCAAGTGCTCACAGAAAATTTTGAGATAATCGTGTAAAAGTGGGGCATGGGAACTCCTTAGGTAAGCATTGTGTAAAGATATGTCCTTTGTGCGTTTTCCGAATGTTACAGAAGTGAGGGGTGGGTGATTATTGAGGAATGGACGGATGCTCGGTATTTTACGGTGGGTTTATGTGAGGCTGTTCTTCAGTCCTACATATGCTTATGTAGAACTATCCTCCAGTTCCACACAGGTTTATGTGGAAAGCAGTCACTCAAAGGTTTACTGAGACAGTTCTGCAGACCCAAATAAATTTATGTGGCACAGTTCTCGTCCCACATCGGTTTATGTCCGACCATCAACCAATTCTCCAGTCCCACAGTGGTTTAAATGGGATTGTACTCTCGTTTCAGATAGGTTTATGCAAGACCTTTTTCCAGTCCTAGATAAACCTATGTGGGACATTTTTTTTAGTCCCAAACCGGTTTATACGGGGCTGTTCTTTACTCCTAAGCAAGTTTATGTGGGAGAATTATCCAGTCCCGCATGCATTTATGTGCAACCCGGCTACAACTTCTCCCTTAACCCAAAACACAGGTAGACACTGCTATGCGTGGCATCTACAACACCATCTATGTTCAGACTAGACTACAAGTCTATGAGGAACAATGCACGGACCCGCAGAGCACAGGGCCGCACAGGTATGTACAGGTTCATGCATGACCATAAGGGCATATTCCAGATTGAAGCAATGCCAGATGCAAACTGAATGGTAGGAGGGGAACAGGTCAACCTGGCTTTTCCTAACACCTTACATTTGTGAAGTAACTTTACATGTTACAGTTCTGGTCGGCCTCTCTGAGATTTGTTTTCTAGATCTACTGACGCACGAAAAACAATGCACTGTCCCTTCCATTGCTCTGTCTTCCCAAAAGAAACAGGTGCTGCATTCACACATAAATCAACACATCTGTACCTTGTTTATCGAGTCATGTCTCATACTGCCAGATACCGTTTGGTGATCAAAACCGTAGCAAGATTGCATGAAAGAGTAAGAAAAATCGACCCACTGACTGCCTTCGCCGAGCAATTGCTAACAATAGCAGCATCAAATGCCTTCAGCATTGTGAATCTTGCCCAAATCCAACGATCTGCCCTCACTAACCTCGTGGAGGCAGTTGCAGAGGTCGATCAGAAAGTCCTCAATGTAGTCGTTGGCCTTGCTCTGTCACAAAAAAACGAAAGAGGAATGTGTGGTCGCTCCCATCCAAGTTTGTCTTGTGGTTTCAGTCGTCTCATTGAAACGAAGCACCTTACCTCATCTGCTTCGAGGAGGAACTCAAAGAACTGGCAGCCAACGATGACGATCTGGCGAGAGCCCTCGCGCTTGGCCTCGATGAGCGAGAACTGCTTGCTGCTCGGCTTGAAGAAGAGCAGCAGCCGCTTGACGAAGTTTCGCAGTGTCGCGTCGCCTAGGCTCTTCAGAGACTCCCCGGGCCACTGGACACAGGGCATGCCACGTCAACTGTAAGTTGCACTTTGATGCCCAGAGTTTTGCAGTCCACCACGACCGCCATGGCAAAAGCTTTCCGCAACTACTCCCCATCGAATGTTTCAGGCCATGGCGGTCAACGGAGGCGTGAATGTTACGAAAGTTTGAACTTAAACGCAGGCTTCAAAGTCGAAAAGCTACCAGATGTTGTCAACAGAAGTGCCCCTTTGACGGCTCACCTTCAGGACGGAGCTAATGAGGTCCCAGTCCCAGGAGGTGTACTCCTTTGACAAGACCAGCGTGTCCTTGATAGTGTGCAGCACCGCCTCATCCGAATCCTGCGAGAAAAGCTCCACGGTCTCGAGACGTCCACAGGGCAGCCGGCAAGGGCAAGGATGCGTCGACCGAGTTTCGTACCGTCATCGGCTCGGGATTGTGAAAGGGGCGAACAGACGGCTACTGGCGTTCTCTGCTCACAAACAGCCGTCTGCCCTCAAATAGTCAAAATTTATGATGGGCCGAACTTTTGCCCAATTGAAAATTCGGCGCCGAATCTTGGGATCTGGCAAAGCCAAGGTTTTGCCGAACTTTTCAAAGATTCGGCAAAGATACATTGTTGCCAAACTTAAAAGTTGATATTTTGTTTTTTCAACAAAAAATGTATTTTTTTTTTTTAATGCATATTGACACAGTTATTCTAAATAGGTGATATTCTACAAGATAATTGTATCAAGTGTCATTTTTGTGTGTTTACTGGCAATATCTTTTTGCAGAGGTGGTATGACAATGAGGTTGGGTAATAGCAGGCGCAGTCACAATATGCGAGTTTCTGTTTAGAGCATACGGTTTTGAGGCCTCATCAGCACAAGTCGGCAAGTGTGTACATTGTGAAAACAAAGACAGTAACACCCCAGACAGCACACGACGTCGGGCCAACATTGGTATTCAATTGGCAAACAGTGGTCCAATATTGGGCCAATGTGGCCATCGTAGAACCAATATTGGTGGTACAGTGGAATATACTGACCAACGTTGGCCTGACTTGACCAACGGCTCACCAACGTTGGTAATCGATTGGCTTAGGCCGGCCAACATTGGCCTACCTCAGCCAATGGCTTACCAACGTTGGCAATCGATTGGTTTAGACTGGCCAACATTGGCCAACCTCAGCCAACGCCTTAACAACGTTGGCTATTGGTTGGCTTAGGTTGGCCAACATTGACCTGTCTTAGCCAATTGGTTACGAACATTGGTAATCGATTGGCTTAGGATGGCCAATATTGGTCTATTTTAGCCAATGAGTTGCCATCATTGGTAATCGATTGGCTAAGACAGGCCAATGTTGGCCAGCTTAAGCCAATCAATTACCGACATTGGTAATCGATTGACTTAGGCTGGGCAACATTGGCCTGTCTTAGCCAGTGGCTTACCAATGTTATATATAATTGGCTTAGTTCTTTTAATGTGCTGATCGCGCACGCTGAGAACAATCTCTAGCTATGCCTCCGGGGGGAACGATTCTTCTGTTCTCACACGCAGAGCAAGTTAGCAACTGAATTAGAACGCTGTATGCATTGCGAGCTGTAGCAAGTTTGAACGTCCACGCAGAAAAAAACCGTGTTCGGTGACAGGTTAAAAATAAACGATTGGTTTAAGCTGGCCACCAATTGCCTGTCTTAGCCAGTGGCCTACCAACGTTGGTAATTAGCGGCGAGATGTTTTGGTGGCGCCCTCATATGGTTCCCCCTTGTCACGTCATTACCTTGCGAACAACAAGTTCGATGGTGTTTGTAAATAGCATGGTGGAAGCCTGAAATCATTGCGTTCTCAAAGGAACACTGCCAACACCGTCGAAATTAAAGTTGCTTCATTCTTCTTATTTCCGTCGATGGTATACCCTTTCCGACGTCATAGTCAGCTTTTGGGCCAATCGTGAAAGGCCGACCACAGCGACGCTTTCGGTCGCGCACGTCGCCAATTGATTGGCTTAAGGCCGGTTCAGACACTTGCGTTTGAGTGCGTTTGACTGAGTTGCGTCGAGTACCGAAAGCGAGTCACCGGCACATCTGTGCTTCGTATGAAGCGTGGAATCCAATTCAAGGAATCATCTTGGCACGCGATATAAGCAGCAGGGATGTCCTGGTTTCTCGCTGCCGCAACGCAGTAAAACGCAATCAAACGCAACTGTCTGAACCAGGCTTTAGTCTGGTGTGATGAGCGATCCCGCGACCAGCCGAAGAGGACGAGAAAGAAGAAGACGAGGTGGGGGCATGCGAGGAGCGCGAGAGGGGATTCGGGCGGTTGACAAAGGACGGTGCAGACGCGACCAGGCCGGACCTCCGTCGGCGTGACCAGACGTCAAGAGGCCCGACCCACAACCCACTTCTCACGCAGTCCGGGCGCCAACCTTCCGGAGGTAGACAAGACTGCATGCGTGGCGCAGTTGAACTCCCGCTGCCACTCCGTGCCACAGACGTTCTGAGCCTGACTCAAGCCTTCGGCCAACGCCCAACTGCCTCGTCGCTACGTCCTTCGGCCCAGACCTTGGCGGACACCTGGTCATAGGCTGCCACCGGCGTACGGGGCCTGATTCAAGCCTTCGGCCATCGGTCAACTGCCTCGTCACTACGTCCGGACCTCGGCCCTGACATCGTAGACCCCTGATCATCGGCTACCACGGGTGCTACGCCGCAAGGACTGAAAAGTCGTGAGCGAGGGACTTTTTAGGGGACACTCAAACCTTAACATTTGTTGAAGTGCTGCTTGGGAGTGTGCTTTACTAAGACCAATGTGGGTTTTAAAGCGTTGATCTTTGACCTTTGGATCTTTTCGTAGATGCCATCAGTGCGAAGCTAACAATTGAAGAATCGTCAGCTTAAAAATGGTGCTGAAGTGGCTGCCAGGGTCTTGCGACAGGGGAGGCTGCAGGAAGAGGCGTTTGGAAGCCGTAATGGCTCCCCAGCCCCAGGACTCGCCCCAGGACCTTCCCCAGGACCAGGCATAGGCTCCCCGCTGAGCTTCCTCCCTAGCCACTTTCAATAAAAGTTCCGAAAAAAGTATTAATTGACCTTGAAATAGTCATTTGCTCGCCAGATAAAATAGTGCACAGACAAAGCATAGGACGACCTTGCCATTTGTGCCCAGAATGTTTTTCTTGCAGTGGGCTGCTAATAAGAAACAGGCCAGGGGTTCTTAAAACCCAATGTTGGAATAACCAGGATTTAAACGCATTGCCATCATTGCATGGCCAGCATTAAAGATATGGCATTAACACTGGGACATGCCATTGAATTAGTGTGAAAGCCAAAATTGGCATAGCCAAAGATCATTGGCTATGCCAATTTTGGCTTTCACACTAATTCAATGGCTATGCCATCATTGGTATACAAGTTCAATCATTAAATAGGCCGTTATCTGCAGTCAAGCTGATTCATTGGCATGTCCCAGTGTTAATGCCATATCTTTAATGCTGGCCATGCAATGATGGCAATGTGTTTAAATCCTGGTTATTCCAACATTGAGTTTTAAGAACCCCTGGCCTGTTTCTTATCCATCATTAGCCATCATTGGCACCTTTTTTAGGCCATCGTTAAACCAATATTTCAGCCATCGTTGGCATCCACACTATGTCGACATAGTGTGGATGCCAACGATGGCTGAAATATTGGTTTAACGATGGCCTAAAAAAGGTGCCAATGATGGCTGGATCATTGGTTGAACGATGGCCCAACGTTGGCGCCAATGACGGCTGGAAGGTTGGTTGAACGATGGCCCAACGTTGGTGCCAATGATGGCTGGAACATTGGTTGAACGATGGCCCAACGTTGGTGCCAATGGCTGGGCCAACATTGGAAGAAGTTGCGCTCGGCCAGAATACCAATGTTGGACCAACCTCCGGAGCCAGCGTTTGCCATTGTTGGCCCAATGTAGGTCCAACATTGGTGTGCTGCCTGGGACCACGTTCATACTATCTCAACGAGTCATCAATTCATGAGCGAAAATGAATGCAACGGGTGCAGAGCCCTCACCAGAAGAGATAACAATTATATATGTAAATATGTAGCTTTTTCAATTTGAGTCACTCGACACCAGTTTTGAATGAAAGTGCACGTTCCATATTCGCAATGTCTCCTTTTTAACTTCGAGCATGATAGTTCTGTGTTTATTTTATGCTGATAGATGAGAACCGTGAAGTAACGCCAATTAAAAAGCAATATTTTGTTTTGGCACAAACCATTTGCGAGTCGAAAACAGGATTGCCATAATTGCAAGGAATGCTTTAATTGTACTTGTCGGTCAACGTTGTAACTACCTTGTTGCATTACTGGAAAGATGAAATGAAAATAATGTTATCCAGAATGTACCGCATCATTTGTCACTTGCCGTAATTGCTGGTAGTACTACGGTACTACACTGTACGATGGTAACCGCACAGCATTCATTTGAAATCCTTGGCCGTCGCGTTCTCGCACATGCGCAGACGTTTGCTTAATTTTTGTTGAATCTTTCCCAAACATTTCTGCAATATTTTGGCATGTGCCGAACTTTCCCGAATTTGAAAATTGGCAGCTTCGGTAGATCATTAGTCAAAATCAACTGGTGGGATAGCTGGTTACACATATTCCCATTTTGCCCGTCTACTGCCGTAATATTATGAGTCATCGCCCATCCCCGAGTCATCGCCCACCCAATTTTTGGATGAATATCACTTTCCAAAAAAACATCAAGTGATCCCCTACCCCTACAAATTACCCCTTTGCGATTCGCGGAAACTCGTCCTACCCAGATGACGCAACCGCAGACCTTGCGGTTGGAGGACGTCTGTGACAAAGTAAAACAAAGGAGGGAAAGACACTTTGGTTCGTTTAAGGATTTCCTCCCCGATTTCCGCGAAAGAAAAACGACGGAGAAAACAGGCCAAACCTTTGTTTTACCTAAAAAAAAAAATTTTATAGAGACAAAAAAAAATAGTGAAGATAACACAAGCAGTAACTCATTCAGAGAGCACGAGGCTAGCGAACGCCCTATATCCCGGAATGTAACCGCAGAGTGTAAGGTCAAAGTCCGTCTCCACCAGAATAAGTTCACCGCAAACTTATCCTCCTCCTCTTGGAACGTAGAGACTACAGTTGGTAAGGTTGTGCAATGTTTCAGACAAAGCCAACAAGTAAACAAAGATTTTCTGGAACACTGCACACGGACGTTCATAAAGCGTCCCGTTTTGAGTTCCGCGTCTGTGGTGATGTCCCCGCCAAGTAGCAACGCTACATCTGCCCGAATTGATAGCACGTCGCGCACGGACGCACGCATGTATGCACCAAACAAGAAAGTTGCACAAGAGCCTCTTCCTTGTGATTGGCAAGGCGCCCGACTAGGCTCGACGCCAAAGTATTTGCACATGCCATCACTGGCTATCTTGCTTCCCCAGCATCGCTCTTCGTCGCTTTTTTCGCCCACTTGCTCGCTCGCTCGCTAGTTGCGCCTGGTTGGTTTTTCTATTTTCTTGTAGACTCCTTGTTTTTACTCCATTAATTTTTTTTTAAATTTACAGATCAGCAAAGGCTAGGGAGCCCAACAAAGGAAACATAGCAGTATTATAAATCTGCTTTCATGAAACAAACGTTTGCGCTATATGCGAATCGGCAGTGTCCATCGTGCGTATGCAAGTAAAGGACTTTGCGATAAGAGAACATTCTTTCATATGCATTTCTTGTATTAAACCGTGAAACTAATTTGAGTTCTTAGTTTATTACATCTCCTATGCAGCCGCGCTAGAGAGGTACAAAAAAACGGGGCAGGAAGATGGGCGATAGCTAAAGATATTACAGTGGTCCTTGTCCTTTTGCGCTGCACTGATTTCACCAATAATTGTCTGCTGGGGAGAAGACCATTGGTGTTGTTTGCTCGCAAGCAGACGATAGTTACCAGACTGACAAGTCCTACCTTGTGAAGGCAGCTGATGAGCTTGCTGCGTCCAGCCACATCACAGAACAGTTCGCCGGAGCGCTTGGTGTGGCTGCAGAACTGAAGCAGCTGGTCCAGAAACAGACTGCAGGGCACCATGCCCCTCCTCTTGAGAGCATGAATCCTCGACAGTCGTGCTACCGCAGTACTGGCCCGTCTGCAAAGTCAAACATACATGGGAGTAGTTTATTCATTCAAATGTATGGTTGATTGTGTGGACCATGCAAAATGAATTCCCAACTCTGAACAGAGTACCATCTATGTAATGGGATGATGTGTCAACTACTTCAGCAGGAATTGAACTCAAAGGCAATGTCCCATCCAGCTAAAACGTCCAGGTTAAGAAAAAAAACGACAGTAGAGGACCGATTTCTCCCTCGGGTTTCGGGCAAAAAGTCTCCCGTCTACCGTAAAATCCCGAGAGATGCCCCATCCCTGAAGAATAGCCCACCCCTATTTTTGGCTTGGTTTGCTATATTTTTCTAAAAACACTGTAAGACAGCCCACTCCTAGTAATAGTAGTGCTGGGATCAGTGATGGCCTCGGCGTAAATGCAGCTAGTTAGCTATGGCAGGATGTAAACAAACATTACTGACTGGGAAGTACAGACATCTTAGCTATTTTGCTATTTTAGCAGCAATGTTTTAAACTTTTCTTGATTGTACATTGAAAGTTAGCCCACTCCATATTTTCGCCCCATCTGCTCTAGATGTTAGGTCGGCGATCTCTCGGGATTTCACGGTAGTTTTTTCTTAGCTCAAGTATGCACTCACACGGCACTTGCAAGCTTAACAAAAGTGTAGGGTTACCAACTCTTCAATAAAGGCAGTGCAGGAGAGAAGGGAGACACAAAGGGGTTTATACAAGCGATGATGTTGGTAACAGGCCCTGCCTGGCACCAGTGTTGCCTCGATTTCTGGCTTGCCATGGCTTGCATGCTAAAGCAGCTAAAGCCTCTCACAGCCAACGCTAGCCATCGTAGCATTGCTTCGTGCGATTCATGCCTTGCACCATGACGTGCATTGTTGGTCGTGCACTGGATCACATATCAAATTTTTAACTGGACAATCTGCATTTAATCTGTGTCGACAAGGACGATGGGGGACTTGGGACACTTAATGAAAAGTTGGGACAGTCCAGCGAAATTCGGGACGGTTGGTAACCCTACAAGAGTTTGAAGTTCTTTAGGCGATCTTACATGCGTTTCTTTTGACAGGAATCAAACGAAGCCGCCTGTGACATCAGTGTGGGCAGGCAGTGGCAGTGCCGGCTGGCTTCTGATGGCAGGAACATGCTTGCCTGCGCATAACACCATTTTTGTTAATCCAAAACTCTCATCGTAAACACTGATGACAAAAATTGGAAAAGAAACCCCAGGGACCTTTTTCTGCAGCGACCACAACAAATTGAGGTTAAAACGATGCTGCCACTGGGATGTGACTTTATCCAATGTCGCAATATGTGTGGAACAGGGGGCTCTCACCATGTAGAGAAGCTCTGCCAGCAGGATAGTGGCCTGAATCGCCATGGCATCTTCGCTAGTTACAATCACTTCAACTAGTGCCTGCAACATTTAACGAGGCCCAATTTACAAGGAGATCACTCAGTAATGCAGTACAAAGAAAAGACCAACTAGTACACATGGCAAGGACCGTTTTCTTGTCACATAAGAACAGTACGCAAACGTGGTCAACGAGATTTGTTTTTCGGTAGTGCGGTAGATCACAAAAAAAGCAGGACTGTGTTCATTAAACTTACGTGACCACGTTTTTTGCACACTGAAAACAAAAAGGTTCCGTCACAAGCCAACTTGTCAGCCTTTTCACAATGAGAAAAAAAAAACGCTTCCGACATTTATCGTTTTGTAACCGCACTTCCACAAAACTAACCAGTCTTCCCGCAGTAAAAAAAAGTTCCAGAAAACGCCGTGTCACAGCCCATAACAAGACAGAAGCAAGAGCTCGACGACAGAACTAAATAGAGCAAGCTGGGAGGAATGTGGCACTTACCTCTAAGATTCCTGCTTGTACAAATGCTAATAAAAGTAGAGCTAAGTAGTTCGCTACTAGATTAGACCTGGAACAGAAAGCAGTGTGAGAAAGGCTGGCAACAGAGAGCTAAGGCGTCGGCATAAGAGGGGCTCAACTTGCCTATGTTTAGTGACGGGGGGTAAAAGGTCGCGGCCCTCAGCGGCGACAAATCCCTCGTAAAGCTTCCACGACTCCTGCATGGCTGCACGGTCTGAGCAAAGACAAGAACAGTTTTTTTTTATTTATTTCAATCCCCCCCCGGCCCAAGGGCATTACAGGGGGGTGGACAAAACAATACTGGTTCAGTAAAAAAATTCAAACAAACAAGGCAACTTGGTTATAAAAGTTAGTCAGGCATGATTGTAGCAAAAGTAAGTAGTTTGTGCTTTTCTAAATAAAACAATTGATGGAATAGTTACTAATGATGTGGGAAGGTGGTTCCATTGAGTGATCTTCTGGGGATGAAAGAGTCAATGTAAGCTGAAGTTTCACAGTGAGGTTTGTGAAGCTTAAGACTGTGATCAGTGCGGGGAGAAATGAAAGAGGGGCTAATGAATGGTTTGTCTTTCAAAGAAGCTTTGAAATAATAAATTTCATGAAAAAGGCATACAGACGCCGACTGACTTCTCGGAAGCCGATAATTCGGACTTGTTGAACATTTCGAACCTAAAGAAGGAACCGCGACCTACCCGACAGAAATTGTACAAATTCACGACCGATATTTCAAACAACTTGAAGTCCGAAAATTCAATTTTTCGGACAAAACTGTCGCAAGTAGTCAGCGGAAAACACCACCGAGAAGCGGCTATTTTGGATTCTATGTTAGCTGCACAAGGATTGGCTTGGTTTGGCACCGCTACTTGGGTACTGCTAAGTCTTACCGCTAGGTGACGTCATTATCATCATCATTGTTGTTACCGTTTTGCTTTGTTCATTTACCAGTGCAGTCATGAGCTTGCCCCTCTCATCTCGATCTCATCTAGGTGAATTGTGGTTTTGGACTACGCTGGCTTGGATGTCATTGCGCCGCGGGAGTGTTTACTGCAAGTCGCGTCGATTTGCGAGGTTGAAAAAAGTGGCCGGCCCAAGTCCGAAATTCCCAAGGAATTCGACACTCCGGCATTGACTGTTCGACACTGTCGACTGTCTCGCAGGACAACCAAGACGTACCGGACAAGTTCGTGAAGAGTCTCTATACTAAATCTAAGCTCGAAATTTGAAAATCAAAAATTGCCGACTGCTTAGCGCACAGCGAGTTTTCTTGTGCGCATGTGCTTGCCGAGCTAGCGCATAGTTTTCCAGACCTGCAATGATCCCTGTGGCAGTGTGCGCAAACACTTTGGTGAATTCGTCGAGGATCGATTTGTTTGTGATTGTTGATGCGGACATTCCTGTCATTGCTGCTCCTTGTACGGATGTTTGATCGTAGACCTTGTGTGCAGCCAGGGTAAAGACAAAGAGTTGTTGGAGAGGCACCTCGAGAAATACCGACGACTGCAGAGACGCGAAACGACCTACGGCTGCTTTGGAACAAAGTGGAATGCAGTGGCGGTGACGGTACTCTTACGATGCCCGAAGCAACTCGACGAGAACTGATTCCCAGAAAAAAGTTATCTGCAGGTTTCAATTACTTTATATATATATTTTTTTTTTTTTTAACTCGGTAAAGGTGCCACAAGTTGTTCGTGACCGAAGTTTGTTTGATTAAATATAAGCTTTGAGTCTTCCGCAGTGTTCCCGTTCACCTTCAAAGCCGCTGTCGCCGTTTTCTTTGGCTCTCTTGCTTTTCTTGAATTACCGCTTGTATTGGATTATTTTGCTGTCCTGTTGACTTTTTATAATGAGGGACTACTGCAAAAGAATTTTTGCAAACAGTACAGGACACGGGATAATTTTAACACGAAATCCGTGTTATGTAGCGAAAAATGAAACAGCAAAAAAGCAAACACTTACCAGACGATGCAAGTGCAGCCTCAAAGTCACTTGTCCAGGCAGGCAAGGCAAGACAAAAGATGTCGTAGAAGAGAGCCAGGATGTTTTTCTGAAAGACCACACCCCCGTGACCCAACACACCGAATTCAAGACATTTCTTCCCGCAAACTGGGAAAGAGTGAGCCATTAAATGGCAATGCGGCACGTGCGCAAACCAAACAATGTGATTGTGCACTGTTCTTCACCGGCGACATTGAGTGACAAATCAAAAGCAGATGCCTCGAGAGCCAGGAAGGCCTCCCAATCGGATGGGAGCAGTTATAGTTGCCAGCTATCGACTTAAGCACAATTGAAAACACTCTCAATTTGCGAATTTTAAGCGGCCGGGCAAGCAAAAAGGTGGGTGAACAAAAGGACCAATGCCCCACAGTTTTCGCTTTCACTCCACCGTCGCTGCATACGACGCAGCAAAATTATTACGCTTACCCTTGCATCAGGAAGAGGCAGGCATAGGACTTCCACCAAAGACTGTGACCCTGATGGCGGCGGCTTGCAAAAGTACACCATTCCTGCACCAATCACGTTGCAGCACGTCTTATGCCGCAGTCTAGCCACGCTAAAGAACAGGCTCGAATGTTTGCTCCAAGTCAACGATCAAGTTTCGACTTGCCATGTGCATGAAGGCTCCGGTTCGGATACAAGAGAGGCAGAGAATGTCCCAAACTCTTTAATAGCTAAACAAAGTATTAAACGTATCTTGTGCTCCCTGTCTCGTAGAACAAAGAGAATATTGGTGGACAGCACGATCTGGGCAACACTGGCACAATGTCACTGTCTCAATAAAAAAAGAGTAGGGTTAAACTATATTTTTAGCTATGCAGCAGCATTAGCCATCTTGAAAAACTTATCTACCCTCTTTTCAGTCCTGAAACCCTAGTAGAAATGCAGATATGTTGTGTTTAGGAACAGCAGGTGGATCTTCATGACTTGGAACATGGGTTCCCAAACTGGATTCCCATGAGTCCCTGGGTTCCTAAGCAAAGCGTTTTTCGAGTTCATAATCTGAACAGAGCAAATGGCTACCCTACATTACACAAACTGGAAGGAAAGGTTCCAACTTGAAGCAACATACGTATACACGTTTGCAAGTCCGGCTTCAGGGCGCTGCCATCTTGCCTGTCTGGGGTGCGCTTGGACCAGTCATAATCCCATTACGAAGCCTTGCTAAGGCGTCGTAATCGGATTATGGCCGTTCCCGAGAGCGCACCCCACTGAGGAAGATGGCGGCACCCTGAGACCGGACTTGCAAACGTGTATATGTGCCTCAGACTGCACCCAAAGTTAAGTGCTTGGCATAATAATGGACTGGTCAAGCAAATCTGGGCACTAAGGAACTCCTGGGAAGGCTCAAAGAGCCTCTAGTTTTAAAAAAGTTTTAGAACGTTTACGAGACCACAACAAGGACAGTATCTTGTAATTCGAACGCGTAAGTGAACAACACTCGTGCCCTGTTAAGGGGGGACACTACCTGAGCATGTCTACTTTTTTTAACTGTTCACTCAATTGGCATGACATCTGCAGGTGGTGTTTATAGCCATATAAAAGGAGGGCATGCAAAGTTTCAGCCCTGTGAACCAATTTTAGGAGTTTTTATAACCCCCAAACGAAGTAAAGCATAGCTTTGCATGGAATCTGCTCAATGAATCTATTGTTGAGAAACAATGTTGAGCACCACATATTTTTCTGGTGAAATGGATTCTGGAATACTTGTTGCTGGTTACTATGAAAATAAATTTTTAAAAAATATGTGATTTTCAAATAAAAAAAATTGTGTTTTTTTTTTTGTTTTTTTACATTTGCAAAGTTTTGCAAATAACAATTTTTCATGACAAAGGAACGTGAAAATGCAAAATCTAAGTTCATAGTAACCGGATCGATAAAATTTAAGCATATAATCTTCAAATATTAAGACTCTCGGTAGTTTCGCACTGAAACAATAGTTTTATTAAGGTGGGATTTGCTGCCAAAAAGTGAAGCTGAAATAAATGCACTTGAAGTTTCAAGATGACTTTTTAAATTTTTCTTTTTGCATCTTAAATGTCAAATTCTTTCCAGCAGTGTAGGTGATGTCTTCCTCAAATTCTTCTTATATACTGACATTGCTTTCAGCTATTTTCATTTGTGGACGACGACTGCTACGCAGTGCAGCACACTTCACCAACATATAAAGAATAATTATTTTTGACATTGTTTGTCAGTGCACATTGACAAGGCTTTGTGAGAGTGTTCTTTGTTAGCTATACATGCCAAAACTCTGCAGTTCTGAATGTGAATTTTTTGCAAAAAAAGGTACAATTCAAGGTAGTGTCACCCCTTAAACTAACAACAGATAAGCTTCTGCTTAATCTGAACAACTCGGTTGGAAGCAAGAATGTTTAAGGCTCGTCTGATCAGCCTTGACAAACTAATGCATTATCTGAACATTTTCGGCAGGGATTGTGAGCATTTGTTTGACACATGGTACAACTCAGCGGTTTTGATTCACATAAACAAACAAGCGGTCTGTTCCACAACAAAACATAAGGTGGCAATTGACAAGGAAAAAAAAACTGCGCAGACGATCGTGCGACGTGATGTGAATAGACAGCGCCAGCTGGTGCAACATTTCGATGATATCGTGATTGACTGAAAACTCTGGTGATGTTGCGTCATGCGGCGTCTCGAGTAAACTGTAACCGATCACACACAGAATACCTGGCACCAAACGCTTTCGCGGATGCACTGCACAAATCGTTTGGTAGCACCGGCGTGTCGATTCTTTGCTCGGCAACGTTCTCATCGATGTGCCGCTTCACATTCACGCACAACGTGATCGTGACGTGGATTGCATCCTAACCCCCAGGGTGGGACCGGCAGTGCCTACATATCGACAACGTCCTCCCTCACGGGCGCGTTTACGCCGTCTAGCAGCCGCTGCTTGCTCCAACGTATGCTTCGACCTCCCCCTTCTTGCACGCAAAGGCTTAGAGCGTCGGGGGAACGGGTGACCAAAGGCAAGAAAGAGCGGGTGGCTAGAAGAGTGATCACACGGCTCCCAGTGCAATCAAGACTGGCCGAACGCACTGCGCCTCAACGGCAACTATTATCGGCGAAAGAGCAAGTGTGTCACTGCTGTACTCGCCTTCTCCCGGCGCCAAAGCCACCTACGATGAGCGCCCACATGCTTCGCTCGTTTTTCGGCAACACGACACTCATTCGGTGCAACAAACCCGGTACAGCCGAAGCCGCAAAACAAAGTGAGACGTGCAGTCACTCACCGGGCCACGACCTCAACACTGACGTCATTGCGATGCGACTTGTCTGAAACCTCAGTTCTCTGTCGTCGCTGCAAGAAAGCAAACGAAAGACACTGAAATGAGGCTGGAGCGATCCACCCCTGCTTGGTTCATTTTAGCGATCTCGGTGCAAAGTAAGTACAACTAGGGAAAAGAAAATGTACCTCAAAGAGTTTTCAGGCAGGTCATCTGCATAACGAAAGTGACTGTCTGTGAAAGGTGCCACCAAGTACTGCAAGAGAAAAGACAAGTGCATCGGCAACCTCGAATGCTGCCCGTGCCATCAAGGTGTCGCCGGTGCCCAGTCTGGAACCGTGTACAATTTCCGAGCAAGCACGCATCTGAATGGCCACAAAACTTATCCTTCAATTTCAAAACCCCTGACAAGGGAACCACCAGTTCTAAAACATTCCTATTTCTTTTACCTGTTACTACCTGTCATGCAATACCATATTTACTTGCGTAATGAACGCACACCCCACAACGGGTACCGATACTTGGAGTTTTTTTTTTCCCCTCGTGTAATGAACGCACCTTTCATTTTCGGTTCTGCGACTCTCAAATTGCATTACACTTAGCTAGCCACCAAGCCCACCAAGCCAATTTTCTTTTGCTGCCAAGCAGTCAGGTTAAGTCAAGCCAAGCCAAACCGCTCTCGTAATGGCTGCAGGTGCGTAGTTGCGGAAGTGATCAACCGTGAAACTGAGCGGTGCGCACACTTGACGAAACTTGGGTCGAGGAATTGCCCAGCCCCAGGCATTCTTCACCTATCGGATGTATTGATGTCAACAGACACGCCGTCATCTGTGGTCCGCTTTCAGACAGTGAAATCATGAAAGTAGTTAGGCCTAAGAATGTTTGCGTTGCTCTTTGTGCCGAGTGAACTTCATAAGGCGCTTTTCCTTCGGCAAAAAGCACGCCAAAAGCGCCCTAAAAAGGTTTGCAATTTATAAAGCATGGTTACTGTGGCAAAACCCCCCAGCAGCCGTGGGTGCGCCGCCATCAGAGGAGACATGTCACAGTACCTTGCCATGTCATATTGGCACCTAATATGACATTTGCAGGAAGTGAGTAAATGCAAAAATTTTACCCCACGTATTTGAACGCACACCCCAAATGTGTGTCAATTTTTCAGGAAAAAAAGTGTTCATTGTGCGAGTAAATACGGTACCATCTCAGCTTGTCAGGGGCTCTGTTTATGCATTTACGACTCGCAAGTCCCGCCTTGTAGACTGGTGGGGGCTTAGCTTTAATTCTTTCCTGACAGCGCCCATAGGCCATCGATCATTGGTGATCGATAGTTTCCAAGCAACGTCAAGATATTAAAGTTAGTCTGGAGAATTATGTTCCATAATCTTGTGGATAGCCGAAGAACTGCAGTTTCAATTTCAACGTAGGTTTGAGCTTTATCACAAGCTGGTCGGCTGTCAAAAATAGTCCTGGGAACGGTAGTTGCACTTGTCTAACACGGCTAAATGCTTGCATAAGTCTTTGCAACTAAGATGCCATTATTTACATAATTCAACTATATTGTGGCAGATTCTCAAGAGATCTGGGATCACTTTACATGTTAGAGGTGTCGCTTAACAGATGGTTGTCAGTAAGCATGACTATAATTTCCAACGCTGTCCTGAGCCGGCGTGCACGTTTTATGTACCCATCAAGGCGGACAAAAATGCTAAATATGAAGGAACTGCAGTCGACACTATGACAAGGTAGAACACAAAGAAAGCATTTTGCTGGGCATGCGAAGTGTACTATCTGTGTTTCATCAATATAAGCATTCTTTCGTTGAAAAGCACACGTGTTATGGAGGCTAACTCTCCCACAAACCAAAACGAGACGTCTGTTCGAGTGTACGAAGTTTTAGAAGTGATAGTCGTGGGCATGAAAAACATTTCATATATTTAGAATTTTTCTTTTACTCGTCGTTCGATCTGACATAACTGCAGAAGTTTCGGCGTTTATACGTTTTAGGAATGTGAATTGCATTTTCAAAAAAAATAATTAAAGAAATTTTTTTTTTTTTACATTTTAATAACTTGTTTTTTTTTTTTAAAGACTGACTGACTGGCCACATTTTGATGTTTCATATTGCTTTATACACAAATTAGTTAGGAAAATAAAAGTGTTTGCATGGATCCTTCAAAATTTCCTACTTTTTCTATGGTCAGGAATAAGCGGAGAAGAGACATAAGCTGGTATGTGTTATAGATGAACAGAACTCGACACTGAAAAAAGTCGCGTCTGGGGGAACTAATCTCGATGCTGGCTTAATGCTCATATGCGGCCACCCGCGCCGCAGTAAAAGTCAGCCACTCTGGCACAACCCCTCCCCCCTCCGACCTACCTCCAGGTCGATGTCTAGTCTGAGCAGGTGCCTTGTGGCTGGGTCGTTGATAGAGTGGAACAGGACCCCCAACATGGCTTCCGCGATGTGCGGCTGCGGGCAGTCCAGCACGCTGTGGAGCAGGGTGCGGAAGCCGCCAGTCTCCACGCACAGTTTGGGATTCAGCAGCGCTGCGTTTGCGGAGACACGGAGCGAGTCAGCGACTGGCACAACAACTGCGTTCGGAAGCGATCATGAACCCGACATCTATACCCTGTTTCACTTTAAGTGTGAGTGTAGCAGAAGCTACGAGAGCAAGCCCCAGGCTTTCAGCCTCCCCGCCAAGAATGCACGCTAGTGCAGTGCAAGCGGCGTTCAGGGCCACATGCTCGCTCTTGTAGCATTGGCTGCATCTGGGCTTAAGCTGAAACAGAATATGGAATGTGTTCTTCTACTGAGAGACAGATAGGTATCCCATTGTTTTTTTGCCAGGCGGCTTAATATGGTGTTGAAAGACTACCCAATCAATATCTATCTACAGAGTTGCACATATTTTTAATAAAGTAAAAAAACACAGCTGCTCAAAACAGAAACACTGCATGAAGTTAATGGCCGCGACACATGGTCTGGGAAGGAGGGAGAAACGTGGAGGAGGAGAGAGTTGCTGGAAGTCACGTGGCTACACCCGACTGCATTTTTTTGTTGTTTTACGAAGCAAATGAAAGACTCACATTGACATCTGAGCATTTTTTATGACCTCACCAATTTGTGTTCATAAGGCGAGCGACGTCTTCGGCCAGGAGAAAGGGCTACGACTCGGCGACGTCCTTGTGCGAATCAGCTTGGTGATCGGGCATGTCGTACGGAAGAAATCCAGTTGTTCTGATCCATAAATGATTTCTCTTTCAAAGCTAGACAGATTTGCCGGTACCACAAACGACGGTTCTAAAACAGAGGTCCCATGCCAGTTGTTCGGCGCCATCACATTAACCACTTGCTTCAACCGTCCAGCCTGCGACTCCCGCGATACGACGCAATGTTGAGAATTATGCAACAGATGTATGTTTGGTACTCTGTGCAGCTCTTTTATCAATGAATGTATTGGCAGCTTCTTAGAAGCCACAAAAAATGGGTTTCATTTTCTTTTTTTCTTCTATTCTTAATATTTAGTGTGAGCTTTCAATGACCCATGACATTGATTATAATTGGTGTGCGCGTCTGAACGGCAAGCGACCACGGAGAAAACAGTGAGTGCGACTCAAACCGACCAGTCAACGGTTTTCGGAAGAAAAAAAAATAATTTTCAGTCGCAAATTCTGTTCTGGTTAAAAACAAATACCTCCGACTTGCATAACAATACCAACATTTATCAGACGTTTCGTCTCCTATACGGGAGACATCATCAGTGCGGCCTGGGAACACCCGACTAGCTACCAGAAATCCAACGCTTCTTCTTCCTTCTCTTCATCCGTAGCGCTGGTTCTGCCGACTTCTTCGTCGATGGCATGCGGGAGACATTATCATCGTCTGCACTCGCTTCAACTTCTTTTTACGTCCGTCCTGGATGGGAAGTTAAATGAAAGGTTATTTCAGGACGTCGGTGTACACGTCGGGGAGGGGGCCGCGGTTAGAATTGCAGGCAGATGGGTCACTGCGAATACACCATGATTCCAGAAATCTTCTGGGGCCCCACCGTTGTTCGCGTGCCAGGGTCACAGCATTCGCAAGGTCAAAAGTGTGACCAGTCGTCCAACAATGGTCCACCAGTTCAGTTTTTGATCTTGTGGCATGTGTTGCCTTCTCCACGTCTCTTTTGTGCTTTTTGAGGCGGGTACTCCGTTTGCGGCCAGTTTCTCCGATGTAACACTTGTCACGGTCCTGACAGTTCACTTTGTATACAATACCACTTTGAGATTCAGGAGGGGTTGGATCTTTTGGCTTCGAAATGAGGTCACGCAATTTTATATGGGGTTTGAAAGTTGTTCGTATACCTAGTGGCAGGAGGGACCGGCGAATAGATTCTGAGACTCCTTTTACATAAGGGATAGTCACCACGCCTGCTTTGTAATTATTAGTCGCTTTTGTTCTTCCCTGCTGCATCTGTTTACGTGTGTTTTCAATAAAACCTTGTGAATACCCGCGCTTCAAAAGGGATCCGATAACAGTCTGAACTTCCGATGCTCGCAAATCTGAATTTAAAGGGAAATGTTCTGATCGGCTAATTAAAGTTTTTACAACAGCTCGCTTATGTTCCACAGGGTGGTGAGTATTGAAACTCAAAAAATTTCCGGTATCACAAGGTTTATGATACACGGTGGTTTCAATCTGACCGGTGTCACTTCGACAAACAGTTACGTCCAGAAAAGGTAACGTGCTATTTTGTTCAACTTCTCGCGTGAACTGTATGGAAGGTTCAATGCTGCCTAGCTCTTCGTTGCCGGCCTCGTGTTGACACCCACTACGGCAGAAAACTGGCGCAAGAATTCAGCCAAAACTGCCTAAAGGCCCGGATCTTGGACAACAAGCAGAGGATCAACGACTGTCGGCACCGTCTCGCTGCAGCTGAGAAATTCCTGCAGCGGATTCTTCAACCCGAAGACATGCACCATATTTTTGGCGCGCGTAAGCAAGCTGAAGACTTGGAGAAAATCAAGCTCACGAACATCCACGACAAGAAATTATCACAACTTATACCCAAGCCTTCCACCAGACCAACTTCGGCTTCCGTCTTTAATCTGTCGTCTAAACATCTCTCGGGCGGTCATGTAAGCCTTCTGTCAAAAGGACTAGATTTCGCTTTGGCCCCGTGCGTTGTCCCCGAACGAGACATTATCGTGGAAATAGAAGAGAAGCTGCGTCATCTTCATGATAGCTCGGGGATTAACCAAGCACGCAGCTGTATAATGACTACTTTAAATAATGCAAAAACCACCCCGTCGAATCTAAATAAGCACAAACAAGCGGCACTACGGGACCTTAAATCCGACCAATCAATCCTTGTCCTTTCTGCAGATAAAGGAAAGGGCACTGTTGTCATTGACAAAGAGGCTTATTTTCAAAAAATGAAATGCCATCCTCCACGACACTGTGCATTTTGTAAAGTTAGCACAGGATCTGACTAAAAAATCTTAAAGGGCTCTGGTTGACCATCTACATGATCTCAAAAAGAAGAACCTCTTAAATTACACAATTTACCGCCGCCTTTTTTCTTCCGATGGTTGTACTCCAAAACTTTACGGCCTCCCCAAAATTCACAAACCCGATTGTCCTCTGCGACCAATTGTGTCGTTTGTTGGTTCCCCCACGTACAACCTATCAAAGTATCTAGTAGAGCTGTTTTCTCTTATAACAGGGAATAACAACTTTACAGTTATAAAATCTCAAGAATTCGTTGACCTAATTCGAGGTCATGTTCTGGACAAGGGAGATGTAATGGTCTCGTTTGATGTCATATCTTTGTTCACAAATGTTCCGACCACTCTTGCAGTGGAAGTTGCCGAAACACGCCTGCGTAAGGATTCCACACTTTCGTCACGGACATCTCTTACAGTTGAGGATATTATTATTCTTTTGCGTTTTTGTCTAAATCAGTCGCATTTCACCTTCCGTGGACAATTCTATCGTCAGATTGAGGGTTGCCCAATAAGTAGTCCGGTATCTGTGACCTTGGCTAATCTGGTAATGGCACATATAGAGCAAACCGCGTTAGAAGTAAAAGCATGCCCTGTCAAATTCTACCGACGTTACGTAGATGACACTTTCATTATTTTAAATGAGGATCACATCGATAACTTCCATGCAACCCTAAGCAACATTGAACCTTCCATACAGTTCACGCGAGAAGTTGAACAAAATAGCACGTTACCTTTTCTGGACGTAACTGTTTGCCGAAGTGACACCGGTCAGATTGAAACCACCGTGTATCGTAAACCTTGTGATACCGGAAATTTTTTGAGTTTTAATTCTCACCACCCTGTGGAACATAAGCGAGCTGTTGTAAAAACTTTAATCAGCCGATCAGCACATTTCCCTTCAAATTCAGATTTGCGAGCATTCGAAGTTCAGACTGTTATCGGATCCCTTTTGAAGCGCGGGTATTCACAAGGTTTTATTGAAAACACACGTAAACAGATGCAGCAGGGAAGAACAAAAGCGACTAATAATTACAAAGCAGGCGTGGTGACTATCCCTTATGTAAAAGAAGTCTCAGAATCTATTCGCCAATCCCTCCTGCCACTAGGTATACGAACAACTTTCAAACCCCATATAAAATTACATGACCTCATTTCGAAGCCAAAAGATCCAACCCCTCCTGAATCTCAAAGTCGTATTGTATACAAAGTGAACTGTCAGGACCGTGACAAGTGTTACACCGGAGAAACTGGCCGCAAACGGAGTACCCGCCTCAAAGAGCACAAAAGAGACGTGGAGAAGGCAACACATGCCACAAGATCAAAAACTGAACTGGTGGACCATTGTTGGACGACTGGTCACACTTTTGACCTTGCAAATGCTGTGACCCTGGCACGCGAACAACGGTGGAGCCCCAGAAGATTTCTGGAATCATGGTGTATTCGCAGTGACCCATCTGCCTGCAATTCTAACCGCGGCCCCCTCCCCGACGTGTACACTGACATCCTGAAATAACCTTTCATTTAACTTCCCATCCAGGACGGACGTAAAAAGAAGTTGAAGCGAGTGCAGACGATGGTAATGTCTCCCGTATGCCATCGCCGAAGAAGTCGGCAGAACCAGCGCTACGGATGAAGAGAAGGAAGAAGAAGCGTTGGATTTCTGGTAGCTAGTCGGGTGTTCCCAGGCCGCACTGATGATGTCTCCCGTATAGGAGACGAAACGTCTGATAAATGTTGGTATTGTTATGCAAGTCGGAGGTATTTGTTTTTAATCATGAATCCCGGCTTTTGGAACATTTTTGCATTTATTCTGTTCTGGGTAGCTGGGCTCTCGTAAGTCACATACAAATAACAAACCTTGACGAGCATAAACACCCTGTCAGTGTACTTTCAAGAACCCATACTCTAATTCTCTAACTACAGTATTTTCGGGGCTATTGGCCTTTAAACTATAGATGTTCGAAAGTTTAAATCTTTTGCAATGTGGACTATACAAGGATTTGTTTTTTTTTCAAAATTGTTCCCTGTGGCGAGACAGGACGGATTTTGTGAATGACAGATTATGTTTATAACGATTTTTGCACAATACAAAACTTGTTTGTGCACTAATGAGGCAGGCAACTACTTTCTTAAACTTTGTGTTAGAAAAGCCTACCAGTTGTTATGGTAAGTGTTCTATAATGCAAAACGCGTTACACTATTGTAGTTTTTATATTTCTAGGTCGCATAACTATTCCAACATCAGTCCCACATGTCTTCCTCTATAGAAATTAATACACAAAGTAATTAATTATTTATTTTTCAAGGCGTGCTGTTACGAGAAGTTTGTTACGTGCAAACTATGCATAGTGTGCAGACTATCTCAAGAAAACCTTTCTTTTTTTTCCGGTCAAAATACGACTATGCGGACTATACACCGGGTGTAGACAATACTACAAAAAACATGGCGTACAAACCCTACGGAGTTACGCACCAAGCTCGCAGAGCGTTCCGAGGCAGGCCCGAACCAAGTCATCTCGCTCCTTGGCGCCATCTGCAGCCACCGCCACCAGGCAGCGTGCCAGCTGTGGCGGCAGGTCGTCCGGTGCCAGCGTCACTAGCCGTCGCACGAGCCGAAGGGCCTGGAGGCGCTCCGTGCGGGATTCCAGGGCAGCGTCCAGCGCCCTCGCCACCAGGACGGGCACGTGAGACCGGACCAGTGCCCGCGCTGCGGAGGCGTCCCGCACCAGATGGCGCAGTGCCCGCAGGCAGCCAGCACGTACCTCGCTCGCATCGTGCACGAGCAGCACACGCAAACTGCAAACGTCGAGAGACGCAGAGACAGATGAGTTTCGTTGGAACGAACTGGAAACTGTGCGGAGCGCACGTTCGTCTGCTTCTTGCACGGGGGTTGCATTCACGTCAGAACGTCGCGGTCTTATTGGCTGATTTAAACCAATAGGGGGTAGACCTCAAGGCATCTAGCATTGAGGTCTTCCCACTACCCTTCCATCAAAGCGAATCGGAGCTCGGCGCCATTCTGACGTCATGGCAACCCCTGCGCAAGGAAGCAGACGAACCTGCACTCTGCAAAGAGTGTTGTGAATCAAGGGGACAAATGCTAGAACATGTGCATTAAGAGACGGTTCATGCTTTCTTCCAGGTGATGCTAGCTTCCAAGCAACTTTATGTGAAATTTTAGGTAAGGCAAATGCCGGAAGATATGCAATCAGACGGTTCATGTTTGCTTCCAAATGCTTACTTCCAAGCAACTGTAAATGAATTTAGAAGAGTGTGTTTTGAGAGGTTGGCTCTGACCACAAAATTAGGAGTTTTGACTTTTGAAAGGAGTCTATTGAAGGGTTCAATGCTGTCAGGGTTTAAAAAGAATGCAGCATGTAATGATCACAATGCCTAGCATCAAACTGCACAGTCAGCCAGGGAAGCAATTAAAATCTCTTAAAAACACATGTTTTTTAATATAGCTTGTCAACCCCAGATATAAATGAAGTCAAGAGTCGTCACTGATGATCACTCAAGATTTTAAGGATTCTGGAAGTCTCTCAAAATTTTAAGGATTTTGGAAGTCTCAAGAAGCATCCTTTTTGATTCGAGGGTGTCCAAGGTTCCCCAAGACTTCAAATTGCCGGCACCGACGAAATATGGCGAGGCACAGTGCGAGGGAAATTTTTTTGTTCCGCTACCACTTGTTCATAATTAGTCACCCAAGCAAGAATGTTGTGGAACAGGAGAAAGGACAAGCGAGGGAATACTCACCAGCAGAAGACTTCTTCAAGCGAGAACCCAAGCTCGGTCTCATCTGTGATCTTTGGGCTCAGCTTCACCAGCGAGTTGAGATACGCGAGCTTCCGGTTCTTGCTCACACCTTCTTGACGCACCAAGTAGACCAGGATTTCCCGCAGGTTGTCACCCACGCCTGGATTAATGACATCAGAACCTATCTCACAAGGTGAATTTAGAGTAGTCACTAGACACAGAAAGTGACAAATCAGTACCTCAATACCTTTCCAACTCTAGCACTCACGGTATTGCCCTTCCAGTGTCCAACTTCACGAGCTGTCCGAACTAGAGCAGTGTCCACTTAGGACATGCCCTACATCGGTTATCGCGAAACAGCCGTCCTCAGGCAAGCAATACGCAAAGCTAATTATCAAAGCGGTGGAATGACATCAATGGAATGAGCATGATTAGACGAAGAAGTGTACGGTCTTCTACTCGAAACTACATTCTCCGCTGGTGGAGTACTGCACTTTCTGTTGCTTAACATTGCATGAATGGACGAAACCATCAAAACAATACCGCGTATCCGGTGACTCACGCCAGTGTTTGCCTCGATGTCTAGCAGACGAAAAGTTCGGTTCTCATAAACGCCGGGCACCGATTTGAACGAGAAAAGTTATGGAAAGTTCGCGGGAGGCAGCGAGCTAGACCGGCATGGCATCGCACACGGACACACAGATAGGTTAACGGCAAAACATGGGATTTCGTACTACAAGCTTTGGATGCAACACACATTCACATCATCTCAATGTTTCGGACCATTATTCCGGTCCTCGAATTGGCCCTAGACAACGCCGAGTAGCTTGCCACCGCACGGCTGAAACAACGTAGTCGATCGAGTTTGGGTCAGCAAAAAAACAGGGCCGATATCGAACGTCGAAGGTCTCTGGTCGTAAAATGTTTAGTCGACTCGTAGGAAGCTGATAAGCCTAACCTTTGGTTAAATCAAGGTGAACGGTCTCCTCCTCGCTGTCATGGCGCTCTGCAACAAACACAAAGTGTTAGCGGAAGTCGGATTTGAACTGTTTCAATAAATCGCAGGTAAATCGAGTAAGGAATCAACTAACTTCTTAACGAACGGCCACCCCTGGAGCTCCGCTGCCGAAACATGACATGCGCCATGTTTTGGGGAGGCGTTGCGGCGAGCACGGCGCTCGAGGCGGCGACCTTATCAACTAGCTGTTAGCGAATATTATCGACCGGTAACATATCTGAAGACGTGCTCTAGATAAGGTATTGATAACTGATCCCCCATTCTTGCTTTACGAATCGTATTTGCCAAGGCCTGGAACGGGCAAGGCCGATATGTTAAAATGTTTACCCACTGATGACCTAATAATCTTCTTTTTTTTTTTATGAATTCCGGGAACTTATTTTTGGGGACATATATTCCATAAAATGCGCACTCTATGATTACTAGCACAAAAAGAAATATTATTATGATGTTTAACGACTTACATTACGTAAACGTTCAACAAAGTGATTAACCAATAAGGTGCGGGTTAGTAATTTGGCGGGCATTTCAAAGCTGTTACAAAGGCTGGAAGCTTCTGTAAAGCTACTACGTTCATACCGAATTGCCCCCTAGTCCCGAGGGAAAACAAAAAGGCATAGAGGAAATAGGTCGAGTCGAGAGGGAATAAGAAAGAACACAGTGAGTGCGAATTCCCACCGAAGACGCGAGTCACGCGAGTGCATTCTCCTCTTCAGTACGCCCGGGGCATTCGCACACTTTTCAGCCAGCGGCACTTTTCATGCCGCTGGCTGAAAACGTGCCACTCACAAGAGAGACTTTGTCTAGATTTGACCAGTGTTGGGGTGGCTCTCTTGGTATGTACTAGTATACACTTTACTTTAAGTATTTTTCAGGTGCTTTCCGAGCAAAATACAGCTCCCGTTTTCAAAGTACATTCCCCAAAATCTGTGGATCCTTTTTGCCACAGTAGCGAGGTATAAATTATAACGCAGCTTCCTATAGGAACAGTGGTAAACAAAGGGCACAAGAAACTGCCCTTTGGACAAGCCGAGATTACTCTGCTGTTTTCGGCATCCAGTCCCCAATCTTAGGCATATTGGGGTGCAGATTTACGCCTTGTCCCCAACTATACTCCGCGACAACTTTTCTTGGCAATGCAGTGGAAGGTACGTCCCGCGTCCCCTCTCCCATTTTGAGCGTACGCAGGCTCTCCTCCTCTCCCCAGAAATGGGGGAGGAGGGGAGCCTCCGTACACTCAAAATGGGAGAGGGGACGCGGGACGTACCTTCCACTGCATTGCCAAGAAAAGTTGTCGCGGAGTATAGCTAGACGATCTCCAAGCCGCTGAATGCCCGCAAGAGCGAGCTTCCACAAAAGTCGGGTTTTTGGTAGTTCTCAAAAGGAAATAACTATACCCCATATTACAGCGGAGCTGTTATGGGCTAGTTTCCCCAGTATCGTGTCCGTCAGCAAACAAATGATGACACAAAACTGCACAAAAGCCACAAAAAAATGGCTATCGTGTTTCTTTCTATTTTTAATATTGTGTGTGTGCCTTCGATGACCTACGACTTTGATTCAATTTGGTGGTCGTGTCTAAACCTTAGAGAACTGCCCGTGACCACGGAGAAAAGAGTGAGCTCGACCCAAACCGGCCAGTTCTCGATTGGCGGTTTTCGGGCAGAAAGAGACCGAATTTCGAGCCGCAAATTTTGTTCTGGGTAGGGATGCCGCGAACTTTTTTCGAACCGAAGGTTCGATGATCGAATCAAGCGGTTCGAGAGGGTCGAAAGATTTCGAATTTTCGAACTTTCCATATCGAGCAATTCGATGGAAATCGAATTTTCGAATTTGTTAGACTAAGAAGTTTGAGGCTTTCGAAATTTCGAACTTCACATGTTCGGAAATGCAATGTTTTTCGAACCGTCGACCTTATTAACCTAACAAGTTCGATCCTTTTCGAAACGTCGAACTTATTACGCTAAAAAGTTCGATCCTTTTCGAAATTTCGATTTTAATACACTTCAAGATTCGATTCTTGTCGAACTTTCGACCTTGATAGACTAAAAATTTCGATGATTTTCGAACGTTCAAATTTCTTGCACTAAAAAGTTCGAACCTTCGAACTTTCAACCCTAAGAAATTCGATAACTTTCGAACTTATTTATCTAAAGAATTCGAAAATTTTCGAGCGTTCGAATACTGAGAAGTAAAAAGTTCGACGAACTTCGAACTTTTAGGGTAAAAGTCCGCTTCGAACTTTTAGGGTAAAAGTCCGAAGTTCGTCGAACTTCGAAAGACCGGCGGGTGGTTTCATTTGGATTCAAGCAGTAAGGTACATTCATATTTTTTTTTATTTTTTTTTTACATGCGGTGCCGCATTCCTTGCAAAAGACAAGGCCGTTTATTTCAATGTTCTGGCATGATAAGTTTTCAATAAATAAATTCCCGAAGAAGCGAGGAAGGACGACAGGCTTTTGACAGTTGTCGTTTGTGCCATATTTGAAGCGCGCTATAGTCGAAGCTGTTTATGGTAGGGATGTTAAACTTTTTAAGAATGACCTATGTATAGACTAGGTAATTGTTGTCCTAAGATATGATTATTATTATTCAAGATGAGTTTCGAAGAAATCGACGGGCCATCATGCCCTAAACTTGGCAATTTTTTTCTTCTCAATTGTTTGAGGTATCGCATTTAAATTAACACCACATACAGTACATATCATTACCATATGCAGAATGCAAAATAATGTATTTATTGTTTTTTTTTTCACGTTGAGGAATAAATTAACTCATGGGGAAAGATTTCTAATATTGTTCAAATTCAACACGTCATTAAAAAAAAAAAACTTTTTTTTTTTTTTACTTTACGTTTTTGGGACGTGTTTTCTTCAGCGTGTACACGGTTTTGATAAGAAAAACTTGTTTCAAAGTTCTGGGCCTCTGAATATGCAAGAATACAACACTTCCAACGGGTTCTTGGTAGTTTTTTTTTTTTTTTTTTTTTCCTCCAGCGTTTTATTTCCGCATTTATGATTATGTTTATTTAATATTTTTCGATTTTTTTTTCTTTGCCAATGGCACAGTTATTTAGGTTGACAAGACATAGCTTTGAACTTCCGAATCATCAAGCATGTGACGAGCAGTGCCTTCTGACAACGAGTTTCTAACAATGACCATCTACGCAATCTTTTATGCAGTGAAGAGCGACAGTAGGCTTACACATGCATAAATAGTTTCAGATTAAAATAAGCTCGACCACGCCCTCTTTCCCCGCATTGTTTTCTTTAACAGTCCGAAATATCTGGGTGTGTATGTGTGTGTGTGTGTGGGGGGGGGGGGGGGGGTAACTGGAGCCCCCCCCCCCCCCCCCCCCCCCCCCCCCCCCCTTTTCCCCGTTTTTTCTCTTCTGATGCCACTGGTATGGTAGAACGCTCCTCGACCTCGAGTTGTGTCGGCTTCTGTGCTGTTTGCTTGGCGTTTCTTCCGTCCTGGAAAATAAACCTCCAAAGCAATTACAAACTGAAAAATTGTCAAGGTACAGGTGTATGTTGATCATGGTTCAAAATCCTGAGACTGGGAATGAAATTTGAAAGAAAAAGTGCAAGCAGACAGAAAAACGGGGACAGGACAACGTCTCGAACTCAGCTCGGTTGAGCTTGAGACGTTGTACTGAGCTGAGTTTTCAGCTGAGTTGAGTTTGAGGCGTTGTCCTGTCCCCTTTTTTCTGTCTTCTTACACTTTTTCTTTCAAATTTCATTCCCAGTCTCAGGATTTTGCATCATGTACAAACTAAACTTACTGTACGCCAGCGTCACTCGGGCGGCATTCGAGCGAATTACTACCAGCGAGCAAGGGGCTAGGGAGGCAGTTTGCCAGATAGCTTCAAGGTTCTTCCGAGCCTCAACCACCTGCCTGCCCCTGGCCATTTCGAACTGGATCAGTATCGTTGAACAGTGCGTTCGTGTGATCACTACGGTGTGATGCACGTTAAAGACCCCCTGGGCTGGCGGTCACAATTACTGATCTATGGTCACACGTCACTCTGCACTGGCAAATATTCCAGCACATCCGGGACACTCGTCGTCTCATTTAATTGCCTAACCAACTTCGCGCACACTAAATATCACACCCGGACCTTTCTAAACCCGATTTCGTAAAAAGCAGTGAGGCGTGAAAACTTTATTTGAAACTGAAACTGCGAAGGAACATGAAAACCGGACTTTGAACTTTGCGCACTTGGACTTGAAAGAAATTCGAAACATTCGAATTTTTTTTTTTCAAAGTTAGCCACAAAAGAGAATCGAATTCGCTTCGAACTTTTCAAACTTTATGTAGAAAGAAAATCGAAATCTTCGATTTCATCAAACTTAATTCATGTCTACAAAAATTCGAAACGTTCGAATTTTTCAAATGTCAGATCCAAGGAAATGCGAAATCTTCGAATCTTTCAAACTTCAGGTTAAAAAAAAATTAAATCTTAAATTTTTCGAACTTTTGATCCCCAGAAATTCAAAACTTTCGAATCTCTAAATATAAAACAAAAATATTAGAAGTAATCAAACCCGAACTTTTAGAAACCGCGAAAGCTTCGAACTTTTCGAATTCAAAACCCCACGGTGTTTTAAAGTTGCGAAATTTTTGAATTCGAACCTCGGTACGGTCGAAAATATCGAAATATTTCGAACTCGAACCTCAGTTCGGTTCGTAAATATCGAAACCTTTCGTATTCGAACCTAGGGTGGTTCGCGGCATACCTATTTCCGGGTAGTGGAGCTCTCATATGTCTCATATACCAGAGTGTTTAAAAAAACATACGCGCGTCAAAAAAATACCACATTTTACGCGAGAAAAAAAAAATGTTTAGAGCAATATTGACGGCGAGAGATTTATTTGAAATTCTGCGCGCAAAGTCCATGACGTCACGGAATGGTCATTCGCCCTTTTCACCTCAACGCGAAGGCGAAGCCGATCCACCTCTCCTCCACGCGCCCGAAATCCCTATACTCCGTTTCACCTTATGTTGTACCGCAGCGAAGGCTAGAGCGCGAGCACATAGCATTTGCAGCTGCCCTTAATGCGCGAGAGCTTGTGCCGACGAGATGTGCCCTGAGCTAGGAGCTCGCGCTTGTAGCCTTTCCTGCGGTACATCATAGGGTGAAATAGAGTATAGAAAGAAAAAAAGTGGAAAGAAGGTTACCATCGACTAAATCGCGTCCCGCGCCGTCACTATTGCTCTCATTCTTTTTCGCGTAAAATTAATTTGACACGCGTTTTTGTGTCTTTAAACAGACAACCAGAACGGTTAATTAAGTGTCTTTAAACCACCACCGTGCTTTAAACAGACAACCAGACTGTTTAAAGACACTTTTTCTTTCTTTTTTTCTTTTCAGGGTTTCCCATAACGGCAACGCGCGGTTGGTTGCGCCGACGGCGACGCCGCTCAAGCCGGAAACGGGCGCCGAAGAGCTGCGCTCTAAAAGTTGCAATAAAATGTAATACATGTAATCAGTTACCTGTACCTCCGTTACCTACATACAAATCTCATATCGAGGAACCTTCGCACAGTTTTTACACGAACACGAAATTCTCGTTTTAGTGCATGCACCGAGGCGTTGATGTCCAAGAAAGCTTTGGATGCCTCGTAAAATTTCAAGGCGTAGCTCTGTTCTTGTATGGCCGACAAAAACAAAACCCGGCCAAATGATCAGACCTTGTGTATAGAAAGCCAGACGGAAGGGTGACAAACCCCGCACTATACACATATACAACCACCAATCGGCTTTAGAGGTCACAATGTGTTTGCGTTCATTGGCCTCGCTAAATGAGGGCATTGTTGATAGAAGGTTGTACAGTCAGCTCCTTTTGATAACGTCTGTGAGGAAACGCTCGTTCCGTCAGTGACCATTACTCAGATAAGCACAAGGCGCGTGACAACCGTATAAGTTTTATTACCGTGCGACCTGCCATAGACAACCCCAAAGGCTTATTTATTCGAGGAAGGGGTGAACAAACAATCTTTGGGGCTTTTGAAGTAGCTCACGGCTTCATCTTTGGCTTGTGTAAGCAGCTTGAAGCAGCAGCGAATCACCACGGAGGTATGGATATCCAAATTGCAACTGTTCACTTGTAATCTTAAACGCATCAGGCGACAGAGTGGCTGACATAATCATGGATTATTCATACTAAATGGAGACCCGATATGTCTACATATGTTTATAATCCGGGACAACTTTCTGCGGATATAACAATCAAAGGTATAAGTACATGTTTGAGCACCGATTCAAGCGCAGTGCAAGTTCCACTCCTCTTCAGAAATGGCGCAGAAAGTTGTTCCGGAGTGTAATGATCGCTGCTCCAACATGCTCGCGCACTTCGAAGGGGTATAAGGGCCAAATACTTGACTTTAAAAAAATAGAGACAGAATTTAATGGTTCTTCCGTCGTTTACAACTGTTTATATCCATAGTGGAAGCTAAAATTACGTGTTAATCGCGTTGAAAAGAACTGGTTAGCTGAATGAGATTACACTCAACATCCATACAATTTTTTAATCACTAAATTTACTGAAAAAACATGCTATTACCATGAATGCGTGAACCTTCTATTGCTGCTACTGGAACAACAACAAATTAGACGCTTCATGGTAGGCAAAGCCATGGGCATTGGTTTGCTTGAAACACTAAAAAATCACTGCTCGAATAACGAATTATTTGGTTGACCGGGTTAACATACTCCATACGTCTAGAAGATTCGCATTTGTTCTTAGTCCAAGCGTCCGTCGCTCGAATGATCTAGCCCAAATGTTCGAGATACCCAGTATAGTTGACAAGAAGCCCAATGTGGTCCTGCCGACTCACTCTCCCAACGGCGACTTACTCTTGCGCGGGTCAGCTGTCACGCCGACACGCCGTCGCTCGCCGCTGATGCCTTCGACGCCCCCTGCTGCTTTCTCGATGCTCGTTCTTTCTTTTGTTTCTGGCACAAATTCGTTGATTAAGCCTTTATTTTCAGTTTTATACTTGTGGAGCCTTTTCCATCCGCGACAGTATGGCTTGCGCAGATGTCGCATAAGCTGACATTCTGGTGGCCTTGCTGCTAAGCGCATACCTTCTGAAACATAAATTTCGCACCAGCGAATTTTTTTTTCTCTGCAAGAACAACTTAAAATGGCTACCAGCCTGGTGCGATGATGTCACATGTAAGCAGAGTATAGCAGGAACCAATGCTCAGAAAGGGTTGGAGACTAAGCTTGCACACTCGATTTGCTGTAGCTCGCGCCTCTCCTAAAGCGAGAGACGCTTAAGAATGATCCTTCAGGAAGTCAACGGTAGCAGATACGTTTAGTTAAGCTTCTTCGAACAATTTCAAAAGGTTCCTTTCAAGTTTTTACTGCCAGCTTCAACCGTCCTGCGATCGCTATGAAGAGTACGGCGTAAGAGGCATTTGTTAAATGGACAAAGAGCTCGTGATATGAAACATTGTTTTTTCACGAGGTTTCCCAAAGGCACGAAACACAAACGGGATGTATGCGTGTTTCGTGCAGATGCGCCGTAACCCACTAAATTTAGCGGGAACTTTCTACGCTAAATTGGGCGGAAGAATCACACTACAACGACATTGTGACGTCATAGTTCCATGTTACGTGATGTCGCATAACGTCACAATTTTCCAGCCAAATTTAGCGGGAATTCAGTCTTGCGACGTCATGGTTTTATGTGACGTCACATTTTCACGTAATGTCATGGCGTCACGTAACGTTACAGCTTCACGTGAACGCTGACCGCTACATTTAGCGGGACGTATACATAAAGTCCGCTACATTTAAAAACGGCAGTGTATGACTGTGCAGGAGTGTTAACAACGTCTCGGCAGTCGCCACAGTTCACTCGCAGAACATTGCAAGGGACCCGGAATTCTTTCATGCTTGCGCAGGCGACCCCTATCTCATCATGAGCTCATCGCGTCGCCCATCTCCTCGCTGTCAGCTGGTGGACGGGATCCCACGCTCCCCGTACCTGGACCCTACATTGGTCCGCCAAGCGCTGAAGCACAGACCCGAAGACGGGGACGTCATCCTCATGTCCTTCCCCAAATCCGGCACCCACTGGACCCAACAGATCCTCCAGCTAATCCTGAACCGCGGCGAGAGCGCCACCAACTTCACCGATTTTGTGCGAAGGACGCCCATCCTCGAAAACCACGGCGCCAAGGCGCTCGAGAACCTGCCCAAGCCGAGGATTACCAGGACACACTTCCAACTGCTCCGTGCCAACGTCAACGAGAAGGCCAAGTATGTCTACGTAGCCCGCAATCCATGGGATGCCTGCGTGTCCGCGTACCACATGCTGAAGAGCGTGCCCAAGTTCGGCTTCCAGGACGCCACGTTCGACGACTTCTTCGAGGCCTTCATGAGGGGCGACTACGGCTATGGCGAGTACTTCGACCATGTCATGTGCGGATACTCTCACAGGAACGATCCCAACGTGTTCTTCTTCACCTACGAACAACTCAAGGAAGACAGTCGCGGTGTGATTCTGAGGTTGGCTTACTTTCTGGGTGAAAAGTACGGCAGGATGCTCGAAGAAGATGAGGAACTCTTCGAGCGCGTTCTGAAGAAGAGTAGCTTTGAGTACATGAAGCGCGTGTTTGGGATGGATGCGGATGAGTTCTCGGCTGCTCTGACTAGTCTTGAGGTGAGACCAGGGAATGGCGATGTCGTGGCACGGCGAAACGACGAGGACAAGACCTCGGAGCTGAATTTCTTTCGAAAGGGTAAAGTGAACGACTGGAAAGAACTTTTTTCGGAGGACCAGGTGAGACGGATGAAAGCGAGGATTGAAGAGATGACGAAAGGTTCAGATCTGATGAGCCTCTGGGAGAAGGTGTAAAGCACGTCTCTAAAGCATCCTGCAAAAGATGAAAATAAAAAGAAAGAAGAATAATTAATAGAACCTTCAGAAAATCACATTCGGAATGTTACTCAACTTGACTGTCAATTAAGTTATATTAAGTGCGTCCATCGACCCCATGATAGGCATGAAACAACATAGTAATAAACAGCATAATAAAACCTGAGACGAGGACACAAACAGGAAGCACACAACGCCGTCTAAGTGTATTGTGTGTGTGTGCTGCGTGTGTCCCTGTGTCCGTGCTGAGACGGTGTTGTATGTGTCCTTGTGTCCGTGTCTCCGGTTTGGCTATGTTGCTTAATATTCACCCGCCTCGCCTGTGCCCTAACTCTTCTTTCAGCTAAATAATAAGTTTAAGATAAAGTACTCGAATAGCTTTCTATACTATGTGCAATCATTTGTATTTATTTATAACAGGAGCTTCAACATAGTTTGGCAGTTCTTGATGTTAGCATCCCAAGCTGAAGGTGGAGGCGTGAGTTGAATGTTGTTGAAGGCCGAACTCTGATACCTTGGCGGCAAAACCATTGAAGGCTCCGAGGTTTCTAAAGATAATGCCATGTTTATTTCACGTAAAAAAGAACTAGAAAGCGAAATAAAATTAAGTATGGGTTTTGGTACGGGTTTCCCGCAACCAACTTTTTTCCCTTATATTTAGTGTGACAAAAGAAATAATGAAAAAAAAAAGACGTATACGTAACGGTTGAAAACGTCTATTAATTCTGTGTTTTATATATATGCATCGACTAATTCTGTATCAAGTGTTGAAAACGCAATTCTCGATGTTGCCATAACTAATTTTCTCGCCTGCCTTTCTTTTTCTTCTTCTCTCGAAAAAAAAATGAAACTGCTACACACACACACAGAGAGACACACACACGCACACACGCACGCACACGCACACACACACGCACACGCGCGCACACACACGTGGTAATCGTACGAAAGCCGTAACTATAAGCGACGTTATTTACGCGGGCTAGCTGCGAGCCGCACGAGGTTCGCGATACATACTTCCGACTCCCACGCAGTGAATACCCTCGTAATCCGAAACAAGCATTAAGCAATTTTTTTTCTATATATTTTTCAGTCGTACGAACACCGGACGGGTCTTACCTGACTCGCGAAAAAATGCTGCGAATAAAGCCAATAACAAAAGCGTTCCCAAGGTCACAAGCGACTGTATTGGATGCAAGTTATACATATCTGACTCGAGCTAAGCGATTTCTTAAGAACAGAGAAGGCACTTTGCCTACATTTCTTCGTTTCTTGCACGAGATAGAGTTCCCAGCACAGAATGAGCATTGAGTCTAATAGGTATCAATTAAGCTCTCTAAAAGTGGACCGAGCTATCTACTAGGTCCGAGAGATGAACTTGAGAATGCCTCGCGTCAGTTGTCAGGCCGACAGCCCAGAATGAGATCCTGGCACCGTGCCCGCGTTGATAATCCTGCAGGGGCCGCTGTAGACTTTTCCTCGTTTTGTGCAACGGCCAGCAGACCTGTCTCATAACAGTTTTGACCTTTGCCGAATGGGAGCGGACGCCGACCTTCCGAGAACGCAAGCGAGTGCACTTCCTTTTCTTTTTTTCGTTGTTGTTGTCGTTTACTCTATATCGCATACCGCCATTTTGTTTTGGTTAGTTACCGACCGCATAGTTGCGTACGATAACAAAAAAATACTTTGGTCTCTCGCGTGTGAAGGGTAAAAATAATGGTTCCGCCATTGATTGTTATGAGTGAGTGAGTGAGTGAGTGATTTATTTGCACTTAAATTGGTGCGCACACGGCGGCGTGCCAGGCAAAGCAGATAGGCAAAAACCCTTACGCGTGTGCGTCTGCCAGCCTGCCGCCGTGTGCGTGGTTAATTCTTCTTGTTAATCGCATGCACTGTACGCGCGGAGCACCTGCGAGCTCCTCGCAGGTGCAGAAAGCCTAGAGCCGTAGTCACGCAGCTCGTATGTCATACAAAGGACACGGTGTTCAGTGCGTACGTGATGACAGAATTTTCTGCGGGTACGCCTCACGCGTGTTCGAAACATGTTTTCTTCCTACATGCGTATCTTCCGAAAATATCTGCTGTCAGTTATTTTTTTTTTTTATGGCGACGGAAACATCAGACGAGGAAGAAGCATGCCTCAGACAGCGCCTGCAAACTGTCTTTTGTATGACGCAGTTGCAGTGTGACCAGGGCTTTAAGTTCCTTCCACGCACCACGGGGCAGAGGCGGTCCTGGAAATTGCGAAACATGTCGTACAAAGTAACGAGCCGGCAGATCAAGAAAAAGAAAGTTCTGCACAGTGTTTGTACGCTGCACGAAGTAGTTCTACAAAATGTGCTTGAAAAATAAAACAATATTTTTTTTTTCGTTTGCAACGTGTACGTGTTGTTCATAGTGAAAAATACACAACGCAAAAGGATATAAAGGGAAGAGACACACCGGATAGAACAGAGCGCTGACTTGTAACTAGATATTTTAATAGAAGAAAAGGAGAAAGAAAAATTGTTTGGTCACCATGAAATCACAAGTGTAACCTGTGCCATGATATGCGGTCGTTATGGCACGCGCTGTGCCTTTATAGTCAGCTTCATGAACTCTTTGTTGGACAACGAGACAGATGGTGTGCTGATACAGCTGGCTCCTCCACTGTGGATGTAAAAGCGCTCTGTTCTATCCGGTGCGTCTCTTCCCTTTATGTTTTTTTGCGCTGTGTATTTTTCATTATGTACAACCAAAACCAACTAGTCATACTTTCTACTTTATTACGTGTTGTTCAGATAACGTAAACCTAATCTAAGATGCACCTAAACACATCTCAATTCAGCATATAAATGTGAAAATTACTAACGTTACGCGACGAGCGGGACCTTTTTTTACTACGGTTCTTGCGGTGAGTATACGGATATAGAGTAATATATCTGTTCAATTTTCCTGTCCTGAAAGTCGTCTATTCGAGGTTTGGCTTGCGTGCGTCGTGCTTGTTCGTGCGTCAGATGTTTCCGTCCGAGCATGAACCGGTCCTTCAAGCGGGGGTCTCATACATCATATACAAAAGACAGCCTGCAAACCGCAACGTACCTGGTCCGAACGCCGCGTCCCAAGTTTTCCCCTTGAACTCATTGCCATGCGGCATTCAAAGAACGGATCTCGTGGTGACTCGCGTTGGAATCTGTATTCGGACTGTATTTTCTATGATGTGCTCCCGGTGAGAAGCTCGCCCGAGGGACGCTTCTGCTTTCCTCCCTCTATGGGAAGTGCACGCGCTATACACGCGGTTGTATTTTAATTTCCATAGTGCTGAGAAGCTTGGCAATGCACGTGCTTGCACCAGCAGAGGAAGTTGAAGTATCCTCACACTGGGATGTGAAATAATTCCGCCAGGCGGTGATACCCAAACTTCTCGCCGCGAATAAGCAGTGTGCCCCGGCTTTACGGAAATGCATCTTAAAGACCAACGACCAGTTCGCGCTTTCCACTTTTCCTCGCTTCCTCCTCTCCCCCTTCTACTCTGTCCGCCTTTGCCTGTTTCCTCCTCCCCCAGGGTGAGGAGGATCTTCTGCCTTGCAGAATCTCGTGTTTGGTCGTCGGCCTTTAAGCCCCATAGACATTGGTTTCCTGGAAATCTGTCTCCGGGATTTCCTTGACGATCGCAGCTACGTGACTTGGATTCGATCAAAAAATGCGATCCATGAACTCGAAGCCGATTCTATTAGCGACGTGCGCCACCGCGTCGCCGTGGTCGAAGTTCGCGATTGGCCAAAGTGTAGCTTCCTGGACACTGATAATGCCTGCCCAATCGCCGGTTCATAGCGAGGAAGATCCTGCCAATCACGGCGAGGCGAATCCTGGTCGTCTGACGTCACGAAACGAAACCGTCAGGAGGCGCCACCGAAACCTCTCGTCGCTAATATACAGAACATCTCTTTAGGGCCACACCTTAGCGTTTTCGAGTCCGTGGGATGTAGCCTCGATGGCGACGTCACGCTGATGACGCCACGACGTTCATGTGACGTCATCACGACGCTTTTGAAATGTTCGCCGTGATGACGTCAGTTTCACAGCCGACGTCACGTGACATCGGTGATTAAGCAGAAAATGTGCGCTACTGCGCGGATCCGGCCAGCTCTGGACCGCATTCGAGGAACGGAGGCTAAGTCGGGAAATTAAATCCAAGAAATGCTCAAAGGGTTGAGGGGTTAAAAAGTGCTCTACTCTAAATAATACATTCTGTATTAGATTACAAATCATGTTCTGGATTAAATTTACGCCTGCTGCAATGTACGAGAGTTCTGAAAGGTTCCGTGATATACATTCCGTTCTAGATAATAAATCTAGTTCTAGATTATCAGTTCAATTCTAGATTTCAAATTATGTTCTGGATGAAAGTTCTACTTTTGGTTAATGTTACACATTATGCAGTACGGGCATACCGCAACACTTTGCTTTATAGACAGTAACGTTGCACTAGGTTGAAGCACAAACGCAAATGTCAAATTGCCTCTCACTGTGCATTCACTGAACTCATACCTGTGCAAAATAAAAGTCGAGGACGAACGGGCCAAGCCACCTGGAAATGTGCAGAGCAGATGTCAGCAAGCGCGTACGTCTGCTATACGTTGCACATTCACTGCTCTGTGGGGAGGAGAGCAGAGCCACGTCGTCGTCACAGTAAGAGTGCTTTAAATGAAAAAAAAAGATCCTAATCGGGTGGTCCGCTTCAAAGACGAGACTGTGATTGTGCGTGAGTATGAGCCTTTCTGAGCGTACAATCTCTGCAGCCCAACGTGCAAGTGTCCTGTGTAAACAGCGGAAGAAACAAACAAACAAAAAAACAAGCGTCGTACGCTCGAGCATTCAAGTAAGCGGTAGAAAGGGTACATATTGAAACCCGGAACACTACGCCCACTTCTTGAAGTCAAGCGGAGTACGCAAGCTAGTTGGTCAAGTACATTCTAACCCTGGGGAGTGTGGAGGGACAGTTACAGTTTGACCGTTCACCATGATTGGTGGTTTTTCCTTCTCACTCGCCTCCTTTCCGGCGTTCTCTAAAGTGGAAAGAGTGGTGGGCTTCGCGGGAGGAGCTTTAGCTGCTGTTCCTAGCCTGCAACAGACTAGACAAACGCAAACACAAAACTCCGCGTGTTTTTGTTTATCCCGGCCCTACCTACGCTTGAGGGTTACATTGATCACGATCACGCCTTGAATGGGAAGGGCTAATATCCACAACAGAAATGAACAGCGAAAGTGGCGAAGACAATGACAAAGAGAAACGGGGCAAACATAGCAGTGGGTCCTCAGCTCGTGCTGATGGATGGCGAGCGTTCAACAAGACACTTAGACGCTCCGTTTGCACTCTTAGTCCAACGTTGGCTGGCATTCTACGTCCTTATGGACGTTGCTTAGAATGTTCTTTCTACCGGCTTCGAGTATATCCGGGTTTTGAATACGGCTTATTTGAAATGTAATGAAAATCTTGTCTGCCCATAGGTGTCTCCTATTGGTGTGAGGATTTCCAAGCATGGAGCACAAGCGTCGAGCTCCTCTCATACAACTCATTAATGGCATCAAACGATCCCCCTTCCTGAAGCCTTCAGTCGTCCGCGAGGCTCTCAAGTACAGACCACGCGACGGGGACATAGTCCTTGTGACGTATGCCAAGGGCGGGTCCCACTGGACGCAACGCATCATCCAACTTCTCTTAGATCGCGAAGACGTTCCGTCAACCTACTCGGATTTCGTTCGACGAACTCCAGTTCTGGAATACCACGGTGCTGCGGCCGTCAATGATATGCCTCCACCGAGGTTCTTCAGGACACATCTCCAGCTGCTCCGGAACAACTTCAACGACAAGGCGAAGTACGTGTATGTCGCCCGGAACCCATGGGACACGTGCGTGTCGCTCTACCATTATACGCGACACTTACCCAAGCACCAGTTTGAAGACGGCACGTTCGACGACTTCTTTGAGGCCTTTGTCACTGGGGAGTTGGGCTTTGGAGAGTACTTCGATCACGTGCTCCATGGATACGCTCGGAAGGACGACCCGAACGTCTTCTTCATGACCTACGAGGAGCTGAAGGCAGATGCTCCCGGAATGGTTCTGAAACTTGCCTACTTCCTCGGCGAAGAGTACGGGAACATGCTTGAGGGCAGCGAAGAGATATTTCAAGGGGTCTTGATGAAAAGCAGCTTCGAGTTCATGAGCCGTGTGCTCCAACCCAGAGAGGAGGAGTTTTCGGCAGCCTTTGAAAATTCGTTTTCTCTTGTGGACAAGCTTTCTAGCTCTGGACCAGAAGGAAGTAAAGATAATGACTTTAGGCTTTTTCGTAAAGGAAAAGTGAACGACTATCATGAACTATTTTCACCAGATCAAATCCAACGCATGCAAGCCAGGATTGATAAGATGACGGAAGGAACGGACATCATGAGCCTGTGGAACGTAAAATAAATCGTCATCTTACGTTTAGTTTCTTTTCCTAGCAGCCTTTTTGATAATGTTTGTGTATACACTATGTTGAGCATTGAAAAGCTCGCTTTTAGGTGATCCCTCTTAGCACTAATAGTCGCACTACGCGAATATCAGTTTTTTTCACTGCTCGTCGTCCAGTTGAGTAAAACCACATATAATTGAAATGTTCTCTGGGTTCATAATTTAGCTTCCAAAATACGTATGCTTATATTCCAGATTTTTTCACATTTCTCACCATAAAAGAATGTGATAGTAATGGTCGGTAAGATTTTAAGATTTTTTTGCTTCACAGGTTCATCAAGAAATAACTGCACGGCATATGTTTATCAGGGTTATGTGAATATCTAATACCGGCTATAACAATGCAAGTTATAACTGCTACTCATGAACAAACACGAGAATATTGTCGTAAACGATGTTTGTAGTGCACAAGTGGACGTGCTTATTAGGAACTCAAGAAACCTGGAGCTCGTTCTTGTAGCTCCTGTAAAGGCTGATTCAAATAGCCGCGTTTTCTTACGTTACGTTGTGTTACAAAACGTTACGACGAGATCGGTGGCTAGTTTCCATAGCAACCGAGCGACGCAAGTCTCTCCGTCACGTAAGGGGTTGAGTTCGGTTCAGCCTTTCCTTACTAGCTCCTACGAAAGCTTACGTTGGGCCAATGAGACGCAAGGATGCACAGCGACCGCGCATGCGTGAAGGGTTCCATGACTAGCAGCGCGTTGCCAGGTTGGGCTATAAATAGCCAAATTAGGGTATTTATTTTTGGTATTTGGCGGGAAAACTTGGCGGTTCGCTATCTGGCAGTTTGGCTATCTTTGGGGCATTTCATATTCCAAATTCAGGTAATTTCAAAGCTTTTCGTTTTAAAGTCTTAAACATATATGATATTTTTGAGCCAGGTATACCTGGCTCGCATGAGATACCACAGTTCAAATTTTCCATACAAGTTTGGGGAACATTTCCGCATTGCAGGTAATTTTATGTTGCAAAGACTTGCATCAAGTTGCATCTGCAAACGGTCAGGACATCTTTGTTTTGCATGTCACATATCAACTTTTCAAGGAGAAGCTTGGCATGTGACATACAAAGCCCGGATGTACTCGTGAATAGCGGTAGTAACATAAAATGGGGCGAGTACTATCACAAACAAGACTGAACGTTTTCCGTAAGTACAAGAAATGTAACCTGTGTCATTTTGGACGCATTGGAACATGTGATGTACTTCGTAAAAATGGTACATGTTCTAGCATGGCTTGCAACCGAACATGTGCTGCTGTGTGCCACGATGGTACATTTCTTGTAGCATACACTACTTGTTCTGTGATGATGGCGTATGGAACTTATTGTGGCTGCCCATACAACAACAACATGTCCCGTACTAAAGAAGTATGGAACATGTTCTGTAGTCCGGTAATACAGTACATGTTGTGGCAACAAGTTTAGCATGTATCCCTGTTGGAAAATCTCGATGATGGAAAGATGTCGGAAAAGGCTCATACAAGCGTAACCGTAATATAGCCAGGATATCCTATACAAGCGAAACGACGGCTCCAGTATAGTGGAATAAGGCGGAACAATACAGGTAGGCGGAACCATACAAGCGTGTCATATTATGGGACATCCTATACCAGCATAGGGGATTATGGCGGAACCATGGAGGCGGATGGAACCATACATGCATAACGTAATATGGGACATCCTATACCTGCGAAAAGGTGATACCAGCATGGTGGAGCCATATGGCTCCAGCGTGTTGGTTTCGCCTTTTCACTGTTGTACAGGGCGATTTAATTTTAAGCTTTACATATATGTTTAGAAAGGTCGTGAAAGCTAAATTAATGCGGTTTGTGCAGGCGAGTTATACGGCCAGGCGTACATAGTATAGGGACCTAGTCGTAACGATCAATCAGATAATTAAATACAATTTGTTAATTAACTTTTTAATTAGTGAAAATGAAAATATGGTTTCAATTAGAAACTTGCTGAGTCATTGAAAACCACAAAATCAACTTTTTTTAGAAGGATATAATGCAGGGGTAGCATTTTATGTGTTCTGTAAAAAGCTTTATTTGGACGAGTTTCTAGGTTTCAGTTTCTTATCAGAGCTCATCTCTGCGCCCACGGTCCTGTTCCCCAGGGGCTTATGGTGAATTCCACTCGTAGATCTGGAGCGCTTTCCAAAATCCGCGAGGGAGGCAAAATTCCGCTCCGTGGGACCCGCTCCGTATCGACGAGGGGAAGATAAACTTGCATTTTTGGAGCGACCTCCCCCACACCCCTCCCCACCCCTTCTCCTTCCGCCGTTCAAAATGGCCGCTGCTCGAACTTGACCAGCCCACCAACGCCTCAGCCGGCTGATCTTTCCGACGACCAGTGACGACTGTCACTGCTTAGCTGCAGAAGTAACACGCGACACAGGCCGGGCGGAATTATACGTACCACGGCGCCCATGTCACAAATAGCGAAGACGTCCGCGTTCGGCACCGTCACATACCTTTCGGCCGCCTCGAAGCGGCGGGGCACGGACAGCGATTGCCAGCGGTGGAGTTCAGATTGCTAGTACGACTTTAATAAACACAGAGGTAACAAACCATCACTTGCGCGGTCGCTGCCTAACCACATCTTGCTTTATTTCACGGGAAAACGCCGATGGAATGCAGTGTAAAAAGGTAAACAATCACTGGCTGCAGAATGAATAGGCTTAACCTTGCGTCTGCCTCCGGCTTTTCTGTCGTTCTTTTTTTCGTTCTTCCTCGGTGATCACAGATGTCAGCGCTTACGATTTGCCACGCTCCACATTCCCGGCTTTTTATCCCTGATCTACGCGAGGTAGAAGCGTTCGAGCCGTCACAGTCCAGAGTAAACAACCGACGCACCCGAACAGATCCAACTCCACCGACCGGCCCGCCGACGCCGATCTCTCCAACCTCGCCGCGCATGCGCACCGCCGATTTAGACGGAAATCACGTGGGCCGCTCTGTCAATTTCCCGAGAGATCTGTGAAATCCCGCAGAGCAAGTTCGGCGGAGTTTGGGGCGCTCCGTGGAGCGGGCGCTGCCAGAGATCTACGAGCGGAAGATGACCAACTTGAGCCAGATCTGCGAGCGGAATATGCGCGCTCCAAATGGAGCGCTTTTGGAGCGCTCGAGATCTGCGAGCGGAATTCACCATTAGACACGCAACGCACGTGCGCCTTGCTTCCCGTCATCCTACGAGGGAGGCGAGGGGGCGGCTTCGCACTGCGGCCACCGGGCAGCTGGACCGCAGGTGCAAAGATGCGCTCTGGTAAGAAACCGAAGTCTGGAAACGCGTCCAAATTGACAATTTTTTTAGAACGCCATAAAATGCTGCTCTTGTCTTATATCTTTACAAAGAAAATTGATTTAGTGTGTTTTGATGATGCTTAGCGAGTTTCTAATTGGAACCATGGGTCTATTTTCACTGATTAAAAATTTCACGAACATACTATATTTAGAGAGAGAGGCTGAGCAGTTTTGTATTTGAGAAAACACTTTTAAATCTTCTTCATTTGACCTCCAGAATCTCCAATATCAAAATTATTTGGTAATTGGGTGAATTGAGGCTGCATAGTCATTTTTAAAGCGCTGTGAAGGCACTTCCCTGGAGAGCGACGCCACAAAAGCAGCTTTCGAAATCTTTGCTCACGCATCTTCAGCGCCTATCAAAGCTATGCACGCACATGCTATTTTTTAAAAGGGCGGAAAAATGTGTCACGACTGGTGCCAATGCCGGAGAATATACCTAGAGAACTTGCGATTGGACGCGCGGCCCTTAATAGCCGCGTCCCACTAGAGCGACAGACAGCAACAAACGACAGCGACACACGACAACGAGCGACAGACGACACCGACAGACAGCCTGTTTGTCGGAGTCCGCCGTCCCACCTGGCGGACACGACGCAGAACACGGGGGCAAGAAAACTTGTTTCCTAGTGGGACTGGAGTTGTCAACAAAACACTTCAAAATACAAAGACAAACAGAGTCTGGCGACGCGGTTATCGTGTTTTGCTCTTTGGGCATAAAACGCGCCGACAAACACGGGGAAAGTGGAGACGATTACTTTATTTCTTGATTAAAGCGTCCGCTTCTCTTCATTTGCCGTTGGCGACTTTCCGTAAACAGTCGTGACAATCGACACCAAACTTTTTCCGAACTAGAAATACCCGAATCGTTCTTTTTTTCTTTTTGGCCGTTCGAGGCATTCTAGGTGAGCGCCACGGAGTTTTACGGTGGTTTTGAGGATCTTTATAACTTCATATTCGAATTATCGAGGGCAGGCGGACAATACGGCATCCCGATTATCACAAAACGTGATGAAAAGTCTCTCGTCTGCCGGACTGGCTTGCCGCGGAACGTCGTGTCCTACTTCGTGGTGAGCGGTCTTACTTTGGTCAGTCCTCGCACATGGGTGTATCCATCCTGATGCAGGGGCGTAAACTTCGGCGTCTTGAAGCACCACCTCGCGCACCAAGTTTTCGCGAGCAAAACCAGCCACTGCAAATTTCCTTTCGCAACACGACTGCCCGGCGCCAGCCAGCAAGCCGCGCCCGCGGCGTGCAATCGAGGGACCGGAACTGCGGGGCCGGGAACGAGGAGTGGCCGCCAAGGGCTTCTCGTTCCGGGAGGAAGGGTAGAAGGGTGGGAAGGGAGGCAACAGAAGGCATAAACGGGCGAGGAGGATAAGTTTGTCTCCGAGAGATGTTCCTCAATAATAATAACTGGGTTGTGTGTGTGTTTATACAGCCTACACTCTAAAACCGGTCCCTCATAAAAAACGCTGTCCCTCTGATTTTAGAGGGGACAACAATGCTTTCAGGGGGACAGCCCTTTTTAAGAGGGAAATTGAAAAATAAAATAGCAACATCTAGAGGGACACCAACATATTAAGAGAGACCAAGGAAACCGTTTCGTTAGTCCCTCTGAACAGGAAAGACAGACAAAAAGATTCACGCGTGTCCCTTCATATTAAGAGGGG